CCATCCGTAACTTTGCAAAGAGTCTGGAGAATTGGTTGACAGGTGCCATGATGAACATACCAGAAGAGATGGTTCGCATAAAGGTAATTGTATGCTAATGCATGATACACTAGATATCAAGAAAGAGCTCTGCTTCCTTTCTTTTACATTTTTGTATTTCATGTCTGTACATGGCCAGTTGTCAACACTTTCTCAAATCCATCCAGATGATGTCTCGATCCAGTTTAAGCAGTTGGACCTGGAATGAGAATTTATGTCAAATGTGTGTCGAGTGACCTCCCACTTCCATAACTACCATAAACTGTGACTAAAGAGAAAAATATACACATTCATGTCTCACCATACAGATAGATGGTAAATTGACTGCATTTATATAGTGCTTTTGTAGCCACAGCTCAAAGTGCTTTACACCACAAGCCACATTCACAAAGTGCTTTTTTCTAAACATAAAGTGCTTTTCTAACACATGCACACATGCACACATTCACACATTCACACACCAATGTTACATCAGGAGCACAGCAAGAGCCGGGAAACGAACTGCTGACCTTCCGAATAGTGGAGTAGATGAGAAAGACAACCTTAGAAATGATCATGACCCTGACCACCTCCAAACGTAACCTACCTGTGCGATGGGATCTCACTATATATTTGGTCTTGATGTGCATTTACAGGTTTTCAGCGATGTCCTATTGAGATTGGAAAATCTGAGATGCACTTAAATCGCAAGTCTGGATTGGGCCATATTGTGCCTACTTCCTGACTTCTTAGTATTCGTACTTTCCCTCTCCCTTTCTTTAGGTGGTGTGTGTAGGCTCTTTCTCCCAGACCCTGCGTCGCTACACCAGCTTAAACCACCTGGCCCAGGCTGCACGCGCTGTCCTTCAGAACTCAGCCCAGATCAACCAGATGCTCTCTGACCTCAACCGAGTTGATTTCACTAATGTACAGGTCTGTCAGTACTACTGTCTCCCTCCTTTCCCCATTCCATCTATTACTTTCCTGTGTTGATGTTAAAGTGAAATGAAACCGAACCCTTACACTGTCAACCTGTGTCTCCCACAGGAGCAGGCATCCTGGGTGTGTCAGTGTGAAGACCGTGTGGTCCAGAGGCTGGAGCAAGACTTTAAAATGACTCTGCAGCAGCAAAACTCCCTGGAGCAGTGGGCTACCTGGCTGGATAGTGTTGTCTCCCAGGTCCTAAAGCCCTACGAGCACAACCCTGTTGCCCTACCAAAGGCTGCCAAGGTCTTCCTGCTCAACTGGTCCTTCTATAGGTGAGCGGAAAAAGAAAAAAAACATGATGTGTAAAGATCGGCACATAAGATATTTGGCTTCTTGTTAGATAAAGATGTAAGATTTAAGATACATTTTGTATATCTCCTCTGATTTCTCACCAGTTCTATGGTAATCCGGGACCTGACTCTGCGCAGTGCTGCCAGTTTCGGCTCCTTTCACCTGATCCGCCTGCTGTATGATGAGTATATGTACTACTTGATAGAGCACAGGGTGGCCCAGGCTAAAGGAGAGACACCCATTGCAGTCATGGGAGAAGTATGTGCCTGCACATAGTCGCTCACATATTGCAGCCCGCATCTGATGATACACGCTTTATGTTTATAAATGTCAAATCCTTACTCTGTGTTGCAGTTTGCCAGCACTGTCAAGAGCCGAACCTCTCCAGACCTGGAGAAAGGTAAATTCAGCATGGTTCTCCACAAATATATTTAGTTTTAAGTTTTGCTCTAGCATCTGCAATCAGAATGCTTAATTGTCATGTCACTGCCTTTCTCCGTCAGAAGAAGAAGAAGAGGATGAGGAAGAGGAGAGCGAAGAAGAGAGTGGAGATCTCGTGCTGCAGTCCAGCTCTCTGAGTGCGGTCGATGACGAGTCGTCTATGGAACCGCCCACAAAGCAGCCCAGGACAACTTTAAATTTGCACACACCTTAGTCAATCATCTATATAATTAACACACACCACTTCACATCCGCCGTTGCTTTAAGTTTAACATCATGTCATCCCATTCTGTCATCAACTTCAGATTTGCGAACAGACGATGTTTGATGTTAGGTGTGTGGTTGCCTGGTGCGTGTGCAAGCATGTGAGAAAGTGGGAGAGCCCCTTGCCAATTTTGTATGTTGTACTTTTGTGCTGCCATTTTTTTTTTTCTTTTGGCCTTCACCTAATCATTTACAATCCTTCCCTGTGCCTTCCACTCTCTGTTCATTGGCTAGATGTCAATAGCCATTCTTGTCCAGCCTAAACTCAACAATATATACAGTACATTCTCGACTCACTCCTGCCCTGCCTTAACCACTGACCTGATTTTTGCGGAGAGATGAAAAGTCTCCAGTGTTCTTCATTGTACTCTAAACTCAAAAGTATCACCTACATTGCCTTTAAAGCAATGGCTATGCAGGGGAGCTGGACTTTAATTAATCACACTGTATGAAATATACATTTTTTAAATCTAATAGTAGCATCTGGAATGATACTGCATCATAAAATTTTGTTGGCGCTTGGATGTGATTTACAGCTATTTGTGAATGCCGTATTTTACTTTTTTAAATGTCATTTCTAATTAATTTGGCCAACTAACTGATACCCTGTGCCTTTGAGAGATTTCTAGCCTGAAAAAGAAAACGCTTGTATTCTATATATTCTGTATTGGTGGATCAATAAATGAAGGTCCTGTGAAGTAGTTTTGGTGTTGTCATGAACTTTTGCTAGCTGTTTAAGAAAAAAAATTGAGATGGTGACAGTAAGCCTCGTTGTGATGAGTCCACCCAGTTTTTCATCCATCCATCCATTCATTATCCATTCTTTCTTTCAAGCTCATAATCTGTTTTATACACACACACAAAATCCTACTTGACAGACATATTACTCAAGTGCTACCCGACCACACACACACATTGATAAACAGACTGCAACTTAAGTCAGCCACAGGACAAGGCCAAAGTTTATCCCACCCAATCAGCACTTAACTACAATGTATCCATGGTAACCTTTGTACCAGCTAGATGTACCAGCTAAAGCTATGTCAAAGTTTTTGTAGTGTAAAAGTAGATGTTTATTTTCTGGGTTTCTATGTTGAATATATTGTATAGAACCTATATTACGTACCTTTTGTGAACACTGTCGTATATTCAAACTATTTGTATGTTGTCTAACCATTATTGCCTTAAGAAATATGTTGTGGTATGTCCACCATCCAGAGTATTGAGCTATATTTTTATTGTGATGATGATGATGGACCAAGCATGTGAACATGGTGGTTTTCTAGATGGATACTTTCCATAGAGCACATGCTCAACCAGCAGCTTCTCACATGGCATGAGCAGATGTTGGTTTTACAAGATGTTGGACTTTGGTACTGAAAGGAAAAAAAAGAAAAGATTATAGTCATAGTGGGATGTCCTTCAGGACAATCTGACTATCAAGATGCCACCAAAGAGCACTAAATAGAAAAAGGGTATATTTGCAGACTATAAAATCTGCCTTGAAAAATAAAATCAACTGCTAGCTGCAATGTCACTATCATAACAATTGTGACTTGGATTCTGTACCAGGCTTGTGCTGCTGAATATTTTATAAAAGAGGTCCTCTTGATGTTATTCTGAAGACCTTTGTTCTTAAATCTGTGATAAACATTGGTAGCTTTATTCTCACTGTTAACTAAAAGGATGTGATTGCTCTCAAAATGTGCCAGAATTTTTTCTTCATGGGATCACTGTAGACATTGTTCTTGGTCTTTGCTCAACCACACCAGAGTTGAAGTATTGTACAGCCATAAAGTCGAGAAGAAGAGATAGTTTTAAAAAAAATAATGGTCAATATAGAAGCTGTGGAGATGGAGATATCCTGACATTAAGTCTCTAGTATGAGTCAAGCTCCAAAATCACTGGCTTCTACTTTCCCCATAATGAAACTCTAGGATATTTTTGTTAGACCTCCTAAATGCCAACTTCTGTCAAACCTCATATCTCCAGTTTTTAATGCTGACTTTCTGTTAACTAGAATACAGCCTTGCGCTTGTATGCCTCTGCCAACCAGCCATGGAACTGCAGGAGTTACAGCATTGACTAATGGCCACAAGTGTTTTTGCAAAATATAATGATGTCACAGTGAAGATGACCTTTCACCATTTGGATATAAAATGTTATCACTTAATCATTTTATCCTATTAGACATTTGTATTAAGTTGTGTCATAATTCGTGTATGAATTCCTGAGTCATGCCCAAAAATGTGTTTTGTGAGGTCAGTGGGCCAGAAGTAATGAAATTCCCTCTGGGCATTCCCGCTACATTGAGTCCAAATGAATGTTTGTGCCAAATTTGAAGAAATTCCCTCAAGGCATTACTGAGATATTGCATTCACAAGAATGTGACCAACTGACAACCTGAGAACATAATGCCTTTGGACTTGTAGTCTCAGAAGAAGACAATTATAACACCAAAGACCATGAGAAGTAAATTGAACTTTATGTGTAAAATTGGTGGAATACCCCTTTAAAATGAAGCTAACAGTGTCTTGGACCCCACGTCACAGGTTGCAGTTGTCTCTAACTAGTTAGTTCTCTTAACTACTAACTAGTAAGTACTTAAGTAAGTACAAACATTTTCCTTATTTGAAGCTTGAGGACATAAAATTATCCAGTAATTCACTATAAATGAAGCAAAAACTAGTTTCACTCACCCAAGTTGCAGCACTGAAGAGGATTTTTAAAAAATCCACCAAAACAATTCTGAAATTATTTTGAGCCATTTACGAATGTTATCTTAGTCAAGGTAAAGTTCTCTTAAAACCTAAGAGGCAAACAACTCATGAATGTACAATTAAATCAAACCCCAACTAAACTTAATCACACATTTAAATGCGTGAATCCACTTGAACTAAAAGAAGATATTTAAGTGCAGCTTGCAAATGTAAAAGCTGCATGTATAATATTGCTGAATTATTTTAAAACCAACCACCGATAGCAAATCTTTTAAACATTTTATTTTAACAAAATATCCCAACCTAAAATAGTCTCGCTTCCATGTCAGTAAACATACAGAATGATGTCAACCAGCTGAACAGATGACTCAAACACCTTCTAACTCCATGACATAAAAAAGACATTAAGACTAAAGTGACGCAGAACTGGTTTCACTTTGTCTCATTTTAAATACTGCGGCCTTATGAATGAACATAGCTAGACTGAACTGGTCCAGATCAAGTGAGGAAACTTGTTCAGAAGCAGCAGCATCCGTCAGATGTTACATACACACTAAACATGCACACACTCATACACACTTATACTCTGTAATAAATCTCCTTGTCGGATAGCACAGGTGCAGATATTGCATACGTTCATTTAAAGACACATAAAAAAACACATTCTCACCACAATAACAGTACATCTGTATGTATAAAAACAAAAAGTAAAAACTAAAACTTTGTTCAGTCCAGCTCCTGGTTTTGGTGGTTGCAATAACAATAATACAGTACACAATTCCAAAAAAAAAAAAGAAAAAGAAAAAGATGAAACCTGCAAAGTTAAACACAGAACACATGAAAAACTTCATCTTTACAGTTTATCATCTAGTGCGTTCTAGTGAGTTCAGTTTGACACATGTTTTAACTACATATTACCAAAGCACTGAACATATCCCATTTTTTTTAGATTAAGGTTGGGCTCCATACTGAAGATTAGACTATGTCGATGTGTTTGTGTGCACTTTTGCTTTGACACTTGTTGTCCTCTTCCTTCTTCATAATACAATCCAGGTACATCGGTCACTATCTGCCAACACTTGCAGAGATGAGCCTATAAGTCAGAAGATGAGTGTAATTTGAATTATAATTCCCACATAAACAATTTTACAAACATTCAATTTATGTGTTCCAACTCCAGGACACCTGGTAGTATCCATACTGGCTGGCTGGGCCTTTTCTCACAGAGGACATTTCACATGTCACAAACTGGTGTAAATAATAAAATGAATGATGGTTGAATTCCATTTAGCTGCTTCAGTTTCAGGCTCTTGGTATTCTGGCTCACTATCAGCTTACTGGGACACTGAGAGACTTAAATAGCATGTGTGTTGTATGTTTGCCACATACTGCCCAGCAACCAAGATCAAGACTGTATGGGAATCCAAGTAGTTATGTTGTATATACCTCTTTTTATAAAAATTTGCATCAACGTAAACATCTGTCTGGTAACAAAGAAAAAAAAGTTACATTTGTGTTCAGCTTTTATAGGTGCAAAAAATTCCCATGTACACGCAATACTCCTCAGCTGTTACAAATCTGGGCATTGGAAATGAAAGAAAAAAAGCTGCTGAAAAGTATAATCTGGTTTGTATTTGGCCTCTAACTTGTCCTTTGTCTTGGATGAATGAGAATTCTCATAGACACCTGGCCAATATTTTGAGACACTATTTAGTCTGTGTTGGAGGGTCTGTGGTAGAAATCAGGATACAGATGTGTATATAAGTCACCTTTGTGTAGAGCTTCATTAGTCATGCGATTGATATAGCGGGAGCTGCTCTCAGGAACCAGCCACTTCATCACTGTATTCACACAGGACTTCCTGTAAGAACTCCACACACTCCCGCTGACAGGGAGACAAAAGAGCAACACCTTTAACACAACAGAACTAACACAGCTTAACAAGAAACAGGGAAAAAGACAGAACAGTGTTTGAGGAGGGTGGCAGTAGTTCCTCACCTGGTCTGACCTCTAACCTCTGTAAGGTCACCAACACCCACGGTGCAACACACACCTGTGTTTAAGTCCCAGCTAACCTGCAGGTTGGAATGATAGGTGTTTGGCCTGAGGACAAAAAACACAGAAAAACAGACTCAGTGATGATTGTTGGTGAAGACAAAAAGGCCAATCAGGAATAAATGGGAGGGATGACGAAAGCTTTGAGTTAATTAGCATAGGGTTAAACAGCAGAGAGGAAAACAAATACCTGCAGTGCTCCTCGTCTGAGTTGGAGAACGCCAGTAACAGCAGACCAATGTTGATCATCACAGTGTTGGTCTCTGGACACACCTGATACAAAACAAACACACATTATCGCAATTCATAAAATGTCTTTCCTTCCTTTGTTTAATGCAGAAACATAAAAGTTAAATATCATCTACAGTAACAAATACAAAATGTGAAACAAGTTAGGAAGTATGTATATCATAGTATATTTCTGTTAAGTTGTAAGTTCTGTTACTCATGATGTGACAGAGACTGAAGGTACTGTTTGTGTGTGTGTGTTTGTGTGTGTGTACGTTTACTGACCTCTAATATCACAACATCATAGTCACTGAAGGAGCAGAACTGAGTGGCCCAGGCAGCATCGCTCCTGATCACCTCATTGATAAGATACTCGAAGTCCAAAGTCAACTGCTCAACACACACACTCTGCAAGAGAGAAAACACAAGTTAAAACTTGAAAAAAAACCAATAACGGTACCAAGAGCAACGATACAAATCTTCACTATTAACAAAGGTGAATAATGTTTCTTTTTAGCTGACTGAGCACAAACGCTTTATTCAGTTACACTAAAAATGGACCATGGACACTAATTATATAATCACAGCAAGATAAAAAACAAACTGAATGGAGGTTCAGTCACAGAAGTTACAGACTTAGGAATGTGTTCTTTATTTTAAGGTGAGATTGTACAATATTTTTTTCAGACTGGTGTGTAACATTAAAAGCTCTTCTGTTATATAAACCTGGGCAAAACGCAACAAACTCAACTTAGCTGCTAGCAAGAACGTCATCACATGGAAATGGCTACAGCCAAACCCTGCAACAAAGGACAACTGGACTGCAGCTGTCAATAAAATAAACTATATGGAGAAATTCACCTTTACCTTAAGACTGCGATATGATCAATATATAAAATACTGGAAAAAATGGACTACATTTAGGTGCTATGATTACAGCCACATGACACAAACACTCACCTGTCCATTGTGTGGTCCAGTGACCAGCTGCAGGTTCCTTCCTTTCAGATCAGTGACTGTGAAAGGCAGCTGGACCTTATCATCTTCATAGCCTAGAGATAGAAACAGAGGGGGAAAATGTCAGTCAACAGCTTCAGAGTTAACCTGACAAGAGTCACACGTTTAATCACTCATTGTCTGTGTCCTCCTCTTTATCTCACCTGCTGTATTCTGCTCCGCTGTCCCTGGCTGTTGGAGGCGGTAGTGCAGGTGTGAGTAGTTTACATATCCAGGCTCGCTGGGGCCAGCCTCCTGTGATGAGGACGGGGTCCGAGGGGACGAAGGTGATGAGGAAGAGGATGCAGGAGACATCACTTGTTCAGGGCATTGATGCAAACTGTGGCGCACACCTGATGTTGATGCTTGTGGCAAACTAGTCCGTTTCTCCTCCTCCTCCCTCCTCTCTCTACAATCCTCCTCCTCTGTCCTCCTCTCTCCAGCTTTCCCTTTGTCTCCTGGTATCTGTGCTGCCTCTTTTTCACCAGTATCAGCTGTTCTCCTCTCTTGCTGGCCCTCAGTTTCTTTCCCACTTCCTCCTCCTCCCCCCTGCGCCCGCCTGAAGAGGTCAGCAGCAAACTCCCGGGCTCTCACAGCTGCCTGTGACTGGCTAGGAGATGAGGGGATCGGAGCGGGCCTGCTAGGTGGCAGTCGGCTTTCGGGGGATCCCTGAGGTAGTGACGAAGAAGTGGCCAAAGAGGTGGACGAAGGAGAGGTGGAGGCTTGACTTGACAAAGCGGCTCTCTTTGTGTAGAGGATCTGCGATGACTGACCCTGCTTACCTGCAAGAGACATCAGGAAAGAGAACTGAATTCTGACATGATACTGCTGAACATCCGCCTGAAAATGAGCCAGTCTCATAGATACGAATTAATGAAAATGCACACGCGCATCACGAATAACAATTGGTCATTTTTTCTTGAGCAGTGACAGTGAAAGACAACTAATTTGGCAGCTTGGGAGCATAACAGAGCCACAATACACAGAATAGCACATCAAAAATTTCAGGCCTTTCCCTCACCCTCGAAATTCAGTTTCTCCTGACAATGACCCGATCTGAGCTTTTTCCTATCCCCTATCCCAGTAAATATGTAGTGCATCTTAGACAGTTAAAAATATAGCAAAGTCTGATTGCAGACAGAAAACAGAGACAAGGACAGTGAGTGTGTGTGTGTTACCTGTGCAAAGTGAGATGCCACAGGCCACTAGAGAGTAGCTAGTGTTTAACAGGATCACCTGGTCCTTCTTCAGCTGGAAAGCTGGCTGGAAAGTGGGGAACGGATACACCACCTGGTACCTGCTGTTGAGAACATAGCCATGCTCAAGACACTCCCCACTCCCTGGGGAAAGATGAAGAATACGGATGAGAGAGAGACAGGGGCAATGAGGTCAGTGGAGTTGTGCATTTTTGTGTGTGTTTACCTGTGCGTATGGTTGTGGCTGAGGGAACTGGGCAGCAGTAAGAGCATGGTTTAGGAGGAGGCATGGAGGCAATGGTGATGTAGATGTCTCTGTTGTTCTCATCACTCATCATCAAGTTCATCAGCACAGAGCTTGAACTGCGTGTACTAGCAAGAAGAACCACACAATATTACTTGTCATTACCTACATACTGCAATAACATAATTCTGTTTGAAATTGAAACAGCCGCATAAGGCTGCTGATCAGTGTGTTTATTATTACTTACTTAAAGCCAAAGATGACAATTTTGGAGTGGTCGTTAGGCCACTCACACACAGTAAGGTACAGGTCACTGTAGATTTCCTCACCTGCAAACAGACGCACATGATGGACCTAAAAACATAGAGTAGATATGAGACAACATACAAGATAAGCATACATTCAGTTGACCTTTCAAAGTTTGCATGTGAATCTACTGGCTATATCACGATGAGGATTCCTTTACTTGTTTGAGTCTACTGTGCAGGTTGAACTCCCACCAATAGAGATGGTAGGTATAGAAAGAGAAGTCATCATCTTCTCCACAGTCGCTGGTGTAGGACAGAACATAGCGGCCACATTTGGTGAAGCCAAGGAAGATATGTCTGGAACCATAAAGGTGACAGAGTATGCACAAATATAATACATGTCTTGACTTGAACAATATTACACATGAGAAATCTCCACTGTGGATACAGTGGTCACTGATACGCTGGATCAGTATTGGCGCTGCACTGGTATTGGAGCTGTAGTCTGTTTCGGTAGACAAGCTTAACTGAGGTAACCGGTATTGGTAGAGAAAACTTGAGTCGGTGCATCCCCACTAGCAGTCTCATATCTAGATAAAGCATCACAACAAAATCACAACAAAACCATTTAGTTAACACATGTACACTGACCCTGCTCTCAGGAACTCCTCGCTGACAATGTTTTTCAATGGGACACACACTCGAGGCGGGAGCTTCCTGAACAGACGCTGAGAAAACTGTCCCGATAGCTGCAGAACAGGTCAGAGAGTAGGAGGAGATGACAACTTCATGAGCACATACATAGTGCAACATGAAGCACAGAAATGTGTGTGAAGTATAGAACATTTGTAGTATTAGTGGAATAGCTGTTTCAGAAGTAATGGCTCTGGATAAAAACTACACAGGGATATTCAGCTTCATTCAATGCCAGGCACAGTAATATATCTAATGACTTCCAGCACACATATAGCAGAGGAGTTGTCGATGAAGTAAAGCGGTTTACTTTAAATCCGAGGGCACAGGTTTCTTTTATGGGCTGTGGTGCACTACAAGTTGCTGCAGCCGTTTAACAGAGGCTAACGTCGACTGAGCTTTAACGTTACAATATAACAGGTATTTACCATTGACTTTAATGGCTAGCATGCTACCAGCCCACCAGTGTTACATTAGGTCGAGATGCCTTTGAGCCCATTAGCAAACCAAACAGACGAATGACGAGGGACATCTTTAAAAAGCAGAGAAAACGCATTTTCATATTTTGTAGCATTAGCTAATTAGCCACCTTCCAGCCATTAGCTGTTAGTTGGTTAGCCACAGAGCTAGTTAGCAGTTAGCTATAGCCTCAGAAGCTCCTGAAAAGGAGGAGGCTTTGACTGAAGCAGTCTCACATAATCTATGAGCCATTCTTTTCGTGCCATACATTACGTGGATTCATATCTACCTTCCCACGCATGAGAAGCTTCACGACATGGTCTTTATGTTTTCTTTGAGCTTTCTGTTTGCCGTCGTCCTTTTCTGATTTCGAGCTGGGCGCCATCTCTCCCCGAACTGTTGTCCCTAGTCGCAGTCAGGGCCGTCCTGATTGGTCCACAGCTCGCACGAGACTGCCCTCACTCGCCGGTGGACACATCCATCAAGACCAAAACAAAGGTAGGCCACGGCAGAGGTGACATCCTGCAAGAGGCTACTACAAAGGACCCAACTGTGTCCGATACAACAGTGCCACGTCCGGCAACAATAAAACGTGAAATTTTGACAAGACATTTAATCTGATATGACTTAAGCATTTCGTCTAAAACAAACTCCCAAACACAATGCTGGTGATGAAGACACTGGTAATTTGAATGTTTTTATTTTAATTATTTAAAAACAAGTTGTAAAAAAATAACAGAAAAAAAAAAAAAATTCAAAAAAAAAAAAAAAATCAAAATACAATAACAGAACCTATTGGACCAAAACAAAATCTTTCAACAATGAAGCTGTAGAAATTAAACAGAGGACAGTCAAGCACACAAACGCATACATGCACACACAACCAACCTACACAACCTGTAGGGCAGTTAGTGCCTTATTACAGCCACACGTTTTCTGTTCAGTAGCATACACTGTATACAGACACACACAACCCCCTGGAGGAAAATAATTACAATGAATAAAATCAAAATAAGAAATAATGGTAGCAGGGAGAAATACACCTGCAACTTAAACACTGGGAATGTTTTTTAAAAATTAAGTTTAAAAAAAAAGTACCAAGAAAAAAAAAAAAAAAAAAAAAAAAAAAAAAGGACCAAAAATTTTGCAATTGTCTTTCTTACAAACATAATTTTTGAATATATTCAAAATACTGCTTGACAGTTTTTACCCTCAGGAAATTGAAGGGGAAAACCACTTAAATGTGAGTCTGTGTTGAGATGCTGTTGTGCTAGCTTACAAGCAAAATGCTTATTATTTCACATTTTTAAAAAACTATCAGATGTATTACAAGGTGTGTGTGAGGTGAAGGGGCAAACTGAATAGTAACTGAAGTAGTTTAGTGCTTTGTTCAATGCATGGGCAAATTCCCTTTTTCCTTTCTTCAATTTTGACTTTAAAAAACAAACAAGGAGGTTTGGAATAGAAAATGTCTGGGTGGATGAGTAAACCATGGTCTTGTCTTATTAAAGCCAAAAAGGAAATCTCTTGACAGAAAAAACAAACAAATCCAGAGAACCATCGAAACCATCCAACAGACCAAGCCACTTGTTTACTGGGCCTGAAAAGAGACATAATAGACATAATGTTATTTTAAAAAAAATGTGACAATTCTCTCACTATAAAACTAAAACTAACACTTGCGAAGTTCCAAATGCATTTGGTTTTAGCATGATCTGATCCTTTTAATAGAATTGAACCAATCTCATAATACCAAAACAAATGGCTGGATCATGTAGTACCAATGTTTTTTCTCTGCCATGATGGTTATCTAACCTACATTCATTTTACTAGAATCCTCATGTTGCATCCATCCATCCATCCAGGACACGATTAAATGAAGATAAAGACACTGAATAAGTACGTTTTATTAAAACTAACATCTGCTTCTTATACTGACTGTCATATTATCTCATTCTATACACAAAAGGTGCAGAAAACAGTCGGGAAACCTTCAGCCAGTAAATACATTTGGCAGGTAATTGGTTTTTTTTTTTTTGCTTACCAGACCTTGGCAGCTACAAAGTTTATTTTCAACACTGGTTATGCATGTGGTACCTGTTGTCCCTGCTGTTGAGCAGCTGCCTGTCCAGGAGCCTGCCCTGCCTGTCCATAATAGGCAGCCTGCTGTCTGTAGTACTCAGCCCAGGCTGCACTGTAGTCCTGCTGGCCTCCAGCAGCAGCTCCTCCTGCTGCGGCTGCGGCTGCTGCGCCTGGAGCAGCTGCTGCCCCTCCAGCTGGCTGGGCTGGAAAAACAACACACAAACACATCTGTTACTTGCACACTCATGCAATTGTTTTATTTTGCAGAATATTACTGTTGTCTGGATTAATGATTAATAGTACTGACAGTTGTACTCATAATACTTATGATTGTGTGATACACTTCATGTAATTCATACAACAGGTTGTCTGATACTTTGATTTTGAGGAAAATGATTTCTGTGGATCTCCAAATTAAATGGATTTTATAACTTCAAACATATTTAAAAGCCTCTTCAATTTATTCTTGATTTTAACATAAATTCTTATTTGTTAAATAATTCAATAATAGTTAACTGTTGGTCTAAAATTGTGTGTATCACTTTTAAGGACGCAATATGAATAATTTGAATGAAATCTATGCATTTATTTCACTGCTTAACAAATCTTTGAAGTGGGGGATATCAAAATGTTGATGCTCAGTTCACTCTAACAGACAAAATCTTGTAATTCAAAGTTCACAAGTTATCAAAACACATTCTGAAAAAACTGTTTCAGCATATCCCACTTACTCATGCCCATCTTCTTATAGTACTCCTCCCAAGCCTTTGTGTAGTCTGGCTGGCCTCCAGAGGTCTGTGCTGCTTGGCTCTGGTCCCCAGGTGCTGCTGCTGCAGGAGCTCCTGGAGTCTGGGCTGGCATCGCACCCCCTGGCTGTTGGCCATAGTATTGTGCGTAATACGCAGCCCATGCTGCATTTGGGTCTGCTGCCGCTTTACCTAATAAGGGGAGGGGAAAAAATAAATAATGAAATTAATCAATATAGCTCAAACCAAAGTAACTTACAACAATATAAAACGTAACAGCTTAAGGGTGGTGGAAGTAACTGAACAAAATAAGACACTCACTTGGGTCATGTGGACCTGGGGCTTGCCACTGCTGGTAGGTATTTCCCCAACCCTGAGGACAGTACTGGGGACCACCAGGTGCGGCTCCACTGCAGAGAGGGACAGGACAGTTTGAGTACTGAAACTTCTTCTTCATATCAGTCACAGCTGCAGGAAAATTGTGTGTTGTACTTACTGGGGAGCACCACCAGGAGGCCCTGCATTATATGGGTTGGGGTTATAGGGACCCATCGGACCACCTGGGCCTCCTGGACCAGGACCACCACCCACTGGACACAGTGGACCCTGGAAAGAAAAAACAGGAAGGAGCCAATGTAAATATCAGTTAAGTCAATCACTTCGAAGCTGTTTAAACTATGTATCATTACTTGCTGTGTGAGTTACTCGAACACACCTCAATCTTCTCTTCTATGAGCTGTTTTGCATGATCAATCTGTTGCGGGGACCCTCGGATGATGAACAGTTTGAAGTTTGGGTCACCGTTTGGTGGTGGTTGACGAGATATTTCCACAAATGCACCAGTCTGTTGGTTGATGGACTTGACATTCTCTCCTCCTCTGCCAATGACAAGCCCGCATTTGTGAGCAGGAATGGAGAAGGTCATCTCTCCTCCTGGAGGACCCCAGTTCCCCTGGCCTCTACCACGCCCACGCCCACCAGGCGGCATCCCTGCACCAGGACCTGGGGGGCCCTGTGAAAGAACCAGGCCACATGTAAGGTCTACTGGTTTCTGTGCTCTGCCATCGACACAGACATCAAGATCAACACTTTAAAAAAGGAGTCAAATGTCTGACTCTGCTCTTTTTACTTACCCCCTGTCCACCCTCCTCTCTGGCACGGATGCTCTGTAGCAGGTCAGTGATGACTGAAGCAGCATGCTGACACTGGTCTGGTGGACCCATAATATGGGCTATTTTATCAGGACCCGTACCATCATCTGTAAGGAAGGACAGGCATAGACATGTTTAAAGGTGAGGGCTTACACAGGAGCTGAAAGAAAACGCAAAAAGGATGAACTTCGTGGATAGAAGACTTTCCATCTAAACAGTACAAATTATTCATTTTTGAAAAATTTCACTTTAATCTCAAGGATATGGAAGCAGATTTCTTCATGCCTAGTCACAGCAGCACAACACAATAAGTTAAATACAAGAAAATAAAACTATCAATTACTTTTTCCTGATGACCAAAAAAGGTGGAAATGACCCTAACCCGATTATTTTGGACAAAAGCATCCAACATCCTTAGTAGGTTTGATCTTTTTTTCCAAAGATTTACCGTTAAACATAGTTTCTTTGTTTTACCAAAGCTAAAGCAGTGTTACTGGTATTTAAAATTGCATGCCATTTTATTATATTAACAACGTTATGAAATATGATGTAATTTAATAATCCAAGAATGTTTGGAGAGTTCACCTGGTTTAAACTGTATTTTTACACCGGCATCGCTCTGGATCTTCTTAATCATCTCCCCGTTACGGCCAATCACAACTCCCACAGAGTGGCGGGGCACAGCTATCTGTAGAATTAAAAAAACAAATGTGACTTAAAGCTGCTGCGTCTTACCCATTAATTAAAATTATGGCAAGCATACATGATACTGTATATTCAGCTGTAACTTCATATTTAAACACAGACATTACTTACGTCAATGCCGCCGCCACCGCCGCCGCCACCACCACCTCCTCCCATCCTTGATCCGTATTCGTTCCTGTCTCCAAAGCCAGCGTGATCCCTTTCCCGTAGAATCTCATTGACCATCTCCTTTGCTTGCTACAAAAGCAACATCAAGGAAGACATGATGTGATGGGTAAGATAGAACAAAAGCAAGTATTAAGCATTTTCCTCTTTACCAGAACTTTCTCCACAGTGCTCAAAGAGTACCTGCACTTTGTAGGGGTCTCCAATGATGCGTAGGGGTTTATCTATGTTAGGTGGCTGAGATCCATCTTGAATAAGAATCATTTTAACTCCAGCTCGCTCCTAGGAATTTGTAGGAGAGATACTTTACATTGATTACAGAGACATGGCATGTTGACCTAATCTGTCTTTAAGCATGTAATTCCGTTCACTGGGCTTTCCATTTAAGCGATAATAGAAAACAGCAAAGACCTTTCCCCCATAATTTTCTTTCTAATATTTGTACAGTAGAGATAAGATGACCTGTAATTCTCACCTGTAGCTGTTTGATGGTCTCTCCTCCTTTGCCTATAATGAGGCCGGCCTTGCCTGCAGGGATGATCATCTCCTGCATGGAACCTGCCTGCCCATTGGATGATTCGTGACCCCTGGACACTATGTCATCTATAAGTGCTTTGGCTCTCCTGGAGGCAAAGTAAGTTGAAAAAAGGGTGATGATACGATTAAAGAACACAAGTCTACTGCAGCATATGAGCAATTTAGTTAGTGGGTCACACTAATCTGACTTATTACAAGCAGTGCAGGCAGCTCCAACTGTACCTACAGTATGCCACAGTCCTGGGCAACTGTAGTTTTAAATCAGCAGACAAATGTGAAAAATAAATTCCAAGATATCTTGGTTAGCCTGAATTGCTATGATCGCTTTCTCATACATTGTACAGTTATCTGGCAAAATATGGATTTTATTTATTTAATATGGCTGGAAAACATTCTTATTGGTGGCTGATGGCCAAAAATTTCAGTAGATGGTTTTTTTTTTGCCAATAAGCTTGTCTGCTACCTGGAAAAAAAAACAAAAAAAAACAAAACAAAAAAAAAAAAAACAGGAATTCATGGACTAGTCTAGTTACTGGAAAATGAAAATGTTTCCTATTTGTTAGCACTCAAAAAACTCATGGCTGCCTTTTTTATGTTTGTGCACTTTAAAGTCACACTCAAATGCAGGGAAATAGACCTTCCCTAAAGCTGAGGGTGTAGCTTTCTGTACTCATTAACAAACTCCAACAAATGTTAATAATTATTCTTAGAAGTTCAACAAAATCCTTTTATTTTTATGTTTGGCTGTGCACGTCAGGTGAGCTTCTAAGGTTAACCACACATGACTTCTACCAATCACATAGCCATTTATGCCCCAAATATAGCTAAGTTTAGAATAAGGACCATAGTTGGGGTTTAAGTTAGGCAATCTTGGCAAAGGATCTCTTGTATACAGCCTGAAAGGAAGTGCTGCTTTTAAGGCTAAACTCTGGAAGAAAAGTTCTAATAGTGCTAGTCTTTAACATTGCACAAGTAAAAAGCAAATGGTTCTAAAATGTTATACTATCTAATGTCCTAAAACGAAATTAAACTTTAGTAATAGATTGTTTAATTTCACGTGTAGTTTGATTAGACAAGCAATCAATCTCTGGGGAAATTTAATAGTGTTATTTCCCCACCTGTGACCAGAGCTGCTACTTGATCCCATAAATGTCCATGAACAAAACTCCCAAGAAACAAAACTTTGAGTGTTGAGTGGAGTAGTTGCATTGGAAAATGAAAATGCCATTGTTATAAAATATGAAAACCAACTCACTGTATGGCATCTGGTGACCCTGTCAGAGACACACTTCTCTCTGGAAGACCAGCACTGTCTGCGAATTAATATGAAAATATGTGTCAATCCAAGAGCAGCTGGAAAACCCATAATACATTGTTGATTTAGTAAATATGTGGGTAGCACAAAGCTCACCATGAGCAATCTGGACCTTGCAGCCAGAATCCTGTTGTATTTTGTTAATCTGTTCACCTCCTCGGCCGATGACTTTAGGGAAAACAGCAAAGACGTACAGATTTTAGTTTGAACACAGTGACACAGGCATTCTTTGAATGGTTTAGGAAATGTATGTGCATGTACTCACTGAGGCCAACCATGCCATCAGGCACTCTGTACTCTTCTGTCATTGTGGAGGGCCTGACACTGCAGACAGATAAAATAATTGTATTATACAATGGATCTTGTCTCTGTTCTAATCATTAGATCAGAAAGTGTTAAGTGATAAAAATAACCCTCTACCTTTGTTGGGACAGGGCAGCCAGCTGAGCTCCAATAGCTGTAAGAGAAGGAAAACTGTTGAGTGGTTGGAAACTGAGCTGAGTGTGTGTTTGTAATAGGATCAAGGTGGGTATTCAACGTACACAATGCAGAATCTCTTTCACTCTGTGATGCTACCTTCTTGGCATCAGGTTCATCTAAAGATAAACAAAAAAATTGAGTTTTACAATGTAGACAATCAGATGGAGAAAAAAATGGCTGTTTGTGCCGATTTATAACCTGCTTCTTCCAAGGATCGTTTCTGTGCTGTGAATGGATAATTCTCAGCTCCTCCGTTGTTACTTGCTGTGGGAACACCGTCTCCGCCAATTTTAGCTGCAATCTACAAAGAGGTGAACACTAGATGAAGTTTCTGCAATACACCCTAAAATAACAATGAGGAACTTTCAGGGGCGGACGTTTTGGTAGAGCATTTCACCATGAGCAGTAAGTGACCTTTTAAACCCTACTAACTTCTAAAATTGTGATTGCATATGGAGACAGATCATTGCAACTGCACTGGCACTCCATTGACACATCAGTTTAATCATGAGGAGTACTGACCCATTACTAACTGATGATGTCATTAGGGTTATCTGGATTTAGGGACAATCAGAATCAGAAATACTTTATTAATCCCCTGCAGGAAATTGTTATGTTGCAGTGCTCCATTCCACATATAAAAATAATAATAAAAATATAAATATAACCACCCATGTTCAAATATAAAAACTGGAGGTGTGGTGTTTGAAAGATATGGGTATATATTAGGCAAGGAGGATTTAACTGAAGATTGTAGGACTAATTACTAAGCAGGTAGCACTAAGCATTATAAGTGTAGGATCCGTTACTTTTGGAGCTTGACCCATTAAAAGTCATTGAATGTCTCTTCCCCTAATTGACCCCTAATTTAAAAAAAAATCTGTCTTATAAGTGCTCCAGCTATATAGAAATGTAATATTAAATTATTAGTAGAGCTATACTGCTTTAACTTCTATTTAGTAAGACTGGAGAACTATAATGGTATTCATCCATAACTAACAGTGCCATCAGTTTGTTTAGTCAATCAACAAACAATTAATTTGCAACGATCTTGAATATTAATTAACTGCCTATGTTTTTTTTAAATCAAGAAAAAACACCAAGCATTCTCTAGTAACAGCTTCTCACATGTTGAACTTAGCGGCCTTTTCGTTGTTATATCACTATGAATAGATTATCTTTGGGTTTGGGGCTGCTCCTGAGACAAAACAGTTGTACTAGCCGTTTTAAACATTATATAGACTAATTAATTAAGGAAAGAGTCCGTGAAAACAATCATTAACCCTAACCTTGATGACTACTAAGACCGGTAATGAAGCTTCACACTCTGGCCATCGACCATAAAAGAAATAGCCTCCGGGTACTTAACTTTAACTCACTAGGTACCTTCAGCAACATTTTGTTCATTTGTAGCTAGTTATCAGCACAATATATCAATACAGTTAGTTAATCTTGCTTCAAGGCAGTCATAATGTCATGACATTACCGTTAATTGTTAAATCTTATTAAAGCTGGGTTTCCTAAATAGGGGAAGGCGAAACTTTATGTTCTGGTTACCGTTAACCATGCTCAACAAACCTAGCTAACTTAGCTTAAGTAGCTAGTCCATTTAATTTAAGGATCCTGGTGGCAATAATTATTATATTTACATAAAAGAGTTACCTACATTGCTGCCGCTGCTCAGTGCAGCACACAAACCTGCTCAATTGATCCCTCAACCGTACAAGCGTTATGGACAAATAAATAGCATTGCTATTAGCTAACTAGCTCGCTAGCTAGTTAACTAGAGCTAACGTCACGGGTAATTAAGCTAGCTGCTGTGTCCCTGTAGCTAACTAGCTCCCCGGTCGTCTTATTTTTGTAGCACGGCACTTGAGTTACCTGTCTGGCTCGTTGTACAGCATCAGCAAAAGCATCATTTTTCATCCCAGCGCCGACTCCATTAGTCGGCAGACCGCCGTATTCAGACATGCTGCTCACAAGGGGCAAGACACACAGGGGGCAGGCTGGATGGCTTTGGCCGGGTCGAGCTGCGCAGAAGCGGGAAGGCAAAAAAGGAACGTAGCGGGGGACACCAATGTGAACCACGCCGGCAAACTTCCCTGCTTAAAACAACCAATCAGTGCTGCTTCCACCCGGGTTTTCTTCCTCTTCTTCTTCCGTACATTGTTGCGGGTTGACGTCCAACGTTGTACTGCGAAAACATCCCCACCCCCTGGGCTGGAGAGTAGACAGGACACTGTCGGACAAATCTATTTTTTATCTATTTATACTTAATCTCAAACTTGCATTAATCCATTTATGATTGAGAAACTATAATGCAATTTTATTTAACAATTAAAGACGAAAATTAAAGATGGCAGATAAAGGTTTCGTGCATGATGAGAGTCACTACATTTTATTTTTAGTAATAGGGCTTACAGTATATCATGTTAACCTCCGCAAAGGAGATTATGTTTCACCCGTAGACTAAATTTAGCAGAGGGATGGGCATGGGCCAGGGAAGAACCCATTCAATTTTTGAAGTATGGTGTAAGGTCAACATGATTAATTTAGAAGTCATGTGTCCTAACAGCCAGCCAACATTTATTTATTTATTTGACGCATCACTCTATTCATTATTACTGCATCAATGAAGAAAAGCCAAATGAAACAAACACATTCTTAGATGTACATTAGGCCTATTCATAGTGTCCTGAAAGTTGTACAAACATAGACTCTCTCTTTCTCTTTCTGGTTACCTGTGACCTATCTCAGTTAAATGATTTTACTTTTGTTATCATATCAGATGAACTCCATTCCTCCTTTATTCATTCTGGATAACCAATGAGAACCACACAATAATGCTTTGTTGGTTTGTTTGTTGTCTGTGTAATACTGTTCATTTGCAAGAAAGTTTTTCATTTTGTGGAAATGACAATGTGAAACTGCATGTCATTTTGTGCTAATTATAATGTATATGAAAATGAGAGCGCCATTTCAACCCAATTTTATATCCATTAATCATTCAACTTTATTCCAGTCCAGGACTCGGATTTGAGTCCGACTATTGACTTGGACTTGAGCACTGATGACTCGGACTCATGCATTTGGACTCGGAAGTTGAAGATGGACTGAGTTTTTTTTTTGTGTCAATTTTAGTGCATGTTTGAGAGTGGATTTATTTGGGTATTGCGTGACACCAAGTAATTGAACTCCCTTTGAAATGGTGACGGCTGTGTGTTATTTGTGTTTAATGTAGACTTTATCAATTGTATGTTAGCTCTTTGACTGTGCCAGAGATAATAAACTAATTGGAAATGTACTAGTTGAACACTGCCTATATTTGCCCTACAAATAGAAAAAACTAGATAGTTCTGTCCAGGAAACTTCTAGGAAGATCCATAATGAAACATTACCAAAAAATCTTAATCATATTTGTTGGGAAGAATGAGGTCAGACTGCATATGAGCTGTCACTATTGCCGTTCATTACAGTTACATTTACTTAGTGCACAGCCAGAGCTTCTTGGTGAACCTTTACAGAATGGACAAACCCTACAGTGTTTATTGGCAATGTAACAGTAGCTAATAGTATGCTTTTATTAACTACTGTTGCACTGCAACTAAAAGCAAAAGAGTAGAACAAAGTGGCCGTCCATTAGTACTTTCATGAAGACAACCTGGTAAGTATTATTTCAGTGGTTTCATTTAATTTTGACACCTGTGACATAAAGTGGAAACTAAGTGGCATTTATTTAACAGAAGTAGCACCATGCATGCATCTATTTGCACATTCCATAATAAATACTGACACATCAAAAAGAATAACTGGCATTAAATGGCATTTCTTATTGTTTCATGATACAGACTGAGACTGCTATCTCTTTACTATAATATTGAAACTGCACATTGTGCACATACAGTTTATGAAAATACTATGTGGCACTGGACCCTGTAGTGTTATTCAAACATTACAAAACAAACACACCTCTCTGCATAGGAAGACTTAAATAACACAAGCATTTTGCCTGAAAGGTTATAATGAATCCTCTGTGCGTCTTGATATGGCTTTGGCAGTTTCCATTTCGTAAAATATTAAGTATATTTCTTTACTCAGTAGTAATACTTCCAGGAAAGAGAAGCATTTCTTCCTGTTTTCACCATTTTCCATTTCAGTCATGTCCATGTGATCATTCAAGAGTTAAGTTCAGTAATTACCTGCTGTTGTTTGGTAGGTGTTGCTGTACTTTAGTATTTGTAACATTTGTTTAAGACATGTCAATCAAAGTCCTGACTCTGTAACTTCACTGGTCTGCAGCGACTTCAGGATCCACTTAGAGAACAGGAAATTGGATCAATCCTCATATCAGTCGTTTATCGTCTTTATGTATCACCTAGGAGAAAGAATAATGCTGTAGGAATGTGACATGGTTTCCAGGTTTGGTAGCACCTTTTACCTGTTTGTTCTCAGGCAAGTTCATGCAAGTTTCCATCCGTCCAAGTCAGTGCAGTAGCAGGAGGTTAATTGGTTAGCTTTAACGCAACTGCTGGCATGCACTGCAGTGCAATATATTGCACTTGAAACTCCTCACAGCAGCTGCAGTTCAGGAGTAGTCATCTGAATGTGAGGCTTTAACAGCAGATTACATGTAAAAGTTGATCTCTTTTCCTTCCATGGTTTATTTTCCATCCTACCATATTCAACCTGAAAAGTCAAGACTTGCGACCATGTATTCATCCACCATCAAGGCCCATCTCCTCATGCACTGCCAACAGATCTGAACGTGCTTGTAGATAAAAGCCACCCCCAAATCATCTATCATTTCATTACCCTTTCCCTTTCCCAGCCCTCCTACCCTCAATGTCCACTCCCAGGGCTATCCTTGTGTATTCGTAGACGACGTAGGACACGCTGACAGCAGGAATCACTTTCAGCAGGTTGGGGGAAATTCCTCTATAAAGTCCGGCCACACCCTCCTTGGTTACGATGTTGTGAAGCAACGCCAACATAGAGGGTTTAGGGGCTCCCTTCTCTAGAGCTGAGGAGAGAGAAAAGGGCTTCACTAGAGCATTCAGCTCTCTCACTCGACGTAAGCTCACCTCTGCCACACTGTAGGTATCCAGTGTTAACTAAAAAAAAGTCACGTTCACTCTGGACAGTTTCTGTTCTTGTCAGTTTGTATGACTGAGTTCATGGACTATCCTCGTGGTTTTGTCTTTTTTAGCTCATTACTTACAATGCTGTAAACAATCTGGTGCTTGCTTTATTATAGAGGAGAGAACAGATTAAGAATTATTTTACAGCTAACCATTTCCCAAAGCATATCATGCATTCAGAGTGACATTGGAAACAGTAGTTTGACAAAAAAAACCTCAACTCAAGGTCCACTTACTAATTTTTTCTCAGCATTAAACCACACATCTCGTAAACATCTTGTGGTCTTCTGAGGAGATGGAGTTAGTGAGGAGAAAAAAAAACTAACATGTGGATCCTGAGTTAAGATTTTGTCAAACATATATATTATAAGAATGAACGGCAGCCATTGGTTTACAGGAAACAGGAAAATCTTACAGAGGAATGTTGTTCATCCCCCCAGTAGAGCTCAGAGCACTGTAGCTGTTCTGGAGACCTGTGGTGGCTCTACAGTCTCTACAATTTCTTTTAATTTGTCACCCACCTGTATTTATTTTAGTATGACCCTTACCCAGTGCCTGCATTCGGGTGCGGATCAGTGCCAGCGGGTAACTTGCCAGCTGTCCACAGGTGCTGGAGACAGCGCCGCAGCCGACCAGCACCATGACCCCCGGGTCGGCTAAACCTCTGTTCCTGTTCAGCCAGGAAAACTTCAGAGTCTGGGGAATAAAGAGAGCGAGAGGAAGGTAAACACTAAGGAGATAAGTGCTATGAGAGCCATGTGCTGTCATGTCTCTCTGACCTCGTAGACAGCCAGGTCGATACCAGCGTAAGGGACAATAGCCAGCATGTTGGGTACATAACCCTTGTAGAAGGCTGTGACACCTTCCCTCTGTAGGATCTGTTTGGCACAGTCTGCTATTCCTGAGTATTGGCCTGTTTTTCTCAGTGTGAGACGAGTCTTCAGCACCTGGAGGGAAAACAAATTGGCGAGATGGAAAGGAAATGAGACAGACACAGAAAGAGCAAAGAAATCAATAATTTCACTGGTCACGCAAACCAGGAAGTGTGTTTTCTTCATCCTATATCAATATTTTATACGTCTATTACCCTGATATTACCTCCATTGGGTAGATGGCTGTCTGAGCTATACCTCCAGCTAGACTGCCGGCGACAAACCTCTCATGCACCCTCAGATTTCTTGTTTCATTACTGCCGCGCATCACGCTCTTGATCTAGGGAGAGTTAGAGAGCAACAGAAAGAATTTGCGAAACATACGATCATAGACAAACGATGAGTTATTACATAGACCTGACTGAAAAAAAGATGGAGTGTGGCTTAAAGAGTTGAACATTTTGGGAAATACATTTGTTTGTTTTCTAGCTGAGACTTAGAAAAGAAGTTTGACACCACTCTCATGCCTGTTTGATGAATATAAGACTACAGCCTCAGTTCAGCATTATGACTGGAAACAGGGAAACAGTTATCCTAACTCTGTCTAAAATAAAAAAAATCCACCTACCAGCATCTCTGAAGCTCACCAATTAACATGTTGTAACTCATTATTTGAATCCATACAAAAAACAAAGTGAAAAAATATGTATATTGGAGTTTTATAGGATTTTATGAGCTGGACTATTTCTTGGCTGGAGCAGTGACTACCAGGAGTCTTTTGCCAATTGTGAGGTTGCAACACAACCAACAGAATCTCCAGGGAATTACAGCTTCCAGTCTTTATGCTAAGAGAAGCTAACAAGCTGCTGTCTGCTTCACCTGTTCGTAAGCAGTGAACTTGATTGCAGTCTCTGGGGCAATTTTAAGAACATTGATTCCATTGCCTCTCCACAATGACCACAGTCCTCCTTCTTTCATCATGGATCGAAAACTGCTCAGCACGTTCCCTTTAAAATCAGAGGAACCGTGAACCTGCCGAGAAGGTTACGACTTTGTGTAAGGCAGTAACGGCTGACTGAAGCAGAAACACTTGACACGTAAGCAGTAACAAATGAATGATCATTTGGTTCAGGCTGATCATAACATAAAGAGATCATAACTGTCCCTGACTGACCTGTCTGAAGACTTTGAGACGGTCCAAGGGGGCGGTTCCAGTCCGAGATACAGATCCAGCCATGGCTCCAGCCATCAGCTGCCGCCACACATACCCAGACTTCTTCTCCTCTTCTGAAAATTCATCTGGGACTGTCAGCTGTTCACCTATATCCAGCATCTACTGGAGCAATGGTGGTTGGAATAAGTCCAAAAAAAAATGAGGATAAAAAAGGGGAGAGAGGAAGACAGACAAAGTTCAGCACACAAAAAATATACACAACGGTTTTCTTGTTTAAGGTGTGCGTAACCTCACCATTGAACGTTTCCAGTAGCGTGCCACATCCTCCATGTTAGTGAGAGGGTTAAACAGGAAGTGGTCTCGCCACTCATTCCAGTCAATAGTCATGTTACCATCCTTGTCAATACTGGGTGAGAAATAAATATAAGAAAAAATATTGAAAATGATGTAAATTCGAGAATTCATAGCAGAAAGTAGACACAAAGATTCATACAGACAATGTTTAGACATTGGGAGGAGGCCTTCAGTGCCTTAGCAGTACAACAATGTATGAAAAGACACTTCTTTGTTTACCACAATCTAACAGAGGAACTGAAAGTGCAAGAAGTTATCTTCAAGACACAAAAGTAGGAAGAGCAGCACCAACTTTGACTAAAAGGGCGACAATTGAGCTCTGAAGATGAAATTCAACGACCAGGCACCCCAGGAAAGTTGTGATCTTTTCTTATGGAAATGTACATGCAACAAAGCAACAGTGCTTAATAAGAGGAAGCAGATAGTTCAGCAGACACATTGGCTAGGTAATTTTGTAAAAGGATTCCTCTTATCTGAGAAGGGATAAACTGGAAGAATATCAGGTGCAATGAATCATCCAGGGGTTTGAATATCAGAGCAACCGCCGTGTTCTGCTATCATCCCGACATCTCTAGGCCTGCGCCAGCCAGATGAAACCCCCACATCTTTTGCGTTCAGAAAGAGCAAAAGTTTGATGATTCAAATCAGGATGCAAAGCTCAGATGTGTGACCATCTCACCTTAGCAAAATCCTGGTGGCATCCTTGAGGCTGATGTCCACACCGATGGAGCGTAGACAGTGCTGGATCTCCGCTGCATCTATCTGTCCTGCAAATATCCACCGATCACACAGTGAGAAATGACAATATGGAGATGTTTTTAATTACCTCAATATGAACATATTGACGTAATAGTACAATTATTATTTCAAGTGTGTCCATGGACTTTTACAGACCATCATTGTTCCTGTCCAGTCTGCTAAACATGAGTTTCAGCTGTTTTTCATGGGTGCGAAGGTACTGTGTGAACTCGTCAAAGTCCAGGACTCCATCCTTGTTGGTGTCCCCGGTCTCCACAATCTGAAAGCAGAGACAGCCAAGTCAATGGAAAATAAATGTCTGCCCATTCAGTGGCTATTTAGTCAGGGACAGAAAAAAATAAAATAAAGTTAATTACACGATGGGTTGTAAACACAAATGCTTTATGAATTTAAGTCAGAAACACAAATATGCCTGTTTCATACTGTTCAGAGAGCTGCTTGGCCTTTCTTTCTTACTGGCTGCGGGTCACAAAAATACTTTGGCTAATAAACACTGGGAACATCAGAAATCATATCATGCTATTGGATTATTGTAAATGCGGTCTATGATTAATAATGTTCAACAACATACATTTGCAAAGTCTATCAGTGCAAATACAACAGAGGTGACCCAGAGAGCTGCCACATACCACAAGATCAAGATTACACTCAAGGTTTGCAGTCTTTAAATAAACTTCTACCTTGCCATCTATTGGTCGAATAATGCTACAGCATGTTGTGTATTTGGGGATTGACCTACATAAAACAGAGGAAAATACTGTACAGTTTGTGTTAATCTCATGTTACAAAAATACAAAGTCTCCTTCATTATTAAAAGATCAAATGGTTTTCATGCTGTAATTAAAGGACTTTGTAAGATATAAAATCATTACATCTCTTATTGACCAGCCAGTTGCCATCTCTGCATTTGTAGCAGTTGTTTATGCAAATGTGTTTATAAGGTGTTAATTTATTACAGTGTAAACATTTTGAAGATAGAGTGTCTGTTTGAACACAAGGTGTGGATAACCAAATCAAAAACCAAATCTCATTTATCATCTTTTATAAAGCCAACTTTCATCTATAATTCAATCCTATTACTGAACTCTTGTCAGAAAACAAATAATAAATGCAGATTGTTTCAATGAGAATTAAAATACTGACAAATAAGAAATGTTACAGAAGAAAGTTTGACAGTTTGGACAATAATCTATACATGTAAAGAGATCAAGTGTAGGACTGAGAGAAAGGTTACCATTCTCATCTTACAAAGTCCTGCTCCTTGTACCAAAATAGACCACATGCTGTGTTTAACATATCTAAACACGTACACACACACACACACACACACACACACACACAGCCAACCTCTTATCATAACCTGAACCTTAAAGTCTAAAATTTAAAGATGTACCTAGTGGGGACTTGTATTTTGTCCCCTAAAGGCAGGTGAATCCCCACAATGTGACTTACTGTGTATACATGATCATGTTCCCACAAGTAACACATTTTCACACACACACACACACACACACACACACACACACACACACACACACACACACACACACACACACAAGTTGCACACCAGTGACGTCTTCTTGGTGGACCACACACTTCTTGCCATAACAAACAGGCACAGACAGACTGAGAGGAGAGAGAGAGACTGTGTGTATTCACAATAAAGTTATGCTGCTGATGTTCTTGGCTGCTGCTGTTGCACAAACAACGAGACGGCAGATCAGAGGTTTTACATAAGGAAAAATGGGAAAGATCTCACTTTATGTTTGATGTGGAGATGAGATGAGATGAGCGATCATTGGGTCTTCCACTTAATTAACAGTTAAGGAAATCCTTGTAAACACCCGTCCTCTCTCTGACACACACACACACACACACAATGACAGACAGTATGTACAACAGGTTAAACCATAGGATAAGTTTGAACAATGGCCCTGTCGGCGGTCTAGCAACATATAATTGCAAACATACCACTTCCACCTCCTTGGTTGGTCAAATCTGTCATCATCTCCTTGTGTGTGTTGCTTAACACAGTCTTAGTGTTCAGTGTGTTTAGTGTGTTTCAGTTTTTACAACTGGCATCCCAGAAAACAAACAGGTGTGGTTCATACAGGTGTCTTGCTATCCTACCCTCTCCAAGGATCTTTTGGAAAGCCCTCGACCCGCCAGCCCTGTCCGCAGTTCAGAGATGTCGATGTATCCATCTTTGTTGAGGTCCAGCTGATCAAACAGCTTGGCCCATCTCTTCTCCCTCTCATGGTCTCGACGCGGGGATTCACTGTCCTGGCAGTGCGCCCAAGGGAACCAAGTCCATTGGGCTCCCATAACTGGTGCCTCTCAGAGTCAGCCGATGGGATACAGGAGCATCAGTTCAATCACTATAGCAACACAACCGTCACACAACAGTCATTAAATTTTATCAATGCTTCAAACATTCACTTTGAAATCAAATTCAAGGACTTGTCGGCATTGGAGACAATCAGTAGATGCAATCTATTCCAAACTGTGATGTACATTTACTTAGACAAGTGGTTATCAACCAGTGGGCCGGGGACCCCACAAGAGTTCACGAGGTGAATCTGAGGGGTCATGAAAAGAGCACTCTGCCGATTTAGCATTGAATTTCTATAACACTGTCACTGTCACAATGGACAGGTTTTTTTTTTTGAATAAAAAATCAATGATGCAATAGAACCAGAGATATTGTCTTTTCCTTTTCACATATTCTTCTTCCTTGTGAAAACCTGGTGTCTACATTACCGACAATGCAACTTGACCACCAACAGTTTGGTCAGATATTTAGGTGTTTTGTGCTAGTAGCGGCTGATGTAGCCTGATGTTGCTAGCCTCAAGCAGAGAAGAGCTGCAGACTACAGAGGCCTGGTAGGCTCACTTCTATGTCTGCACATGCCCGGATTGTTTTCATTTTCAAACAGTCTTTAGCCCCAACCAGCAACGACTCAAGTGGCATCACACAAGACAATTTATCAGACTTTGTGCTGCTCGTTCTGGGGCCATAAAGGGCTTTTTTTTTTTTACATACACAGTAGTGCTCCTTAAGACAGACCTAAAAACAGACATTGATGTGTAAAATCAGTGGAGTTCAAAAGAAGAAATGAGTGTTACTGCTTCACAAAGTCATGCTGTTTTGATTTTCTTCAGATATTCCTTTAATCTTTGAAATAATATTTCTTCTTGTTTGAACTGACCACAACCAGTAAACTTATAAAACTGGTCACAAGTAGACATTTAATTTTTATGTCATTAGCCAAGACCCTGTCTGACCTTGGATATCAGGTATTACATGGTGTTCCTGATATTTTGTCCCACAACATAGGGGATGGAGGTATAAATTAACACCACAATCCAGCCACAGTTTATTGCAGTTAGCTGAGTTGTACAACAAGCTTGCTTCACAGTCAGATTACACCGCAGGACACGTTCTGGTTTGTATAATAACATACAGCTGTTTCTAAATCCACCTCCTTAATCTGATCACTGAAAAAAAAATCCAAGGCAACACGGGACAGCCGCTGTTTCTATTGGTTAAACGTTTTTAAAAGTGGCCCAATCTGATCTTTTCTAAGCTTGAGCCGAGTGGAGCAAAAGCATGTGTTTGGATTGTGTTTGGTTGAAATTACAGGTTAATACAAATACATAATACATTACAATAAGCAATGTGCATGTTGATCCACATTAAGCTTCGATTAAGCTTCTATACAGACTACATTCACGACCGAGTTTAACTTGATCCTCACATCGTTAGGACGTCTATTAATAAAAATCTACGAGACCATTTTGTGACTCACTCTGCGTATGTTTATGTCCAGCCCATGGCAAGATGCAGTGGATCGCTGTGGTCATTTGTGTTCCCGTAGTCAAACCAGCCGCTCCTATTATTTCGATTGCGCGATTGATCAGACGTCTCCGGAAGTTGGAGCTGGAAATTACTTTTAAATACGATCTTACATGTATTGGACAGATGTTACTGGAATATTTTCACGTTAATTATTTCCGGCAATGACCTGGAAGGAAAATCGAATCAAAATGAAGTTTCATATACAGTATAATATCGTCTGCCTTTTCAAAGCTACTGCAAATACCACCAAGGAGTACTTCCGGATTCCAAAGTAAAAGATGGCGCTGGGTGTCATTTCCAATATTTCTTTTAACAGAACAATGTGTGTTGAAAGATGAAAGGAAAAGAGTCTGAAAAAATAACAGTAAAAGGACTCCATAGTATTTATGCAAATAGTATGATAAGTGGTAAGTCTAAAAATATTAGGTTGATGAACTACGTACAGAAGGAATGTTTTTTATTCCCGATTAAAGTTAGGCGAAACTCTTACTCCTGAAAACTACACAGTAAAAGTAGTTTGAAGTATTTGTGCAAGTCCAGCAGTATAGTTGTTTTTAACTACTTATGGAAGAAATGGGTTTTATTCCATATCAAATTTAGGAGAAAGTTTTGTTTTTGTTTTCTAGAAGGGGCTTTTGACACGTTAAGCTACTCAAAAACTATGTATCTGAAGTAGTTGACAATTGTATTAGACTTGTTCTGTCCCATAATCAGAAATACTGGAAATAAAACCCCAGGAAATCCTTTATTTTAAAATCCGGAAGTATTGCATGACGAGATTTACGGTAGCTTTCAAATGGCTGACTGTATTACACTGTAGCAGGGTCTTTACAAAACTGGCAGATTGATTAGATGTTCATAACAGGGGCATAATTAATGTGAAAGTATTTCAGAAAAAAATCATCTATCCCATACACGTGGCACCCTTTTTTATATCACAGTCTTCATATACATTTTATGCTTTTAAAACTTTACTGTTTGTAGATGGTCTGGTTCCATCTTATGCCTTACGTTACCATTGCGTCGTAAAAGCTCGGCTCCCGTCGCTTAGCAACCTTGACAACACCTAACGTTTTTCCCATTCAGTTTTTAAGGATCGTGGTTTTAACATTTGTACCTTTAGCTGTTGAACTGAGTGGTCCAGTGTGACTCGTTTTCCGACAAGAATCAGAGCACCTCCAGCATACCTGTGTCACTTGCTGCTTAGAAGTAATTTCCCTGTCTTGTTAGTTCATCTCTAGTCAAGATTTGTTGCTGAGCGTCCTCCAGTTGGTACTTCAGATTACTCACTGCTGCTCTCAGACTTCCAGTCTCTCTTTGTCTTGTCTCAATCAGATTTTGAAGATGGGCCACCTCAGCAGTGAGGCTGTTCTATGCATTTGTCTTTTTCTGCACAGTACGAAATTCTGCTCTCAGACTTTTCACTTTCTCTCTCAAGATGGGCCTTGTCAGCAATGGGGCTCTTGTTCTTTGCATTTTTCTTTTCCTCATTTTCCTGCACAACATGTAGTTCTGCTCTCAGACTTTCATTCTCTCTTTGTTTTGTCTCCATCAGATTTTCAAGATGGGCCTAGTAGTGAGGCTCTTGTTGTTTGGATTTACAATTTCCTCCAGCAGAGCATGAAATTCTGTCATTCTTTCAATTTGAAATCTTTATTGCTCTGTCACAGATCGAACCTGGGCCAGCTCAGCAGTGCGTCTCCCGATGCTTGCGATTCTCATTTCCTGATCTGCCTGCAGAGCATTAAATTCAGCCATCAGTCTTTCACTTTGAAGTATTCATTGCTCTGTCAGAGATTGTAGCTGGGGCAGCTCCTGGTTGGACAAAAAGTTTTCTATATTGTCTAGTTCTTTAAAAATTGTTGTCTTTGATGTCTTCTTCATTTCCTCTTCACTATCTATCTCCTGTTTGTCAAGCCTTGCTGTCTCCGCTGACACACACAGGCTACGTGATGCCTCCAGTTCCTCTGAAACACTCAGAAAAACGTTTAAATTATCTTGAGACATACTCGGGCTATGTTGCATTAACTGTTGGGGATAAATCGTGTTCACAGCCTCTCAAATACAAGATGTTGACGCAGCCCTTGGTCTGCTCAGTTTCTTGGGCCTCTGTAATTAAGTGACCTCCACCCTCAGTCACCTCTTTTGGCCAAACCTGGAAGGAGGACGGACACAGCAGACACAGTGACTCAAAGACAAACAGAAATTAGTTAATTAAACATATTCAAACTGATAATGACAGAGCAATGTAAACCAAACGTGCGTGCCTCATGTAGAATACAGCGTGGTGTCAAAATGTAACAGTAAACCAACTGTTTTATGTAACTTAAAGTGACTGCAAAGAAACCTACCAAAGACTGTGATAATGCTTTGGGAGTGTATGTGAAACTGTAAAGCTGTTTGAGTTTGTATGTTAAGTGTGGTGAGACTGGATGAATATCACTTCATTTAAATTGTTTGATTGTTTGATTGTGGATACAGCCATCACAGACATGTTTTGGATGAAATAAAACCCTTCTTTTGAAAAGTGAACCTGTGCTAGCTTGTCTTTTGTCCCTAACAGGGACAAAGTCCCTTCCCGAGAGGAAGAATAAAACATTTCCCTCACTTCAATTCAGGATAAAAACATTTCTTCAATAATCAATACACCTACTGCTGGACCTAGTATGTCTAAGTCTACTGGCAAAAGTACTTTGAACTACTTTAACTGTGTACTTTACTTACTTGTACTGCGTACCAAAACAATCCCTTTCGCCTAATTTTAATTTGGGATACAGAACAATTTCTTTCAAAAGTAGTTCATCAACTTTATATTTTTAGATTTAGTACTTCTCAGTACTTCTCTATTTGTGTAGTTTTTTTGTAATCCAGTGTCAAAGTCCCTCACAGTGAAGAAGAGTAAGATTTTTTGCCGAACTTTGATGTGGTATATCATAACTGATAAAATATAATGCATTATCATGGAAAATAATAAACACATATGAAGGAGTTAAAATTAATACAACCTCAACCACATTAAAATTCTGCTTATATGTAAATGCATTAATAATAATCCAGTACTATAAGGGCCATCAATAATAAAACACTCTTAATGGGACCATTCTGCCGAACAAGTACTTTCAATAAACATTTTTTTTCTGCTGATTATACTTTTGTACTTTTTCTTGTAACAGTATTTTTTACAGAATTATATTGGTACATAGATCCCCTCCAGACATGTTTTAAAATGTATGGAAACACATCTGAGCATTTGAGCCTTCATCCCTGACCATATACTGTACAACAACAACAACAACAACACACACACACTCCATGCACACTCCTCTCCAGCCTGCAGTTGTCTGACTCTCCTGAGATGAGTGATGTTGACAGCCCACCTGCTGGTCCCTCATCACTTTATTCTCCTGTTATAAACACTCTGAACACCAGTGCTGGTTTTGTTTACGTCACACTTTTAAGTCTCTTAATGATCCCTGACCACACACAAAGTGCAGACCCCCTTGCATTCATTTTCCTGTTCTAAATGCTGACTTGCATCATAGCATTTGTATCGTCCTGTTGACAGACCTACACGGACTGTGTGCACGTACACCACCTGTGTCATTCAGCTGCTTTCATCTCTACTCATTATCTCTGCACCTGCTGTTCTGAGAGGAGCAGATTGACATATCAGATAGCTCCAGGTAGACTATATAAGAGCAGCTCAGTGTAGTTTCGGAGGTTACCTGATGGAAGAAAAGTCCGAATAAATTGCCCCCAGCTTAGTCTGTTCATTTTCCCTTTGCTGGTTTTCTAAGACCGCAGACCTCAATGTGTAAGGGACTCTCCTCCCTGCCCTCCTCATGTCTGGAGAAGTAAGTATTCAGCGGGGTCATCATGTTTTGTGTGTGAATAAGCTATTTCCTAATTGTGGAGTTTGCATTATGAAGTGTTGTGTGCAGAGCCTGGTGTGATTTCTTGCATCTATCTGTGTGTTTCAGGGCAAAAGATTTGCGGGTGAAGTTAAGCCATCTGGCTGAGACGCACCACAAACACAAGTAACCCTACCGAAACCTGTATTTTATGATAAGCAGTAAATCCACTCACAGTGAAGCTGAATTTGGATTGTTTCTGTCTCTTCTCAGGGTTCAGGACGGAAAAACTCTTCAGGACCTGGAAACTCTACTAAACAGCAAAAGTAAGACAGTCTTCCTTTTATTTATTTTTTATCACTTCTGAAGTCAGCTCTTAACACGATCAACCCACACACCAAGCCTTTTCACATATCACAGTAGGAAAAACACAGGTGTCAGTAATAAACTGACTGATGGCTGAATTACATGTAGCTGCTTCAGTGTCAGGGTCCTGGTGTTGTGCACATGACTCACTGTCACACTGTCATGACTTACAGGAACACTTGAATGGAACAGAGACATTGCTAATGTTATTAGTAACACCTGTGCTTTTCCTACTATGACAACTCAAAATGTCTGCTGGGAATAATTGTCTCTCTCTCTTATTGGAAATTTATTCTGAATGCAAATATAGACAAGTATGCAAAAAAGAAACCACCTGTTTAAGTTTGCACAGCAGCTGCATACCTTGCACCATTTGTGTTTGTACACATCTTTGTTCATTACAACACTAATACCACAGGTGCAGTATATCACCATATACACGGTGTAATTATTCAATGAAATAATAGCCACTGAATTTTTACTGTTGCATACATTTCAACAGAACCTGCTGTAAACATTACAATATTTACTTTTGGCTGACCAAAACTATGGAAAATAAATATCATTGTTAATATTAGTGACACTATGTAACCTTTAGAGGAAGAAATAATACGTTCATCTTCTTACAAATAAGAAGTTGAACACTGGCTCAATTCAACACACTCCTACAGGTTTTGCTGGAGCTATTATTACTGTTGTATAACAGTCAGTCAGTTGTTTGACGTCATGAGTCTTCTCTACTTGTGCTTCTGTTACACAACATTTAACACTTAAGTGTTACATCTATGCTCAATACATTGATACTCACTCATAAGATGTGGACAAATTTCAATCTTAGTTTCCCGATGCCTGGACAATCTTTACCTTTTACAACTACATTTACTTATAGGCACACTTACAGTCACCTCCTGAAAATGTTGAAGCACTAACAAGGGTTAAGATAATGATTGGCACCATGACTTTCCATGGCTTCCCTTTCGTTTTACATCGAATCTTTTTGATTTGTCTCATCTTGTTTGCTCCCTCTGGCTCCTGCAGGCGGTCTGGAGGCGTTTCGTGGGTTCCTGCGTTCAGAGTTCAGTGAGGAGAACCTCGAGTTCTGGCTGGCGTGTGAGGACTACAGGTTTTCACCTTCGAACCTGCAGAAAATCAAGGCCAGCAGCATGTTCAGCCAGTTTATCAACCCTGACGCTCAGCAGGAGGTTGGTGGAGAGGAGAATGTGATATAAGATGACCACAGAGAATCAAGATCGATGGATGTCTGGCAACCGTTTAACACATGAAAGGATGACGAGTAGATTAATATTCAAGAGCTTCTTTTGATACCCTGCTTTTTCCCTCACAGGTAAACCTGGACGCTGAGACCCGTGACGCTCTGTTGAGTGCCATCGACTCTCCATGTGCTGACACATTCATGAAGGCACAGCAGAGGATCTACAGTCTGATGGCCAAAGACTCCTTCCCTCGCTTCCTGCGCTCCCATCACTGCATGGAGGCCATTAAGGCTTTCTAAACATATTCTGTTTCTTACCACAGACCTGCTTTAGAAATAAGTGCTGATGAAGTTGTACTGCTGGACATGTTGATTGTATTTTAGCATTTATCTTAACAACTAGCTTGTTTTGTGATTGTTTTTCATTTAGTTGTGCGGCCCTTGTGCACTGTAAACAGGATGCATGCTGTTACTGTTATGATATTGAGTTGTAGGCATCGTTAAAAAGTCAAACATAGAAACCTCATAATTATGAAGCTTAAATGTAAACGTAGCTACATTGTGCCTCTGGACTACATAAGCTCTGAGTGACATTAACAAAGGATTTAAATAAATACCTCAGTAAAGAGAATCTATAATGTTGTATTTAATATTTGTTGTTTTTTTGTTTTTTTACACTCTTTATAAACTCTATTGTTCCAGTAGCAGCTTGCCAAACTTACTCTGCCACAGAGTAAGAGTGTATGTTAATATCTAAACAGGCTACTCATGACTGGAAAAGTCTTAGCACCATCACGCTCTGTCTGACTATTGCAGATGGCTAGATTTCTGGATATTCATTCTTTTACAAAACAATATTACCACAGTAAAACAAACAAGAAAGTACTTATACAGTTTGTGACTGATATTCGAAAATGAGGCTGCGTGACGGAGCACTGGACTCTCCATGAAGCCAGCTCAGGAGAACCATCAGTCGGAGCTCATCAAAATACGTGACGAAGACACTTGTCAACACTGTCAGTGTGAAAAAGAATTTCACTGAGCCTTGATTTAGCTGACGTCTGTTATTCTAAAATCATCTGCCTTCTGAAGCCATTGCTGGACTTTGCTGGTTGACAGAAATGAAATGCCAACCTCCTTACCAAACATCTGAAAAAAAAAAAAAAAAGAAATCTCGGAGGATAACCACAGAACACTTCTCAAAATAATATTTAATTAAAATACTCCATTCAAAAAAATAAAGCAATTACAAAAACTTTGCATTCAATCAGCTAATGGAAAGTGTATTGTTAAACAAACAATAAAATCCTGATGAGAAACCCACTTCTAATTTCTCACATTTGAAAAATTTATCGGAAACACTCAAATCAGTTTTACTGCCAGCCTGCACATGATCTGGATGGATTCATTCATCTGTGCTGTATTTTCCAGGCCACATTCCCACCCTGCTCACAACAGATTGTTTCAATACCATTAAATATTTACAGAAGTGATCAGCATGGCTGGAATTTACACTTGCAAAGTGTCTTGAACATATTTGAAAGGACAGTGACAGGTGCAAGAATATTTAAGTTGAATGCTGAAATTCTTTTGCTTTTCACTTTCTCTGCTACTAGGATCATCTTCACAGACCCTACTCCTTATGTGTGAACATCCTCACAGCTGGATTGGAATAAAGACAATGAACTGACACAACACCATCAAACCTTTTTTGTCAAGCCCATTTCGTTCTCAGAGAGCTCTGAATCTCATTATCCTTATTTATTTTCTATATAATGATGACTATACAAAAATGTGACAGAATACCTTTTCCAAGTAGAATTACGTTTTAATGTCCTTTCTGTTTTAATCATTGCAGTGTAAAGTGTAAAGTCCTGTGGTGCCATCCAGTGGATGTTTATGTAATGTTCATGACCCTGTGATGCATTTCATCCAAAAATGTCTTGTCTCTTGTTTTGAATGTGTCTTTGATGAACTTAAACAAGCATCTTTACAAGTATGTCTGATTATTTCTATATGCCTCAAACAGTGAGTGACTTGGGAACAGGACAGGTTACATTTGAAATATTAAATTTAGCTCACTGATGCTTCAACTCAGTCCTTTGTGTTGTAACATCATCAGATTCAGGTCTGTAGGTGCGAGGTGTGGTATCTGGTCCTACTTGGAGCTGCTTCCTGGACGGGCTGCTCCTGGGTTGCCTTTACTTTCAGACCCTTTAACCACACTCAGCGGCTTGTGGAGGGAGGAGCTGGCCCTCTGGGTCACCTCCTGCTCAATCTTGTTCCTGATGGCAACTTCTAGACCCTTCAGGGAACAGAACGGTTAAAGTTAGGTAATCCATCTTGCTCACTAATGTATTCATTCATTAATGTATTCAGAGACAAACTGTAACTGTCACTTTTCTTAAAATTGCCCTCACCTTCTTCAGTTTCTGTTGCTGAACCACTTGAGCCTTCTTGGGTGCGATGATCCTCCCTTTACAAAGGAAAGAAAACTGCTCAGCTTGTTTCTGTGATAATCTAAAATTCTTCACCCAGTTAAGATATGCAGTTAAAAACAACCAAGATTGAAAAAGTATATCTTATCATAAAAACGTGGCTTAAAACTGCATAAAAAGACCATTTTGAGTTTCTGGCAGACAACCACAATGCTGACACGTGCACAAAGGGGAGATGGCACCATTGACAGGCCAACAAATGATATGGACCATTACCTTGATTAAAATAACAGATTTCTCTATGTCTGTCATTATGTGCTGTTGTATAAGACTGCATTAGTTTTAGCTAGGTGCACTTACTAAACTGGCAAGTGAGTGTATAATTACAATGGTTTGCTTTATATCGTGTTGCCAAAAATGAAGCTCCCTATTCTCTCTTACTGTGGCTACAGCTGGGTCACACATCACTCCATGGCAGGTAATGTCCTTGATGTCTTTCACATCACACCTTGGTGACATTTAACATTAGACATGGGCGAAGTCATATTGACATTGAATTTTTCATTTACAATCACCACTGACATCATACAGGGAGGAATAAAACTGTTGTCAAGCCGTGTCATAACAATTTGTGCTGGATATAAGAAATATTGAGACTCGAGTCACTTCAACAACGTGTTCAGCTGTTTCCATGCAGCTCACATGTCGACTCTGTTGGACTAAAAATGGCTTCCTCGCCTTTAAAGCAACTCAGAAAATAACGGGTGAGATGTCAGACTCATACCTCCTTTCTTCGGTCCTTTCTGTTTGTTTTGTTGGTTTTTCTTGGAGGCTCCTGGCCGCTGAGCTTTAAACTTTTGTTTACCCTGAGCCATTTTTGCTAACCGGAAATACAAGAAGCGCTTCTTCTTCTGCTCTTCCTTAACAGGTGGTTTTCATCTTCGTTTGTTTCATTACCGCCACCTACTGTCTTTTTGTAACATATGTTTCAGTGTGTTTGAGGCAGACAAAAACAACTATTTTCACTGTGGTTTTATTCTTTTTACTGTATTGATGTGAAAGAGAAATCTCTTAATTCATGACTGCACTTTACAGAATTATATTCATATACATATATATAAAAAAAACCCAGTTTTAACCATTTCCACGTTACAAAATTAAACCCAAATCAAGTGATTATCAATAACAACAATAACATACTTGCACTTAAAGAGGCCATCTGAACAACACTCCTTCCACGGTAATTGCAGGCCATACTAATCATTTGATAATACACAAGCACCCGCTTTGATTAATCAAATCAATGTGGAAAATAGTGGCAAGCAGCGCTGAATTTTGGCACCTGACTACTAGGCATGTGTCGGGGCTTCTCAAGGGGACGTTGGTGGAACGTTTTTTTTTTTTTTTTCTTATATAGTACTATATTGCTGCTGCTTCAAAAACATGGTGTAAAAACATAGCATAATCTAGACACAATTCAGCTGCAACCCAACATAACACACTAGCCTGAGTGTAGGCTACTTTGGCAAACTAAAAGCACCGCCACAAATTATCTGTCACTTTGGGTTCAAGATACAAACATTAGTGAGATGTGGAGAATTTTAGACCAGATTTTTATTCTCTGCAATCTGTCGATCTTCTCTGCTGCAGCCTGGCACGTTTAGTGCTCGTGTTCATGCATTTCAGTGTTTGAGTCCGTGTGGGCAGACGGAGAGGTAGTGTGTATGGTTGAGGAGGCCTCCCCAGTGTGGTGTACTAATGGCCTAGTCACTACAAATCACAATGTCATGAAATAAAACAACAAACCACAGCCAAACAGTTATAATAATGATGTACAGACAAAGAAAAATCTCATACTTCTTAAAGATTTAGAAAGAAATAATATGCTGCAGGTCTGACGGCCACAGAGTTGCTACATAATGTCTGGAACACTGTCTAACATTGCCCCCAAAACGTGTGATGTCTTAAACTGTACAAAACAAAGAAAGAAAATTCAAATACACAAGTGTGTTTATGCTCGTGTGTGACCTACCAGCATCTTTGTGAATTGAGGTTTGATGGGTGGACAGAGGAAGAACAAAGAGGGATGAGGAGGAGGATGAAAGTGAAGGAAGGAGCGAGCTTATATTACAGCTTTTTAAAGATATGGACAATGACACTATAGATACTGCAATTATTATCATTGATATTAAGCTTTTTTTGGGGGGGTGTTTCATCTAGACCTCTCAGCGGTCCTGTAAGTAGAAAGGTGGATTTGTGTATTTGCCACATCTTTAAATGAATGAAGAGAATGATAAAGTCAACAAAGGTAGTGTGTGAGACCACTGACGGGGTGGTAGGAGGGTAGACTGGCGTGTTGTGTGGCCACAGCTCTGTCTCATCAAGCTCACTGAGAAATTCAAGCACAAAAATCAGACAGTACATTTTCATGTGTGTTAGTATGAAAGTAGGGGAGTTTTATCTTGGCTCTGATCCTCCAGGCTACATTTACCAATATGAGAATAACATATGAGAAATGCGTTGTGGGTAATGTAGGCATCAGGTTTTGACTAGGAAAAAGTGTGTAGGTGAGGTTGAGGATGAGTGCAGGTTGGTGTCTGGCTGTTCGAACTTCCAGTCTGATCACCGGTATTGGATAATAATTTACTGACACACATGGTGTAGAAAGATCAGAAACCTGGATACGATGTGTTTACATGTCACAGAACTAGAGTATGTGTGTAAATGCACTCACTGAGATTTTCTCCAGATCTCTTAGAGCTTGATGAGATGGGGGTGCGGCTACGTGATATTAATCGGGGCAGAGGAAGGACTGAGGGTCTGCTGTCTCTCCTGTTATGACATATTGGTGCTGCACATGTAAGGCAGTGAGGGCCCTGTGACATTCAGTACAGCGAGTCGGTGCGTCCCATACAGGTCGAGATATCCGGGACTTTTCTATGATGCTAAATGCATTGTAGGATCATTGGCCAGGTGACATAACTGCAGTAACTCAGCACACACCTGTCACAGAAAAATTACTTGCGTGTTTTAAAAGTCATAACAGTCTATTGCTTATGGGTAAATACAATGTCAGTGTCAGGTTTTAAAACTGGGTTCTGCAATGTTATTTTTCAACCAGAGAGTCACTGTGGGCGCACGATGAGGGTACGACTGAAATGAATGATTACTTTCTTTATTAATCTGTCAATTATGTTTTGATTCATCAAGTAATAATTTAGTAATAATTTGCTTGTAGTGTCCGAAAAATGTTCTTTCCCCAATAACAAGTATATTCCATTTACAGAAATATAAGACTAAGAAAAGTCGCAAATATTCACACGATTCAACGATTTATATATGACAACTGATTATTTTTCTGATTCACCACTAGATTAATCTCATAAACGCCAACAATATAGGGTTTGTCTCCCTTCTATTCCTGTTTTTAATCCTGTTCTGCCATCATCAGGACCAAGAAGAGACAAACTCATGGCTGACAGGGTTAGATATGTCAGTCAGTAACTACGGAGAGAAAACCCTTTGTGTCATCCTTAGCTGCCCATGGCCCTGACCTCATAGAGCAGTCTGCTGGGCTGAAAGTCAGTCTGGAGTAAAACAGCATTTCAGTTCTGAGAAGGAATTAATCCAAATAGTTAAAACACATTCTGAAGTGAGCACAAAGGCAAGACGTGACTTAGTGTCTGGAGTCTGGCCTGATCACAGCCCCCGACTAAAGCAAGTTAATCTGAGTTGAATATTACATTCTGGTGGTTGGTGGCATCACGCCATGTGTTTTCAGATGTACACACAGAGCTTTCTGCAGAGGGACACCGCAGTGTCGAAAAGACCCCACCAATCTTAAAAGGAACAGTTCACCCCAGAATAAAGACATGAAGTTGATCATTGCTCACCCCGCAAGTTTCTGAAGAAGTCTGAGGCACAAATATTCTTTTTAAAAATCTATTCGCACTTTTGTTTCTATAGAAACTTTGGCAAACTCTGCACCTGCATTTTGTCAACACTGTGGGTCTTTAAACCTGTAAACACAACATTAACATCATTAACAACATTTAAGTTGATAAGGTGGAGTAGTCTGTTGGGCTGGAAGTCAGTCAGCTATATCTGATTGTTAGCAAACAGTTGCTTATTTACACATCCTGTGGACACAGACAATAGAAACATTCATTTGGAGCAATGTTTGTGTCCAACTGACAATTGTAAGCCCAATATTTACTCCCCCTGCAGCTCTTTTAGTCTCCAACTCCTGAGGGAGATATCTGGCTCTGTAACTGCTAAATGTGCCACTATGTTCACCGGCTAGTCCTCAACTTTCTTTGCCTGCTTTTTGGTTGATTCAGGTAAAACAGCTAGAACACTCCACAGAGCCGAGGGCGACTGCAGAGTCAGGTGAAAATTCACCTCGGTTCATCACTGTGAGCAACTCCGTAAAATAACTGATTAGTGCAGCTTTAAAGTACAATATTTAGCTTTTCTTGTATTGTTTTGACGCTGCTCTAGTTGAAATGGCAAGTGCAGTGTTATAGGAAATATAATGGAGATATTAAGGTTATTATTAGATTTTTTTTTTTTGCATTCTTCCAGGCTGTAAAATTTAAACATCATTTTTGATAACCCTGACTTACAGGAACCATAACAAGCTGTCCTGGTATTTTGTGGTTACACAAACAGTAAAGTCTTGATTGACGTGCAAGTGAGCAGATAACCAAACTTTCATTTTGGGGTGAACTATTCCTTTAATTGTGATGCCTGTATTACAGAAATACAACATCATTAGAAACTTCTCAGCTCACAGCAAAAGCTCTCATGGCAAAAATGACACCAATTCCTTTTTAGAGATTTTTCAGTCTTATAGAGTGTGCTGTGCAGTATAGTGAATATCAGTACGGTGCTGAAATAAGTATGGTTACATATATATATGTATATATATATATATATACACAAGTACATTATGATAATACAAGTGTGGTATGATATGGTGGAACTGGAAATAGCAAGTTAGAAACAAGGAATGAGGTACAAATACAGTTGTGTATTGTCATAGGCTTCAGCTAACGAGGACTGATCGAAAAATTCTACTTGTTCAAAATTTTGCCGCACAGGGTAAAAAGTGTGAGTGAAATAGGATTTTTAATACCACTAACAATTTCTGGTTGTAAAATGTATGAGCTATAAATTTGGATTATTCCTCTACAAAAGTTTTCAACACAGAACAAAAGAAATTAAATGTTAATATAACATTTTTGATGTCAAATTTAATTTTAAATAACCACATATTTGGTTAAAATAGCAGTACCTTTTCCTAGCAGGGGTTAGTTTTCTACATATGTACACACTAACAGCCAGGATATGTATATTTACAAGTGGGTAGCAGCATTTTAGAAACCATGGCTAATTGAAATCACTACTTTGAAAAATCAGTCATGTCTTAGCCTTTGTGGAAGTTTTTTTTTGTTTGAAGTTGAAGAAGCCCTGAAAAATTACCTCAGTAATGACTCATAAAAACAGATTGCCAAATAGAATTTAAGGAATAGAGTCCAGCTATTCGTTATCGCAGAAGCCAGACAAAGAGGCGGTGAGAGGGAATGAGAGATGGGATGGAAAACTTGGGAGAAGGTGAAATAGAGAGACCAAAAAAAAAAGAAAAAAGAAAAAGACAGACAAAAAAGAAAGGGGAGACTGCACATGTGTGTCTGCTTGACTCCCTGCAGTGAATTAGTGTGTATTTGTGTGTGGGTGAGTAAGAGACTGAAGAACATTTTTTCTTCTGTGTGCACCACTGACATGTAACAGTGACTGTGCGTTTATCAAAATGAAATCAAACGACAACCATGACTGTTTGTGTGTGTTTCTGTGTGTGTGTGTGTGTGTATATGTGTGTGTTCTGTGGTGAGATGAGAGTGTCTTTGAGTGTCTGACGTTAAGGTGCAGTGGTGCACACGGACCAGCAGGAGGGGCTGAGTGGCTCTAGAGGGCAGTGAGGCGACCGGTGAGCGCCGCCTGGAGCTCAGAGGGGAGGAAGACTCCCAGCTCTGTGATGATGCCTCCTGTGATGAGCTGGTGAGGAGTCACGTCGAACGCTGGGTTCCACACCTCGATACCTGCAGGAAACAGTCGTGGAGTGAGTGAGATGTATTTTTTGGATGACAAGAACAAGATACATCAGGCTTTGTCTACACAGGCAATATTTCTTATTACAATCAGTTCTTTGCTGGTCTTTTAATGGGATTTGTTGGCTGTAAGAAAAATATAGAATAACTGCAGCCTTATACTTTAAGGGTGTCCAGTGGCCAAATGGTTAAGGCGCATACTACACAATCACAACCATCCATGGTTGGATTCCCCGCTGGGGGACCTTTGTTTCATCTCTCTCTACACTGTAAACTCTCAAAGGCAAATTTACACAAGCAAATCTTTAAAAAAAAACAAAAAAACAGAACAAAGCAGTTTTTTAAAATGCCATTTACAGGAAGGGCCAGAGAAGAGGCAAGGAGGAAAGTTTAATAGAGAGGGAAATGTAACGTACAAGCACACGTCCTCCTCTCCTCCTCCTCCTCTCCAGGGGCCAGTGTGCTCATTAAACGAGTGTGCTTTAATTACTATGATGTCACCGAACACCTCTCTGCTCTGGCAACGTAATTATAGATCGAATGACTCTATTCACCTCTCACAAACTCACCTAAAACACACACCCAGTGTCCACTCTTACAGACTCAGGCTTTGAACTGCAACATACCTGATTTGAATCTGGCCTGGGACCCGTGTTGCTTGTCATTCTGCATCTCCCTCGTGTCCTTTCATTTCTCTACTGTCACTGTCTAATGAAGTCATAAAACACCCCGGGCCCAACGAGCAATTTTACAAGCACATAGCAGCAAGCACTTTCTGAAATCAGAGCCTCACACTTTACTGACCACAAAAATGTCTTTGTGCAGGTTAACGCGATTTCACAATGCGATTTCACAAAGTCGTGCAGCGTTTGCAGCCCTCGCAGCCTCTTTCACGCCAGCACTTACACTGCATGTGATGTCAATCAAAGTCGTGAGGGTTCAGTGCTTAAGGCTTAGGGCAGACACTGGAAGTGGGCCACACTCATCCAGCTCTCCAAGCCTGATGTTTTCTCCTCACTGTCAATCCTCTGCTGCGCTCACTCTTTTTTACATATTTGCATCTGCGTTACAGTCACTTTAGATTTCTAAAACCACTTTTGTGTGTCTTTTCCTCCCCAGTGCAAAAACCACTAACAGCCCGCACTTCTCACCCGGGGCAGCAATGGGGACTCCGTTTATACTGGTGAGCTCCTCAGGGGGGCGCACTTCGATGATGATGTCCCTGCCACTCTCCAGGCTCAAGTCGCACGACGTGCTGGGTGCGGCCACATAGAAGGGAATCCCATGGTGCTTTGCAGCGATAGCCAGCTGGTACGTGCCCACCTTGTTGGCCGTGTCACCGTTGGCAACCACCCTGTCTGCGCCCACCACCACGGCTGAGAGGGAGAACACGACATAAAGAAAGTGTTAAGGGGAGAGAGAGAGAGAGAGAGAGAGAGAGAGAGAGAGAGAGAGAGAGAGAGAGAGAGAGAGAGAAAAAAAAAAAAGAGGAGAGAGAGCTCGGGATGAGAGTTGACAGACACACACCTGTGATGTCCATTTCTCTCATGGTGAGAGCTGCCATGCTGTCTGTAATGAGTGTAGCAGGGATTCCCTCTGCTACCGCCTCATACGCCGTCAGCCTGGATCCCTGGTTGTACGGTCTCGTCTCTGTGCAGTACACACGCTTCAGCCTGCCCAGCGCATGGAGGCTTCGCACCACGCCTACGCATAAACAGCGCACATTATTACAGTTACAGTTCCATAACAATTTTAACAATCACCCTCTTTTCTCATTCACACCCACAGGTCCAGTCTTACCCAGCGCAGTCCCGTATCCAGCTGTGGCCAGCGAGCCAGTGTTGCAGTGTGTGAGGATGGTAACAGAGTCCCGCGGGACGCCAGACAGGATGTGCTGAGCGCCATAGTTACCGATCTTCCTGTTGTCGTTGACGTCACGCTCCAGCATGTCTTCGATCCAGGCAATTACACTGTAGAAGAGGGAACCACAAGAGGTGGGAAATGAGAAGAGGCCCCCCCCCTCGTCTGCCACTGTGAACTTAATGTGTCCATCAAGTCTACAGATACAATATGGCTGCATGTTTCCGTTTGTCCCAACTGACCATCTCTTTCTCTCCTTCTCTAATCCATGATCTTACCTTCTCTCACCTACCATGTCTCAATCACACCCCCCCCTCATGTTCTCCTCCAGTTTTCTCAATCATCATGGTGTGAACACAAAATCATTAGAGATTCTCCTCCTCTAGTTCAACTCACACCGAGTTTTCAGAACCAAGAATCATCCAAGTGCAATTCGCCCCACTGTTCTATTCTGTAGCAAGTGGCCAGTGCTCAACTGCCTGTAGAATATTTACAGGTTCACAGTGAAACATGATTAACTCAGAACGCTTCACATCCGCTCTGCTGCACTGCGATTTTTTAGCTACACAGACTCATCACCCAGCACAACATTTACTGCCTGTGATGGGAGGAAAGGGAGTTCCAAGTAGTTTCAATTACCCAAGACTAGAATCGATCCACCCCCCCCCCATACTGATTCTGATCCCTCAACTCGAGGTATCTGCTTATATTAACTCCCACTCTGACACCAGTGACGTTCTTTTGTCCACGTTTTAAATCTGTGCATCTCTCTGTGTGGAGTCATTGTTAGTGTAAATTGAGGCCAGGTCTGCTGTGGCATGGACTCGGCAGCCCGCCGTGACTAAATGACTAACTGGTATCAGACAGACTGACTTCTATAATGATATTGACAAAGAAACTGTATATTTAATGTGGATCAGGCACATCTGGCTGACACCTGATCTGCTTCAGTATCAGAGCAAATACTCACAAAACTCAAGTGTATAGTCCTAACATAGCAGCCACTGTTCATCTGCTTCCCATTCTCCAATAAATACCAGAGGAGACATCTCTCTTCTTCCCATTTGTCTGCATGTGTAACTGAGCAAATGAACCCTGTAAAAATAACACTACTCAGAGTGTTTCTTTGCCACACTGACATTTAATCTGCAGTGATGTGTATAGTGTACGGGCTTCCCAAATTATCACTTTTTAGATGATCCGATAACTTTCACAACCTTCTTCAGAAAGACACCTACAGCTGGTGTTGAATGAGGAAGTGCTAAAACAGCTGCTAACGACATCAAATGCTCATGGGAAAAAGACAAGTTTAGATTATTTCAATTCACAGCACCAGCTTTTACAGATAGGACTCATTACACAGTAAGCAACTGACACACTGATTGTTTGCAGATGGGAGTGTCTGTTGGCATTAAAGGTGTCCTGTGGAGTTTTCTTGAAGACAAACAAAGATTCTGTTTACATGCAGCGTGTCCTTGAGGTCTAACAAATGTTTTTTCCAATGCAAATGCAGCTCCTCCCTCAGAAAACGGTTTGAAGCTCGCATCATTTACATCTTTGTGTATTTGCTAACAGTCTTCTTCTCTGCCTTCGCTGGTGCATTTGGTGTAACCGCCACCCGCAGATGAGTGGAATAGACAAGAACGTATATTACATCACCCAGGGGAATGTGTGTCCTTTGTTTACACACAAAACATGGGGACCCATTCATAAAAACATTGCTCTATAGCATCACCAGTGATCGAATTCCACATGGTACTTTTAAATGAATTACCGGCCAAAACTAAATCAGTAAATCAGATGTCAAGAAAAATGTCAAGGCTTTTAGTCTGACCGGATTGTTATCATGGAGACAAATGGAAAAGTAAATGATGAAGTTGTGCGTAGTGAGACAAAATTGGCAGTATACAGAAAGGACCACCTATTTGTGGTAATTTAGTTAAACACAAATACATGTGGGGACATGCATCATGTGAAATTCAACTGAATTCAATTCAATTAATGAAATTACCACAATTTAAGTGAATATGTGAACGTGGGGCCCTTGGGGACCGCTGTAAATCCAGCTTCAGCTTTGAGGCTCTCACGTCCCTCCAACCAGCTCACCTTTCTCTGAGCTGCTCCGAGTTCTTCTCCATGCTCTCGTTCTCAGCAAACTCCATCAGCTCGCGGGCGGCGCGGCCCATGTTGACAGCGGTGGGCCTGGCTGAGGTCAGGTGGCACAGAGATTCCCTGATGAAGGTCACAGGGTCATCACCGCCGGCACCTGCCCGCAGCTCCACAGCCAGGCTGAGGCAGCCGACAATGGCGATGGCCGGCGCGCCACGCACCTGGAGGAGAAGGGACAGGACAGTTGTGATTACATCGTGGTCCTCCTCTTTGGTATCTATGCCAACTTACAACAGCGCTCTCACAGTTTTCATGAGGATAATTAATCTATTTCCGTGACAGAGTTTTGAGTGATCACAGAGCCAAAAGTTGTCCCTGACAGCTTTGACTGAGATGACATAATCTCTGTGTTGGAGTCATTTCTCTCTCTACCATTAGACTCCATCATTATTATGACATCACCCCCCTGTGTATGGCACATTCCTTCACTCTGCCCCACACACACACACACACACACACACACACACACACACACACACACACACACACACACACACACACACACAGGATCAAACATGTAGCTGCTGTATTGTTTGTGTAACTGGATTGACAATAGAGTGAATGTCTGCTCAGCTCTAATAAATGAACATCTGAAAATGTTCCCTGCTGTCCCAGAACTTGAACAACATGCAACTATGTGAACACCTCAGGGTGTCAGGGTTTTAGCTGTACAGAGATAGATGAGGTGGAGGTGTCACTGAGTGCAGCACAAGACCAAAACGCGAACAAAAACCCTGGCAAAGGTCATTAATAATTCATCAATAATCTCTCCCAAAGAAAGAGGAGGAGGGGGGCATATTCATGGGTGGGAGGCTGTGTGCAGATACCTAGTTTGTCGCGCTTGCACATGATAATGTGAAAACTATAAATAAAGGATGGTTTTAGGGGGTAAATAATCGGGGGTTTGTGGGTAGCCGCCGGGTGCTGCAGGTGCATCCAAAACTAAGATACAGGCCGACAGCGGGAGCACGGCGGCGAGCATATGGCAACACATGCTTGCAGCGGTGGGAACACAAAAGACCCGACAAAAAAATGCACGACCGGAATACATGCACATGCAGCAGGCATGCAGCGCAGGCTGGGGAGTGGGTGAAAGCCCCGAGTGAGAGGGGGTGGACAGAGGGAATGGAGCTCCGTACCTTCATGGACTTGATGGCCTCGTAAGCGTCCTGCACCGAGCGGATCTCATCGTAAGCGGTCTGGTGTGGCAGCAGCAGCTGGTTGAGGATCTGCAGAGACCCGGCCCGGTAACGGATCGCTTCTAGCGTCATGACCGAAAGACGAGGCGGGATGGCGGAAGAAATAACACGGATGGACCGGTTGCGGGCGGGTGCGCGCACACGCACTCACTCACTCACTCACTCACTCACACACTCCTCTCTCACACACACACTTTCACACACTCTCCCTCTCTCTCTCTCTCTCTCTCTCTCTGAGCGGATACACGTTGAAGTGACCGCGGCCTGGCTGTCGGCAGAGTCCCGGGAGCCGTCGCAAAGAGAAGAAGGGAAGTGTAGCAGAGGGACGAGAATGAGCGGGTGGACGAGAAGGAGGAGAAGGTCTGCCGTGTTGAACGGGAGGACAGAGAGGGATAGGAGTGAGAGAAGGGCAGGAAACCTTCACACACTGACAGACAAGCAGGGAGGCAGACACGGAACCACGTGTTCACCCGAGCAGGAAGCCCTCGCTTCGGTGTCCACGCCCACCAAAGTCTCGCGGGTTGTCCAATTTTAGCAAGACTCCCTTTTTCTGTGTCTGTGCACCATCCCCCCTCTCATCTTTTCCCCCTTTGTCAGGGAAAATCTCACATTCAAATACGTTATTAGCATAACACCAAAGCCCCAAAGCTTCCCCCAACAACAGAAGCACTGTCTACAAAAAGAAGTCTATTTTTGTCTTACATTTTAATGTTTTTACCCTTGTCTTGAGGTGGCACATACTTCCTCCCATATACCCCACTGCTGTATGGCTAAAGAAATAATATTAATTATTGTAAAACCAGCCATTATTTTCCCTTCAAATATATATTTTTCTTTTCTCATTACCTTTTTAAAATCCAGAACAGCATTGAAGTGTGAACCCTCTACCAAAGTACAGAAATTACTATAAAGCATTGTTACTCCAAATAATTGAATATTTAATGATTTATATTGACTGTGCATGACCAAATGTTTCTTTTGTTAGGAATCTAACATGTGTCTAACACTTGTTTTTGTAGATTTGGGTGGGGTAGTGTCATGTAAAAAAGTGGTGTCAGCACCAACCACAGATATAGAGCATTGGAGAATCCATTGTATTTCACCATGTTTTACAGCTGAGGCTCACACCCCGTACAGACGTAATCTTAATTTCCTACAGCAGACTTCTGAAACATGCCAACAATTCAAAATCTGATTTTTAAGCTCATAAAATCAGGAAAAGGAATTAAGTATCAAGTTGATATAAACACATTGAGTCTGCTCTCTGTGCTGAGCATTGATCTGGAAAAATCAGTCTGAATGAGAACAAGCAAGTCAGGGTTTTTCAGTTCAATGATGACACAACCTCAGAGCTGTTACCATTTTATTCATATTAACACCAACCTCATACATAAGATACTAAAGCCTAAACAATCAGGCCTTGATACATTCCCTTTTTGAGCTGCACAAATCATCATGACTTACACCTGAAAATAGAGACAGTATATATGCTGTATATTTACTGTATATACATTATATTTATACTGATTGCCCTTACATGACTTAACAGTTTTAAAAAAGTAGGCGTCATAGGTTCTACAACAGCATCCACCCAAGCCCAGATGAACACATTTACTGCAGTTGATCAAGACACAGAAATATTGACAGTAATGATAAACAATCCACCAAACTTTTTTCTTTTTTTTTTTTTAAATGGAGTGTAGTCAGATTACAGAGTGTGGTGAAAAAACAGAAGCCAAACAAAGTAAAAAACAAAAACAAAAAAGAAAGAGAATGAAAGGGAGTGTGTGGGGAAAGGATTGTGAGTCACCGGCAGGACAAACTTTAACAATACGTCCCTCTGCCCTGACCATCAAACTACCACATTGCATGCTGATGAGCTCATTGCCATGACAACACGACAGCCTCAGAGGCCATGAGGTTACTTGAGGGGTGGGGTGATGTGGCAGGAGTGTGTGTGTATGTGTGTGTGTGTGTGTGTTTGGTGTGAACTTTTTTTTGACATTAAAGCTGTTTGATTGAAAGAAATGGCTTTTAGTTGCAGATTGTGTTTGCTTTTAATGCTGCTCAATCGTGAATGCTGCAACTCCAAGTTATACCAGAGCTGTGTGGTTGCATTCATTCTCCACATGACTTTGTAAATCAGAACCACATTTTTTGTTTAAAGTACCATGCCAATGGTTTAAGCCCAAATCACATACTTCACGTCACAGCTCGTCTATTTCCAAACCATGTTGCTGTTTTAGAAATTTAAGGTCGTTTTTGAACATCTGAAATCATTTGTTTTGTTGTTTTAATATTTTTTGGGGAAAAATACCCGAGTTCCAGCTTCTAAATTGTTAGTATATATTGCTTTATGTGATAGTGAATTATATTCACTATATTTCTGGGTTTTGGACTGGTGGTCGCACAAGACAAGCAATTTGAAGCTGTTGCTTTGGGTTTTTGGAAATTGTCATTGTAACTGACATTTTTCCCTTTTTTCTGGCTTTCTAATCAACCAGGAAATAACAGGAAGATTAATCAGTAATGAAAATAATCATTATTTGCAGCCCAAATCTTTTGTTCTTTGGTTCCTATTCATTTCCATACAAAATGAAAAGCAATTAGCAGACCACAGAAATTTGCTTAAATTGTGTAATCCATTGTGTCTACACAACTCAGTGTTTGGCTTGGTTTCAAGAGTCTGCTAAATAATTTTCGTAACGCACAGAAATGAGTGGAAACCAATGGCTGCCAGGAAGAGTAGGGAAACTTTACCCAAAAATCTGAAACTGTGTTGCATGCTTTGAAAATTTCAGCGAAACTGTTATGTGTACATGACGTGAAGATGCTAAAAATGGCAAACACACCGGTATTAAGCTAAAGGTTATAATGTCACTACAATCAGAGATTCATCAGTCCTATTCATCTAAAAAAAAATATCAGCTGATCAAAAGCATCATAATGCACCATTTACACAGTCAGAAGATATCCTCTCCCGCCATAAAAATCACTGTCTATGGAGAGCCATATCAGGTCAACTTTAACCAGGATTATTTGCTAATGGAGTGAGATGGTGGGTGGATTAGAGCAAACACATGATTCTATGCTTTGTCACGTGACCAAAAAACTATTAGTGGAGTTTACAGACATCATCATCCACATAGAAGAGTCAAACATAAACATACAGTAAGGCTCATTGAAAGCAGTCTGCTGGTGAGCAGGTTGGAGAAGAAACATCTGAGCACTAAACAGAGAAAATAAAGGTTTAATGTGGAGGGGAGTGACAGGGATGTCTATGGGGGAGCAGAAATAGAAATGAGCAATTACCCAGCCTTCCTGACAGATATTGGGTTGTCTACCTGTGGGCAGACTACTCAGCATCTGCTGTGCTGCCACTGGAGTGGGACAGAGTCTGTTTTTGTAAACTGCATACACCAAAATCAGTAGAAAATAGCACAACACCGACGCAGCAGCTGCTAATTGTTTTCTAATCGACAGCTCATTGAAGTTAATATTGTATTAGAGTTTAAAGAAAATCCAAGAGGAGCAACATATTACTCAAGACTGAATAATCTCTGAACATATGCAATGGAATTAGTGTGAAGAAAGTGAAGATGAAGAAGAAACAGCTGATGAAGAAGAAGCAGCAGCAATCCTTTAGCAGGGCTAAGCTTCTCCCACATTCATGGCACGCTGTTAACACCCCCTCTCCCCAGCCCCAAAGGCGACTCAACGTCTGATCTAGTCGTCTCCTTGGTGACACAAACACTAATCCCTCATTATGGGATGTAGGCTGTAGCCCTGTTTTTTTTTATTCCCATATCACACCACTCCAAATGGAGCAGATTACTGTAATCTGGGAACACTGGAGCAGACAGATTAGATTAAGCTCATTACACACATAAAATATGGGAAAAGGGGTTAAAAACACCTCAGTCCATTGGTTAAACACACTTCAGGGCAAGCACACACGCACACATACACATTTTTTTGGTCATCAATGGACACCGAAAGACTCTGAGCTGGTGTCCAATGTAAAACGATGAGTCTTCTAACAGATCTCTTCATTAACATCTCTCAAAGGAAAGATTGGAGTATAAAACAACAATTAACAGAGTACAGGTAAGGTCTGTAAAGCCGTACTTCAGAAGCCGTTTTCTGTAGTGTCTTTCTTATTAAGTGCAAATAAGGCTAGCTCTCCCTTAGCTCTTGAACGCATTTCAATGCTTGCTTTAATTTGTGTCTCTTTGTAGTTACAGATTTACTCTCAGCTATTGTAGAAGGAAACCACAAGTGACACAAGTTATATGATCAATTGACAGAATTAGCAGGTTGGTTCATGCAGTTGTCATGGGCATGAGCAGCACAGCATCATGCTAAACATGCTTAAAGTATCAACTGTAGTGTCTGTTTTATGAGTATGTATGAGACAGAGAGAGACGATATAACAGTACTCCAGCCAAGTCTCTGCTCCTTTTTTCTCCTCTTATCCAGTCCGTTTCCTTTTCAGCGATTCCAGCTGAAGCAGAGAGAAAAGGAGGACATGCAGTACACTGCGTATATGCATACATGAGAATGATGAAACATTGGTTTCATTGGCTGTACATAGCAGGCCTTACCTCACTGTCTACCATCTTCAACCTGCCCAATGCATCCTTGGCAGCGTCCTATAAAAAAAAGAATGATCATTTTACACAAGAACAGACACAGACACAGACACACACAGACACACACACAGACACAGACACAGACACAGACACACACACACACAGACACAGACACACACACACACACACACACACAACAACACCGACAACACAACACAACACAGCTTACACACCACACACACACACACACACTACAATCAGCCCTGACCCTGCACTCACTCTGTTGCCTTGGGTGGAGTATTTCTTCACCGACTCAGCAAGTCCTTGGCTGAAGCGCCGCAGCACATTTTCATATTCTACACGTGGTGGAGGGACATGTGGGTTATGTGCTTCAGAAGTTGAGATGTATATTTACATGTAAAGTACATACTGGTTTATATTATGTTTGTGTGTGTGTGTGTGTGTGTGTGTGTGTGTGTGTGTGTGCGTGTTACCTGTCAGCAGAGCAGGAGAGGCTCGCTCCAGCTGTGCTTTCTGCCACTGCAGTCTGTGTGTGACCTCTTTGTGCTGATGGATGAGGTCAGATGGGGGATCCCGCCGATTCTTTCGGTAGTCTGCAATCTGAGAGACACGTGTCGTGACTGATGAGATCTTCCTGCCTTCAGGCCATTACGAGTATTAGAGAACAAGATGTTGCAGATGGGCTTAGACCACACACACACACACACACACACGCACACACACAATTACACAAAAATACCTTTCTCTCCAGCCGCTCCTTGTCATAGTTGAGGAGACTGAAACTGTGGAGTTTGTACTGTGGAGGAGAGTTGTTGGGGTTACTGCTCCTGCTGCTCGCTTCATGTCTGGGTTTAGACCGAGGGGATGGAGCCTGATTCCAACAAACACACACACACTGAGACTGAGACATTTAATCTTTTTGCGCCAGTTTTTCACTTCTGCATTTACAGGCTTTACAAAGGGGGGCTGCAGGATGACTGTATAGGGCAGCGGCTCAGGTCCTGACCAAAGGCCAGGTTATGCTTGAAACAAACTTTTTTCTACGACATGTCTTGTGACGTGTCTTGAATGATGTGTTGTACAAAATAGGCAGAAGTGTTTATAGCTGACACAAATGGCCACACTACAAGGTGGGGTGAAAAGTCTGCTGTCATACATCAGGTTTCCATGCAAGTGCTTCCATTCCATTTCAAGTGCGGCAAATTCGTCATGCAAATTTCCGCAGAAGGAAATGCAATTTAATGTGTCTTTCCATCTGGTACTATTGGTGGTGCTCGTTCTTCAGTCAGGTGCCGTTAAACAATTGCAGAGGAAGGAGTGCTGCGAGGTGATGTGATTAAAAACGTGCCAGTCAAACCTCAAAAGGTGCAAAACATGGTGGAGATATGATATTTCTGTCTGTCTCATGTATAAATGTGAGGAATGTTAGTCTCCTCATCGCTCTGCACAGATCTGATGTTTTCGCCTCTGATCATCTCTATAGTGAAATCTTGAGCGACTAATAAGTCACATGCTTCATGTATGTCATGATTTATTTAAGTCTGTTTCCATTGTGCTTTGTGGCATTTTGTTTTTATTGATACTCCACTTCAGCCAAGCGTATAACTTTTTTTGCTGTTTCAGACTTCTTTTTTTGAATTCTACCATTTACACTCACAAATTGAAAATGCACATAAAAATAGATGGATACACGCTAATAGGGAGGGTCAAGATGTGATAATGGTTAACTCGTGGATAAAGTTACACACTTTAAATATCTCTCCTCAAAGGCATTCATGGTGCTGCACTTAGTTGGACAGAAAAAAGTTTAAGTTGTAAAACTGTATGATGCAGCCCCGAATTCCAGCTTCAGAAAGGTGTGTGGTGTGATTTCAGGCACTGTTCGATGATCTGACAAGCAGATCATTTAGAGCTCACTGACCTTTTGACACCGACAATTGCGACTATCCAATTTTTAGGATGGCACGCTGCACAGAGACATCACACAACAAGCTCCTAAGGACAAACATGATCTGTCCAGCTGGAACCTTTGTGAGAAGTTTGCATATTCCTTCTGTGTCCTCTGGAGGAAAGACAGGGATTTGTTCTACTCTGGTTTCCCTCCACAGTCTACAGAAACGCAAGTCAGGTAAACAGCAAACTCTACTCACGCGTTCCTTCTGTTTCTCCGGAGGAGAAAGGGAGGAGACAGGTTCGAGCACCAACCACTTCTCTGTCACTGGCTGGAGATCAGCTCCTGATAGAGGCTCTTTAATCTTCACCCTCACCTCCAACTTGCCACCTGTGGCCTTACGTCCATCCATCACCTATGAAACACACACACACTGTTAGACAGATCGGCCCTTACATGTGTGTATGTGTTTCTGTTTTCATGTTATTAACATTTACCTCTATGATCTCTCTAAGGTCACAATGGTTTTCCAGAGCCTCAAGCTTCAGCTGAGCTGTGCCCACTACTTTGTCTGTCTTGAACAAGCCGCTGTAAACACACAGAAGAGAATACAACTGATGAAGCTACAACAGACATGAGACTTGCAGCATAAGTCATGCAGAAGACCAGGGAAGCTTCTGCTTATGTGGCCCCAAAGCAGTTGCGGTTTTTACCCTTTGTGGATGATTTCAAACTTGATGCCTTTGGACTGGACGACTCGTTTAAAGCCTCGATGGCTACGGTTGATGTTGAGTTTAAATTGCTCTTTAAACTCTGGACTGTTGGTGTTCTTTACTGTGCTGGTTTTGTCCCTCTGAGCCTCCTCCTACACACATACACATAAATGAATTCATTAAAACACAACTAGATATAAACACAGTGAAGCATCCATAATCTCTCCACTGAATGTGAAAGATTCTTACCGCACTGGGAAAAGGAAACTCAAATTTCACACTTGCATCCAGGTCGTTAGGTGAGACACCTGAAGGCAGACAGGAAGGTGTTAGCACACAGACATTTGACACATCACTGACTGGTTATTTGAGACTTGCCTACCTGAGGGAGCTGGTAAGTTGATGCCTTTGATTATGTACAGCATCAGGTCAGTAGATGTCAGGCTGGAATACATTCTACAGAACAGACACAGGAGTCACGGTCATTCAGAGCCAGCATGAAGAGCGAAACAAACCAGTCAGCATGTTGAATGAGTCACTGCCAGAGTCACCTAGCTGTTAGCTTGGGATGATACTGGAGCCGAGCCAGAGTGAGTCACAGTGAGTCACTCTGACTCATCTCCCACTCTAGTCAGGGAAAGCAATCCCTTTGTTGTCTAAAAAATTTTGTTTTCAAACTTAAACAATTGATCTTGTGATGAGACTTAAGGACAGGCTTCGCTGTGTCACATAAAACTTAAAGATTATAATTTTCTAAAAATCACAATAAAATAGATATTTCGATGATCTATTCATTGATTATTATTTTCCATGTTGGGGTGGGACATTGACATAATAAGAGGATGTACATCAGAAAAATGTTTCATAAACTGCTGGTATCCTTTAGCTGTCACAAACAAAGGAATCCTCTCAACGAGTAAATTCAGTCATCTGGGATCCAACAGCTCATTACAAGCACTGGTCACAACATGAGAACATGACTTACACTGGAATTTGGAGGCAAATATATTGATAATTGTGAATTTGAAAAATCAAATAAAGATGTATCAGTTGATATTCTTCTTTTTAACATGGGCAAACAATTATGATAGAGATCCTGTAAGTTGGACGGAGCCTAAAATTTGCAGTTAGGTAAACTAAAATAACCCCATCACCACTTCTGCTACTTCTTAGATTACTGACCAACCAATAGTTGTCAAGATATTTCACTAAAAACTAAAAATGTCAGCCTGTGTGTAGTACTAGAAGAAACGTCAGGGGATCACCAAAGTCACTATAATTCATCCTCTGGTGCTCATGAATGTTTGGACATAATTTCATAACAATCCATCCAACGGTTGTTGAGATATTTCAGTTTGGATCGAAGTGGACCGACTGACTGACATCCTCAGAGCCCTGCTGCTAGCTTCACTAAAAAGTACTGATTTCAGCTCTTTCTGTCCTGGGAAGCACATACCATTCAAAGAGGATACATTATAATATAAAATCACACGTTTTGAATTAAAACATATTTCATGAGTTTGCTGCTGACTTGATAGTGTTGAGGGTCCTCTCCTCTGTGTGGCACTTGGGGACTGGGTGGCCTTTGGCGTGGGCGTTCTTTAGTATCTCTATGTTCTTCATACATTCCTCAACCAGCTTCTCAAACCTGGAGAGAGACAGAGATGTTCCTTACACACAAGTGCTCATACATATCTCATACTGAGCTCTTATAGATGGTTTTATTTCTGAAATATCATATGTCTGATCTTTGTACAGACAGCAGTCATAGTGCACCAAGAACTCTATCAGCTTAAACAAACACACGTATTCTTGCATTTTAAAAATTTGGATCACACAAAAAAGTTCATAGCTTCATCTGAAAATAAAATATGTGGTTTTGAGGCGATGACTATTTTCAGAGCATATCTGAAAAAGACGGAAGCGATGCAGATCCTCAAGGGATGCCTAAAAGGGTAATATATGATATGTGACAGTTCAATGTATGTGCAACTATGTGAAAAAAATATGTTTTAAAAGTTCAAAATATGCAGTGTGACAATAGAAAAACATTAAATCACAGTCTGCGTGTTGCCGCACAGAAAGCATCCTCCACAACTGTGCTGAAGTGCTCAGTTGAATGAACCAATTAGTATATGAATGAAAGATATTTAAAAACATATTAATCTGATGATTCATTTAGAGAGTAAAAATATAAAGCATGCGCTTCTGAATTTCCTTGTTTTTCGATTTTAATATCATAAAATCCACCGCATTTGTCATTTCACGTGTCATATGTCATGGCCAATTAACTAATCCAGAAGTCGTGATGTTTTTCACCAGCTGTTTGTGATGCTTTCATGATGAGAAAATAAAGTAATATTGTTAATTGAGTTGCACTTGCATTTATCTCAAATGCTGACAACAGAAAAGTGGCAGGTGTTAAATCCCATCTTGGCAGCAGATAAGATAACTAATAAAATTATAAACATACAAATAAAAAATGTCTCTTACTTCAGAGCCTCAGCCACATTGCCCATTTGTGTGAACTTCTGGGAGTAGTCCAGACATTTCTGTAGGTCGAGATACAAAACAAAGGAGGGTGTGGGTAAGAAAACACACAATAGCCAAAGATAATAAGATACAGATCAGCTGTGATTTGAAACGGGTCTATTTAAAACGCTGCACAACTAGAAAAGTGACAAGCAAGCTTTAAGGACATGATCACATCTGTTGTATTATGTCCACATCAGTATAAGCTGATCGCCGATGCACAGCAAGATTTAGGAGGTGCACTTCTGTACGAAATGTGCATTTCCTGACCTCGTGCTGCTTTCGTAAAAGATCCATGAGACCGCGGTACTGTTCACTGGAGCGAGGGGAGAGAGGAGAGGTACGGGAACGAGACAGCGAATACTCCTCTTCACCCACTGGGGCGCTGGGAATCTGTGAGGAAGGAGATAAATGACCCATTTTTAAAAAATACTGAGACATAAAACGAGAAGAAGGCGGCACTCAGAGAACTCTAACTTCTAAGGCTAAACAGATCTCCAACTGGCTGTTCTGCCAAGAACTACTCAACAACTCAAATTAAAAGCTAAATTGATTTTTTGACCCTACACACTTTTTAAGAACCCCAGCTCGAGCTTCCACCAAAAAGTAATCAACTGGTCCTCTGTTTCCTATCTGCTAGAAATTATGAATATGTGTTTCTTAGCTTGTGTGATATCCCGCTGACTGACAAGAAGACAAACTAGCAGAGGCACCAGCATAATATTCTTCGTAATTACACTAAGGGGCAGAGAGAGTTTTATGAAGCAAAGATGAATAAAAGTGAGGCAAAATGAAAGAACGTCATATGGGATAAGTAGCAACTATATGAAATATGTGTAGTGGAATGATGCTGAAAATCTGCAGAAAGACTCTCACTCTCACACACACACACACACACACACACACAGGTACAGACACAAATACACAGACAGTGAGACCATGACGAACACAGAGGTGTTTGATTTCACCCCGTGTTTCCTTCCTACCATCTTCTATTTTCATCACATCTTCAACACCACACACATTCAGTTGCTCCTGTCACAGCATTGTCAAAACACACATACAAACTTGCTCTGTATACTCTTGTATGTTATTAATTGGCACATGAGAATATATTTATGACCTTGGTGATATCAACAGGCAGGCCAGACTTGGCGGCGGTGATCATGGGGTCCAGTCCCTTGGCATGTCTGAGGTGCTGCGCTGCACCTGTCATGTCCTACAAACAACCAAACAGCAGCAGGTAAATCAATCAATCAAACCACAGCAACACAACATCTGTTCAAGATTCCAATAACACAACAAGCAGCTGTGGTAAAGATAGCTGCAAAAATAAATCAAAAATACAAAGATAACAGGGAATCGATCTAAAGCAAAAAAAAAAAAAAGAAAAGAAAAGAAAGAAGAAACATGAATTAAAAAAAAAAAAAAAAAGGCCCACAGTTTACCTTCATCTGTTTGGAGCGCAGTGCTGCACGCAAAAAAGCCTGTCGCCTTAGCAACAGGAAATCCACTTGCTGCTGGGCTACAAGGATAATTAAGAGAAAAAAAAGTGAAACTCTGCCTCGTGCAACTCTCAAACACTTATGACACATTCTGTATGTGTAGGCAGGCAGGAGCACACGTGCACAAACCCACACTGAACACACCTTTAGGTCCCAGTTTCAGAGCTGAGGAGCCGCCAGGGGCCTGTGGAGCTGGAGACTTAGCTTTCTGGGCAGGTGGGCGCACTGTGGGCTACAGAGAAGGAAAATATGAGGTTAGGCTCATCAGACAAATGTAATGAATTTATTGTCCTATTAAAAACTGCAGCAGCCTGTCAAACTGACATTTGTCAGTTTGATTAAACATTTTCAACTATTTATATTTAACAGCTAAGTCTTAAATATATTCAACAGAGAACTGTGGTTTCTCTAAATGACTGCATTCATATATTTGGTTACAAGCACAAAGGTAATGCAATAGGCAGGAGGTCCAGTCAGGAAAAACTGTACTGATTGAATAACCTGCCACAGAATCTGGCATGGAACACGATAAAGCATTTCTAAGTTTAGCCCAAAGGCAATCAGATTCCTTGGCTGCACAATAACAATTTGACCATTTGGTTGGGCTTTTATCTACTTATTTAATTTTTTTTAACCTTGGCAGCCTCTGTTGGACCATCCTCTTCCTCATCTTCTGCGTCTGCATCCTGATTAGCTATTTTCATAGCTGTTTCCAGGACACCCATGAAGTTCTGCTGAGCCCCCTCTGAGCCCTGAAGTGGCGGACAGCCTAAAGGAGCGACAACACACACATTAATTAACTTTATAGTGCATCCTAGAAACAAATCCTGAAACACACCTGGATTCACAAAGTTACCTGGTGGCACAGGTAGATCAGATAAGTTGACAGGTCGTCCAGCTTTATGAGCTCTGATGGAATCCTGGTATTGCTGTTAAGAGCGGAGGAGATGGTTGATCATTCTGTTATCATTGTTGTGCGATAGTGATGGGGTCAACCATAACAGTGTGGTTTTCTTGCATATAAAACTAAACAGAACAAATTAACAATGCAATACTGAGAGAAAGTACAAAATCTTAACTCCCACATGGAAATCAATGTCATCAATTTACTCCCACTCCTACAAAGCAATATACAGGCCCTATAAGTATTTTTTGTCCTGTCTATCATGGTTTTGTCTCCATGTTTTTGTTTTATCTGTTTACCATGCCTCAGCCAAATTTAATTCATGCGTTTCTTGTTTTTTGCACAATGCTTCTCAACACTCCTCAGAGAACAACAGAGATGTTATTGCAGGTTATTCTGGTGGATGAAATGAGCAACAGTAGTAGTTACAGTCAAAGAAAAGTGAGTCACACCGGTTATTTAGGGGAGTAAGTCAAACGCGCCACCACAGAGCAGCACAGAGCCAGGTATAGATTCAGTTTCAGCTTTAAGTTTGTATTAAACAATACTTTTTGGAAAGCATTTTTCAGTAACATCTTTCAGGTATATTTTAGGTGGATGGTGTATCTACCTTGACGATGCGCTGATGCATGCGAGCCTTACGATCATCTCCTTTGCTCTTGGCTCCCTCTGCTGCCGACTTATAAATGTCCATCCTCTGCTGCAGGGCTTCTGCCAGACTGCTGGGAGCAGGCAGGGCTTTGGAGGGAACACAAACACACTTTATTTTTTAAATTCAAGAAATTCCAATTTTTTCTAATCATTTGCACTACGCTAACTAGTCAGAAGGAGGGAGTGGGGCTACGAGAGTCTTACCTGCAGTGGCCACCTGCTTGGGTGCAGGAGCAGCGGGGGCAGCAGGCTTGGAGGAAGACTGAGGAGGAGGAGGTGCAGAGCGTTCTGCTACTACGTCTCCTGCAGATGATCAGACATCAATGGAGAGTTGGACATGGGATATTATTATTATCTAATCAGTTAAGCAGAAGGAATAAGACACAAGTACAAACAATTACAGAGATCTCTGAAAAACTCCAAAATGAAAAGTTTAAAAATATTCAGCTGGATGAGACTCTCAAGCTTTGACGTCCTTTGTAATTTACTCTTCTCAAGTTCAGAATTTACTTATGAGGTATGAAGAGTTAATCAGTCCAGTTAACCAGCAGTAGCTTTAAATCTGAGAGTCTCAGAGTGATATTCTGAGGCAGCTTTCGTAAGAGACATTTATAAAAATTTATGATGACACAAGAAACTCCTTTTTATCTTTTATATTTAAACTAATTTAAACTAAGACTGCTATCTAACCAAATCATGTGACAGATTATGTGTATGGATGGCACAAAGATGTAAGACAGAATTATGCCTTCTTGAGAAGAAAACACATTTTGTCTTATCAGCATTCAGCACAAGCTTGAGGCTCAGCAGAGATGTCTGATGAACATTAAAGGAAGACTGAAAGCTAGAAGTGTCTTAGAGTTGGAGCCATATCCCCAAACTTTTCATCACCTGTACAAGAATGGATATTATAAGTGTGTGCTTAAGTAATAACATTGTTTATAGATTGTAAATAATACTGGACCAAGCACATACAAATTGCGTCTGAGATAAATAGACATTAAACCAATTCAAGGATGATCATCAAAACTAAAACAGACTAACTTGTTTAGTAAAATGCAGCATTCTACAGTATCAAAAAGATTGGAAGGGTCAATAAATAATGAAGTACGGTGCTGTCTCTGCTCCAGAGAATGTAGTATATCACTTAATACAAGGGTTAAAGATGATCAGCAAGGAGTGACTGCACTGATGAGGAGAGTATGGAAAAGTATTGCCAACATCTGTCCACTTTTTGTCCTTTAATCCCTAAATACAGTATCAGCTTCCCCGATAAAGTATGAGGGCAGCCAGAGAATGACCTATAACTGAGCAGGACTCCTGTCCACTGAATGAGGCGGGTGTGGCTCTTTGATTCAGCACATGTGTGGGACCAGGTGTGTGACATGCCTATTATAAACAGAACATTATTATTTTTGCAAAAACATTTGTATTTGAGACATGCCTTCAACTGAAGACCCAATAAATGGATTAGACTATGTCAGATCATTTTGATCAGTATTTAAGGCATAGCACAATGTTTAAAATTGGTTTATAATCAATTTTATTTAATCAGAAAGTGAGTACCAGTTTTGGCAGCCCAATTCCCCTGGAGGGAAAAACCTTTTCTGAAAAGAAAACAAGGCTACCATGGATGATTAATGACAAAAAGAGTAAAAAAAAAAAAAGAAGAAAGGTTACGTATTCATTTTAAGAGATTACACTGACCAGGAGGGGGAGGGAGTGAGGTCAGGTCTACTGGTTTGCCTCTGTCCAGTGCCTCCACAAGCGAGTCCATCTTCTACATAAATGGAGGTCAGCATTATTATGATCCAGTTCCTCTCAGAGGCGTTACATACATAAACTATACACTTAGAGAAAAAGACTTTTCCAGATGATGAAACTGAAAGTGGTTGTGTTACCTTGGCAGTGAGGTAGTGTTGTTTGACCTGGTCAATGTCCCCGCTATGTTTGGCGTTTATGGCGGCCAGCTTATACTCCCTCTGTCTGGACAACACTGCCTGTTTCAGCTCTGAAGGGAGTAAAGGCATAAAGAATGATGTTGTGGCTTTTTGTTGTTTCTGATAATGATGGTTGTCAAATTAATGTCAACGAATTAATTAGTGAGTAAGTCCATGTAATAAACTGTAAAATACATATGCCTATTTACCAAAGCAAAAACAATTCTTAAACACAAATAACACCAGGGTTCTCTGTACATCTTCCAGCAAAATGCAGCTGAATCAGGTGTTTCTCAGCTCGAGGGCAGCAAACTTCCAGGGGACACAAGGGACTGGATCACACAAATTAATTCACAGCCTGTAATTTTACAATTAAAAGCTGAAACTATGGTTGAATGGTTCGGGAAAAACAGCACCTCATTTGACGTAAAAAGGGAACTGCATACCAACACGAAGGCAGCATCCCAAAGGTGAAGTACAGTGGAGAGAGCATCATGATTTGGACAGCTGGACAGCTCGACATCATAGAGGGGAAAATGAATTCCCAAGCGTTTCAAGGTCTCTTACAGGATAATGTCAGGGTGGCTGTCCACCTGCTGAAGCTCAGTAGAAGCTCTGTGGTGCGGCAGGACAATGACCCTAAACATCAAAGTAAACCTACTACAGAATGACCTCAAAGAAAATCTGCCTGTTGGAGTGGCCCAGTCAAGAGTCCAGACCTTAACCCAACAGAGATGCTGTTGAATGACCTGAAGAGAGCCGCTCACATCAGACATCCTGAGAACACGGCTGAGCTGAAGCAGTTCTATAAGGAAGAATGGTTCAAAGTTCCCTGTGAACATTGAGCCTGTTTGAGGTTATAGCTGCAAAAGGAGGTCCAATATGTTAAAAATCTGAAGGTTCACTTACTTTGTTTAACATGAATATCAGATCACAATTTATGACCAATCAATGCAGAAACACAGGTAATTCCAAAGGGTTGCCACTGTACATCCAGTATACGGTACAGATGAAGCTGAATGGACATAATACTCTGTGTGTTTACCTGAGTGCTGTGCATCAGGCTGGCTGGGTGTGAGTGGAGATATCACAGGTGTTTCTGGGGTGATGGCAGCAGCAGGCTTTTGGGGTGGGGTCAGATGGAGTGGTTTCATATTAGGAGCTGGTTTTGGAGCCTCCCTAAGAGGTTTCTGATTGGTGGGAGGAGAGGGCATCAGCACTGGTTCTGGCAGGTGTCGCTCTTTGACCGGTTCAGACCCTGCGGTGACGTTGGGATTTCCACCGAGAGCGACAGGAGGCGGGATCTCCTCGTCATTGATTGGTTTTCCTTTCTTGACAGATGTTAACATGGACTGTAATGTCTAGGTTTGAAGAAGACAGGAATCATGAACATGTTTTCAACATTACAGAGAACAAATACACACATTTTACAGTCTTACACACTGTATAAATAAAAAAGACACATTCAGTAATTTCAAAACATTTGAATGCAGACAAAGTATGGGAATCAACATGGACTGAGGTATCAGATTTTCCCTTTTACTCTCTCTATTTTACCTTTAACCCTCTGTCATATCGTCGAACTTTACTGGTCTCTCCTGCAGCTTTGGCATTAGAAATGGCAGTTTTATACATTTCAATACGCTCCAATAGGCAGGACTCCAGCCCAGTTTCCCCACTGGGGGCAGCAGCAGGAACACAGGGGGACTGGGATGTGATGCTCACTTTAGGAGCAGTCGGTGTGACAGCAGGAGGGGTGGAAGCAGGAGTGTTGTCCTCCTCATCCTCCAAAACTTCATTTAGTTCTGCCTATGTACAGAGACACAGAAATGTAAGCTGTTAAGAGAAAAATCCTCACATTTAAAGCAATTCAACAGCTTAGCAATATCATATTAAGGGTTGCAACTGATAATCTGTATATTATCAATAAATCAGTTAATTATTTTCTCGATTAATCTTTTTGTCTGTGAAATATCAAAAAAGTAGGGTTATCACAATTTCTAAGAGCCCAAAATGAGTTCCTTTTTTTTGTACCACCAAAATATTTCCAAGAGATTCAGTTTACTCTCACACAGTACATGATGATCAAAAGCAGCAACTCCTCACAGAGGAGAAGCTGGGACCAGAAAATGGCATCTGGCAATTTTGCTTGAAAAATGACTGCAAAAAAAGTTGCCAATTAATTTTCTGACAACTCAGCTCAAACAGTGAGTCGATTAATTGATAAATCGACTCACTGTCTGAGCTCTAATAAAGGAGGGTGTGAGTGTGTTACCAGCAAATCTTCATCATCCAAATCTTCATCCCCTATTTCTTCATCATCAAGGTCTTTCATACAAAGAGCTGCCATTCGCTCTATTTCAGCCATGTGAACAGGGGCTGAACAAAGACAAATACATCAGAAGAGACACAAAATCATAACCGCGATATCAAATTGTGATCACTAGCATATGGACGAGACAGAGAAAAATTGTGATTTGCACTGGGACAGAAATTACTGACTCTTGTCTTCCTCACCTTTCCCTTCACCTCTCTTCCCTTGTGATCTCCCTCCTCCCCCTCCTCCCATTAGATTCATCAGCTCTGCCTCCAGCTCTTCATCATTCCCCTCATCATCCATCCCTCCATCTGGGGACAGGTCAAGGAGCAGCCCCATCTGAGACACAGACAGAAGGTCAGACAGACAGAGAGAGAGAAGGAGAGAGAGAGGGCTGCTGAATCATACCCGTTCTTGACAAATAAACAGTACACATAATTCACATATCTCAGTATCAGACATGATGTGTGTTACCTGTTTGGCTCGCGCTGCCCCCTGACCCCGGGGAGGGGGGTTCCGACTGCGACTCATGGACTCTTACCACCTGAAAGTTAACCACGGAATAAATGAATAGAGCCAGTAGAAAAAAGGAAAGAGAAGATACGCATGTTAACCGACAGTATCCACGGTTAGAGTCAGCGCTTTTTGTGCCCTTTTATCAACTCTTTTGTAGCGAGTTAGCTTCACTGCTCGTGTTAGGTAACAGCTAAAACAACATGCAACTCTGTTCTCATGGCTGATGAATGTGCGAGCAGTCTATATTTATTTACCTCGTCAGCTTCACGTAGCCTGCCGTCGGTGTTACAGCTTGTCGAGTCGGTGATTCCAGTCGAATACTGCCCAGAAGGTAAAAGAGCAAGGGCAGATATATGTATGGAGATAGGAGTTTTTTTCTGTTTAGTTCGAGCTGTCAAAACAAGAAAGGTAAGCTGTGGAATTTACTTCCTATATTGCGTCGCCAATGGCAACGCACATCGCACTTTACGGCTAGACGACACACGCCCGTTACTGACGTAAATCTCGACGTAACGATACGTCTCTTGAGTCTACGGCTCAGGTGGGCAGTTGTAGTATGACCGTGAGAAAACAACAAAATTATCACTGTCTACAAGTTACTGGAAATTCATCTAATCAGGAATTGGTTATTTGAACTTCAACAAGTGCACAGGTCATATCTTTAACTTTCTTTATTGAGTAAGTGTAACTTATTTGATGTTAGCTAGCTAATAAATACATTTAGTGTTTTGAGAAGAAATGTCATAAAGAATTCATAGTTGGCTGTAAGCTAACCATCAAACATAGCAACGAAAAGCTGTACTTTTGGTAGCTTTATGTAACATTTCTCACAACGCCTTTTATTAAATTATTTTTCCTTTTTAGGAAGAGGAGATGGCCAAAGGGAAAGGAAAGATAAGCAGCAGCGGTAAAGGAGATGCTTTTGTCACATAATATAGACTTACTAAATGACAAATTCAGTTTTATGGGCTGTGTGTTGTTTCACTTTATTAATATCAAGCTCAGTTTAAGTGTTAATGAGCTCTAGTGATTCCCCATCACAGTCTTTGATAAATAGAGTTGGTCCTTCCGTTTTAAGATGGCGTAGCTCCAACCCAGCTTCGGTCTCTCAGGTCAAGGAAGAGGGAATGTCCAAGTGATGAAGTTCCCCAGACTGACAGTGCTCAGGCTACTCTCCATCAGCAGGTGATTTTGGTGATTAAGGCTAAACCCACTGCGTTTTTCACTGCAAATGGCAAATTGAAGTCATTCTCTTTTTTTTTTTAAATGTCAGGACAGGGAAGAAAATAATACAACAATGGTTGGCACACCACTACAGCATTCCCAGTCCCCTCTGCAGGACGGTGCTCTTATTACAAATCAACAGGATCAGGCAGTCAGACCGCCCTGTCTCACCAAACAAGATGATTTCAAAGAAGAAAGACATGCAGAAGAAACAAATGTGTATGTAACAAATATGATAGTTAACGCTTTTGAAGGGCAAGAAGAAACCACTGTCACCAGACCCAATAATGATTCTGAGTTGGAAGGCTTTAGAGTACATAATGATGATGTCACCAACAAGAGTGGGATGGAGGAAATAACTCCACAGGAAGGTAGTGGATCACCATCTCAAACATGCACTGATCAACTCCTGGTCTTCTTGCCAACCTCTGAAGAGGCTGATGGATCGTGTGCACCTGCTTTGGAGGAGCAACTAGATGCAAAGGATAACTCTCAGTGTAATTTGGAGAGAAACCATGAAACCAGCCAGGAAGACATGTCCAACACATGCATGGCTGATGTCAAGGATATCACAAAGGAGGCAGAAGCGGGCTTACCGGCCAAAAAAAAGCGAAGGATGGGCATGTGTGGTCTGACAGAGAGGGAGCGGAGTCATTTTTTGCAGACACAAAAGCCTGAAAAAGGGCAGAACAGAATGGAGAGAGTTGAAAAGCAAATTTATAATAGTAACACAGCTGACCTTGCAGCTCAGGAAGAGATTATAGCTTCACTCCTCTGTCCATCCTCACCTCTATCCATCCCAGCAGACCGTATCACTGAGCAGAGGAAAGCAGAGATAGAACTTCAGTCCAATCTCTGTGGAGGGGATGACAGGTCAGGATCATGTTGTGAGGAATCCAAACTGCATGTTAAATATAAAAAAATTCTATGTTCTCAGTTTAAGTTTTGGGTTATTGAGAAGAAGATTTGCTTCATGTACGAATTAAGTACTGTTAGACTAATTATAGTTTACTTACAGTAGAATTACAGGTTTAAAAATCCACTTGAGTAAAACTGGTTTTAATTTGAAAAATTGGAAATTGCAAAATAAAGTGCACAATTCCTTACTTCCTTCCTTCCTTGCAAACTTCTCTGCCATGGGCTTACGACAAGTCAACATCATCTTTAATCTAGGATGTATGCATTTCAACTATAGTTATGTACACTGCTTCAGTAAAAACTCAAGAAGAGTTTAAGTGAAATAACAGACTTAGAAACAGTCCAAAACACACAAACATACAACCAATAAGACACTCTATTACAGTAACAGGTCCAAATATAATTTCCTCTTTGATGATAACATTGTTTGTTAACACACAGGGCAGAAAACGAAGTCCACATCGCTGTCACAACCTCAGACAGTACCGGTACTGTGTGTGATCCAGGCTGCTCAGAGGGAAAGAGCTGTGAGGCTGAAGGAGGCACAGAGGCTGGTCCAGAACAAACTAGTGAGCCAAAGTCAGATCAACCCGCACAGGATGAAGTGGAGGAGCATTTGGGGAATCTGGAGCAACAACGGGAAATTGCGGGAAGTACAAGTGAGATTATGACTCAAACACCTGAGACACAACAAACAAGGAAAGAAGGAGAAGATCGGTCAACAGAAGTAGACTGTAGTCCTGCTGTCAGTTTATACACTAACCCAACTCAAAGTGAGGAATCTGAGAAGAAGGATGGCAGTGAGGCTTCCTCTCTGCATGTGCATACAGGGACCAAAACAAGATCTGAGGGGAAAGAAGAGATGATGGCTGATGCCGTTGTTGGAGTTGAAGCAGAGGGATCTTCATCCACATTCAACCAGCCAGGAGGATTAAACTGTGGCTCTGTTGAGCTTTGTGAAGCTGCAGGGACACCTGGCTCAGAAAGGAAAGAGAGTGTGAGTGGTGGCTCCAGAACCTAATAACCAGGATTGATAGGGAAAAACACTAGTTTAGTGAAGCTCATAATGTCAGGTTTTTTTGACAATTAAGTCAACACGACTAGTAGTAGCCAGTTATCAAAAGAAACTACTAAATATTTGCAGGGTCAAGCCCCTCAAATGTGAATATTTGCTGCTCTTCTCTGTTTTATATCATGAGCAGCTGAATATCTTTGGGTTTTGAACTGTTGGTTGGACAAAACAAGCGATCTGACAATGTTACATTAGGCTCTCTGAATTTGTGATTGGTGTTTTCACTTTTTTCTTACATAGATTACATACATACCGTATCTGTAAGTTTTTATAGACATCTTAGTTCAATGAGTTTAATAAGTATTTAAGGCAAAATACTGCAACTAATACTTTCTGAAAGGCTGTTACTGTCACTCTTACTGCCTTAACAGTTTATGTTACCATGTACCTTAAAACTCTTCAGAAACGGTTGATTTATTTTTGTTGCCAACAGTGTGATCCTGATGATGAACGTGGTCCTTCTACTGTGAACACTGAGCGCACTAAGACCAGGGACACCACTGACCCGTATGGATCTGGAAGCTTAGATTACGTGTCGGACTCGCAGCTGAACACGATTGTACTGATGTAAGGAAGCAGGGGAGAGGGTTTAAAGGTTCCATATTGTAGAAAGTGAGATGCCCATGTTTTAGGTTCTATATTAATACTGTGAACGTATCAAGCTGTGCAATCCATGGACAAAATCCATTCAGCCCGTATTCAGAAACTGAGCATAAAAACAAGCTATCAGGACTTCTGTAACTTTGTGATGTCACAACAAACCAGCAACCACCCTCACCTATGCCCCCAGCGGGGCCCATCTGGACCCAGCGTCCAGCCTTGCAGGATTTGTTTTTTCTGAGTGTTTACCTGAAATCTGCTGTTTTTATTTGATCATGCAGAAATCAGTCAGCCAATCAGAAGAGAGGCTCAGAGCCTCCAGAGATGTAAAACTACACTGAGATGGTTTTTGGTACTAAAATCCACAAATATATTTTCTTATTTATATCAAAACTTCAAATAAAACTCCAGAAAATGTTATAATACGTGACCTTTAAATCCCACAAGGACTTGGTCAATTCAGATAAACATGTTTAATTTTGCTTAATTTTTTATTCTTTATCTTCAAGAGGACATCAATATTTTTAACAAAAATTTTCCTGACATAAAGGATGTTACAAGCTTATACACCTCTCTTTTCCTATCCAACTTTTTTACTTTCTTCCCATACAGTGAGGAGGTGGTGATGGAGGAGGCAGATCCTGGTTCCTCAGACTGTCATGAAGATGCCACAGACCTGATCTGTGGGCTCATCAGAGAACTCTCCTCTCTAAAGTTAGTAAATTAAATTCTCTTTTTATCCATTTAATCTGTTTTTGATCCCTTTTTTATTCTTGTCCTTTTTTCTAACCTCCCCCCTGCATAGAGCACCTGCATGCTTGTCTCTCCTCCCAGAGTTGAACTTTTGACTTGAAATACCATTGGTCAGTTTCAGCTGCTTTTCATATCTTTCTCTGTGCTCTGATTGGTTGGAGTGTGTAGTCAGCTCTGTCAGCTGTAGACTGCTTGGCACCTTTTGCAAAGGCCACCACAGGGACACTGCACCTTGTCTGCTGATATAATTCCTTGGTCCATAAATTTTAAGATTTGGGGGAGAAACAAAAATATTAGAAACGACTTGACGATTTGTTGTCACAATGTTTTTTGAGATTTGGATTAAAAAGGAGGAATGTACTTATTTGCTAATTTGAACATGTGGTGAAATACTTATTCTTTTATTCTTTGGCTTTTCTCTCACACTCCTCCTCCTACTATCTATTATAGCCCCCCCCCCCTTGTCACTTATCCTTTACTGAACAGTACTTATTGTCAAAACCCATTCTGGTAAAAAAAAAAAAAAACATTGAATTGTTCACAAACCTGACAATCAGCATCTGTCCTCTTGCTGCTCTCTCCTAGTCGAAAGGTCATGGCCACACATAGGGAGCTGGAGAACCTGCGACGTGGCAGTAAAACTCCAAGGAGCTCCAACCGTTGAGGTACCCGCCGTCCTGAGTTTACTGTTGCCCCAATGGTTCATGGGTAATGAAGGCACTTGTGGCCTGATACAAACCTTTAATATTTCATTGTGAATCTATTGGAATGTTGAGTTTAATGGCTTTGATGTTTTGGTTCTCCCCAATTAAAGCTTGCTGTTGTCTATTAAATCAGTAATCTGATATGCAAATATCTGGAATTAGTGATTTGTTGAGAGGTTAATCTGCCCTTCACGGCAGGCTTAATTATTCTGTTCAAGATTTTAAAAGAATGGAGAGTGATGACAACGCATACAAACGCAGATTTAGTCACTTTAGACATGTATAACTTCTGGCATACAAGAATATTCACAGAAATTTTAACAAAGTTTTTTCACAAAGTGAGAAGAGCTGAAACGGCATTTTTAGAAGAACCACACATACAATATTCAAAATAAAATAACATGCCTCAGGAACATCTCAGAACAAGAACAAGTCACTCATATTTTAAAAATTTAAAATTTTGACATGGTCACATGATGTTTACATGCTGTGGTTAAGTTATTACTGATAACTGTAGGTCTTATAAAGTTTTGATAGTGTTACAATCCTTCAATGCATGGGCAGGAAATATGAAGTTGGACATCAGTCGGCCACGTTTTAAAAATATGTAAAACAAACATACATTTTCCTTTGAAACATGTTTTTTCTTCTTCTCCCAAACATAATATCTGGCAGTCGTCCTGCTAGATAAAATTACCTCACGAAATCCACCAACTCCAAAACAGACGCTGTCAAAGTAGGCTAGGCCGACAAAAGACCAGCTGCAAAACAGCTCCAATCAGAGGGCTTCAAGCAAAACGCACCAAAGCATGCAAATGAAATCCAAACCAAAACACTCAAAAGCAAAAACACACTAATGCTATTCAACAAAAAAAAATCACACATAAATAGGATTCCGCCGTCTGTGCAGTGTCTTATAGCTACCTGCCACCTGTTGGCTCAGCGTCTGGACTTGGCGTACACGGAGCTGTACGCGCTGTCCACCCTCGGACAGAAGCGCTTGGTGTGAGCTTTGGCCCCCGTGGCTCCGCAGAGGGGACACACGTACTGCCGCAGATATGGACACAAAACCTCTCCTGCCTGGTTCTTCAGCCAGTGAGATCCGTAAACCAGCTCAGACTCCCCGTTGTGCCTGCAGAAGCTGCAGAACATGCGCTCAGGGGATGGAGGTGTCGCTGGCGGCTCAGGTGTTTTGAAACGAGTCGTCTTAGACGTCTTCTTGCGGTCTTTTGGCCCCCGGGATCCCGGAGGTTTTGACACTGGTTTAAAATCCACCGCATCGGGCGTATCATCACGAACGGAGTCTGGTGCGTGCCACAAACCATGAGCCAGGTGCTGTTGAGTAACGGAACCTGGCGGTGCAAATTCACCTGGCGGTGCAAATTCACCTGGCGCACAGTTTTCCCCACAGCCACTTTGGATAACTGCATTATTGCGCACAGATACCGAAGTCTTGCACAGATCATCAGATTCCGAGCGCGAGAGGGCTGGCAGTGAGGACTCAGTGGCGGTGTTCCGTGCCAGGATCTCTCTGATTGTGTTCGACAGTCCCATGTAGTCTCTCCAGGGCTGGAAACTGTTGCTGTCGGACTCCATGAAGCGCGGCTGGTGCTGAAAGAGACTCCAAACCATAAGGTTCATTCTAGCACCTTCTCGTTTTTTCGCTTGGTCTGCCAGACTCACCCTTAATGAGACGATCGAGTTTTGGTCTTTGGAATAACGATGTAAAGGACTGCAGACACACGGCGCCAGGCGCGCATAAAAAAAAGTTGTGATTGGTAATTGAGTACAAGTGGTGATCAAGTACACACTCCCCGCGGTGCCTGCAGCCAATCACATGAGCTCATGCAGCAGGCGTGCAGGTCAGTTAACTTCTCAACTTCATCCTCATGCACACTCACACCCCGCTTGCACAACAAGAAGCCACATAGTTTTATCATTTTTTGACTTTTTGTTTTTAATATTAAATATCATATAAATGATGATTTAAGGAAAGCAAGTAAAGCAGGGTGTTCAAATAAGAAGAATAGATGTAGAGGCTTAGAATTAGAAGCTAGAATTAGACACTAAGGAGGCACCAGATATTACACGTCCCTATAAAGCAGAACATCACCATGTCACCTGCTTTTTACAGTTCACACTAATTAAATGAATACAATAGTCATATTTTAACATAATGACTATACATACAATAACATTTTGAAAACAAAACAACCCCTCCACCCACCATCCTATCTACCTCTATGCTACACATTGACAATGTGTCAAGAAAATGTGGTATTTAAAGTGACCTTGTATTTGAATTTTGTATTCTGCTATTTCAGAGCTATTTTTAGGTACAGGATAAATTCCCAGTCATAATATGCCACCATAAGAAAGCTTTGTATTGTATTGGCAATACTTGGTCACAACAGCCAAAATCCATTCATCATCACACTCAAATAGTGCCATGTCAAAATGGAAAAAATACACATATATTCAGTCTTTATTGATGATTTTAAAAATTGAAAATATTAAATTTACTGTAGCGACTGCAGTGTATTAAAATGACCAGTCCAGGTGTGGAGCCCGTGGTGTGTGCACTATCCTGTCTGCCCTGCCGTCCCATGTCTCTGACTGGTGATCAACCTCTGTGGCTCTGAAGGACAAGAGAGGAGCCAGAGAGGGTCAAGGACTAACAGCAGTAAAGTAGGAACATAAAAACAAATTTTGGTCTAACAAGTGCAAATGGAGCTTTACATATAGGACTCATACAGTGTAAAAATCTCATGCCTTCATATTGACGTTTGCCTTATGAATTAACTGTTAGTGTAAACATTTATGTCAGCTTGTTGGGTCAAACTGAAGCATGTAGAAATTCAACTTATTTGCATGTATAGTGCACTCTGTTGGATAAATGTTAACCCAACAGCAACAACAAAACCAGATTGTACTCATTAAATAAAGTAACTGACAAAGAGGGAGCACAGGAATAGAGTATCAGGGCAGACAAAGATTGTAAGAAAAAGCCAGACCTAAAAAACACAATTCATATTTGGCCTATATGATACTGTTGTTGCAGGTCAATATATTCATGATTCAATAACATAACATAATATTGCGGTTAATACTTTGCATTTTTTATGTATATTATCATTGATCCAGATTGGATCTACAAACACCTGCTGTCAGATTGGGTCTTGACTAACCTGCAGTTGTATGATAGATTGAGGGCAGTGTAGAGCTCAGGAGTGCTCGGAGTTTGAACGCTGACTCTTCCCTTATGTAACGCAGAGAGAGCAGCTGTCGCTGACCCGGTGGACGATGGAGTGATGGGAAGACAACCAGACACGCTGGTGGGCCCCAAACCTGAGAAATCTAGAGTCGATACACATGATGCGTTTAGGGCTTTTGGAGTAAAATCATTTCACCACATTAAAACATCAGCCTCTTACCATTCCACCCCTGCATACTCACTGAGCGCAGTGCTGTCTCTTCTGTTGCCACTTGGTGCTCCTTTACCAAACACAGGTGAGTCACACAAATACTGCTGCTTCATGAGAGAAGCCTTCTGTTGCTCAAAATCACGCCGCTGTAGACAATAAAATAAAATTTACACAGTAATAGTAACAGTAACATCCCCCAGCCTACCTCATTTATTTGCTCTATCCCTGTATTTCTACTACATTTCCTAAATCAGAAACGACCTCCAGCATATGACAAAATGATCCAAGCGGTTGTCATACATCCTTTAACAGTTGTCCATGCTTCATTTTCTTCTGACCTCATGGCTAAGTCGGATGGCAGCGTTGGTGAAGGACTGCCTCTCTCTTTCAAAAGTCCTCCTCTGATGATCGAGCTCTGCCCACCGCACCTGAAGACGTTCCCACTCTTCCAAAAAGTATGAATCCGCCAGTTCAGAGGGGACAGGTGAGGCAAGGCTGCCCTACAGACAGAAACCAAGGAGTGTGGTTCTAAGTCTGACACTAGAAAAAGGTTCATAAGAGAAAGTGTGTGTATGGATGATAGAGAATTGTACCTGCAACAGTTGCTGTTGTAATCTGATGAGCTGTTGACTCTCTTTCAGTTCAGTTTCTAGTTGAACCAACAGCTTGTCATGGTCAGTACCAACACCAGCATGACCTACTTTCAGGAAACGCCACATGTTCATTGTATTCTTTAGACTTGTGTTCCTCAATTACTGGTTTGGCAAAACTAAATTAAAACTCGCTATGGTCATCATAAAAAGGCACAAAAAATTATTGGGTCAATTTAAAGATTGTTATTTGTGAAGTCGGTGTTGACCTTCAGATAGGACGTCGCCCAGGCTCCTCTGCACCTTCCTCCAACTCTGAACCACACCTCCTGTCACATGGTCACCAAGCACTGCCTCAGCTTGATCCAACTTTTTGTCTTTGTTTTTTGCCTCATCCTGAATATCCACTGAGTCCGACAGCATCTTTAAAAGGTGAGACTGGTTTGTTATGTTGAATACTTATCTTTGGTTCAGCATTATGACTTTCAAGACTGCGTGGGCGTTATTGGAAACAGTACTTGACAAAACAACCTTACTACAAGGTTCCTCCAGGGGCTGTGTTAGAGCTTTTGATTCCTTTACACTCATTCCAACTGCTCTGTTGCCATTTTTCATGGTGGCTTAAAGGTTCAATGGATGAACAGCTAAGAAATGGATCTTGTCTTGGGACTGTTTTGTCAATGGCTGTATCCAAGATCAAAAATGAACTTTCAAACTCAGCCTTTAAGCCAAAATGGTCAAAATATCCGTAAATGGTCAGGAAAGAAAATGATCATTTAAACGTCTATCTACATGACAACTGGACAAAGTCTGCTGCTGCATCATTGGCTGAGGAAGATTGAGTGATACAGATGATATAAACCTCGAGGTGAGATTATTTATACCTGTCCATTTTAAAATCATCCTTTTCTAATATATTGACGTGGTCTTTAGCAGACCAAAATCCGTTACTAACTGTCACTAGCCTTAGTTAAAGTCTCTCTTCCTTACCTGCTCCATGTCGCCTCTGAGTGCATGAAGTAAAGTGGTGAGGCTGTGGCGCAGCTTCATCGCCTCTCTGAGCTCTGCTTCTCTGCGCTCCAGCATCAGGCGTAGTGCCGCTTCTTCTCGTCTACAAGGCGGAGAGAGCAAGTTAGGATTAGAAGGAGGTGGGGAATGACAGGAAAAGACCAGAAGGGACAGGATAATAACAGCCAACCTACTTTGCAGTAGACCTTAATGATCTGATCGGCTGTTCTCGTTTGCTTCGGCCTCCAGGTGGAAAGTTCAACACCTCTATAGCTGTAAAGGAAAATGCAAGGTGGTAAATTTTGAGTGGTTTTAGTAAATATTTCATATATCAGCAAATAGCTGAGAGGCTTATTCTGTGGATTAATCTGGGTGTGCCTCACAGGGTCCTCTCTCCCTGTGTCTGTCAGTGAGCTGTGACATTCGCTCCCTCAGTCTGTTGCTGTGCTGCTCTCGACGTCTCAGCTCTGCCTCCTGCTGGTTACTGCGCAACTGCAGACGGGTGCACTGGCAAGCAGAAAAGGATGCGTTTGGAAGGGGGGGGGGGGGGGGGTGTTCTGATAATGATATATTCCACAGTGCATGTCATCAGACGCGTACACCTTACTTTTGCCTGCTCACACCTCAGCATGTCCTGGAGCCTGGCCACATGCTCATCCATCTCTTTCAGTTGCTCCTACAAGATACAAGTTAGTTTTTTTCCCCTAGAAAGTAGCAGCACTGTCATTCACTTCTTTTCCACTTACTCTGAGTGAGTCTCCCTGCTCTCTGTGCTCCTCCCTGTCAGCCCACCAGGAGGCACTGGGAGAGAGCTCATTCACAGAGTTGGGGCTGGGCTCCCTAAACAGGTAGTTGCCTGTAATAATAGACAAGAGAAGCATGAACAAAGGACAAAACGATGCTGGTAAGTGATGGGAAAGGAAGTTGTATCAAGTTTGAATGGATTGTTTTTCCAACACCACTGGGCTGGAGGTTTTGGATCATGTATCTACATTTCAGGCAAAAGGGGATGTTATTACCTGAGTAGTCCTGGTGTCTTCCAACTTGCCTCTGGACAAACCTGGAAGCCATCTGGATCCCATATTCACATATAAGCAACAAAAGGACAGTTTATTCCCATGCAAATCGAACTGGTTTGCACCTCCACAGGATCTACACAATAGGTGCACTAACATTTCTGCACAAATATGTACTTTGAATACTGTAAATGACAAACCTTACTACAGGAACAACAGATCAGTTCACATGTAGTGGCTCACCTGAGCAGGAAAACTTCCTCAGGCAGCTGCTGCCTCTTTTACTTCCAGGTGATGGCACTTCTGCTAATTACAACTGCCACTGGGCTGAAACAAGGAAGCTTCAGGATTTAAAATGATTCAGTCAAACTGCTTCTTACCAAACTTTAACTTGTGCTCAGGTTTCATATTATCTACCTCTTTTTTATATAAGGTGGCTTCTGACAGTGTTGTGGGTCATATTTAAAAAATAAATAAATAAAAGGGATGATGGGAGGAGCAAACCTGATAATCTGTGAGACACACCCAGATTTAGACCTACACACTCAGCTGATTTATAAGATTAGCATTTATCAAATCATCTATGGAACATGAAACTATTTTATGTCCCAAATTTCACATTATGTCAGCATGTGGTGTCAACTTGTTAAGGGAATTTGAGCTTGCTATTGTTAAGAGCATAAATGGAGTGAACAAAACACATTTTTCCAACACCTTTAGTTTTTCTTTACATATACATTACAAATCAATATCAATAAATCAGTTTTGGAAATCCTCCAGGACCATCTCTGGACATGAATAACAACCCAAAGTTGACACATCATGATTCACGTGAATTTACGGTGAGTTAATGTTGCTGCCTGTCTGGTATTATCCTGTAGATTTTTCACAGCGTGGTCATTATTTGTGGTTTAGTACAAAATTATTTGACCAAGTAAATTGAGTCCAGCAGTTTACTGGCCTACTTAACAGACCCAATTCACTTAACTACGGCCAGATTCAGATGATTTTATGCATGAATGATATCATCTGTAAACTGAGGGCTTATGAGTCAAAGTATGAGAAACAATTGAAAGGTGTTGAAATGATAAAGTGATACTTGAGAAGAATTGTTTTTCCTACGTCATTTGCACAAAGGTTTGATATTCAAAAAATCACACACAGTAATTCCTGTCCAAAAACGTCATTTAATTTCTAAAAGGCTGCCCACAGTAGCAAAGTTAAGAAAGATAAAGGCTAACAGTAGTAAAAGTTTTGGTTGATCCGAGCATGATTCCAGTGTGGAAATTGATTATTGCAACAAGTCACTGCAGCATTTTTCATTAAATACAAACAATATTTGGACGTTTTGAATAACTATGAACATCTGTGTATCTAAAGTGAACATCTATGTATCTAAAGTGATATACATCAAATTTACTACTAGGTTTCACTATCCAAATAGTGTAAGGCCTTGACATGTTTTTTTTTTTTTTTAAATTAAAGACAGGAACAGATATAGGCTAATAAAAGCACCCTTAACAGGCTGTTAAATATATACACAAAAAGGACTGGATGAACACTTAATCAACAATCATATGCCCTGCACTGAAAGTGTTAAAAGTCTGTACCGTGTTATTGTACCTCAGAGTAGTAGTAACACATTTACTATTGCCACAAATATATGAGTAGTTTAAGACACCAATCATTTTAGCTCAGAAGCTAGTAGTATGTCTGTTGGCCACATACACAGTTAGTGTTTTGTAAAGACACAACATGAAATACAGTGTATCTATACATATATATGTATATATATATATATATATGCATATATTTAACACAGCATTTTCTTATTCTTGAAACAGCACCTGGTTTAAATTAATATTTGATAGTTTCTCCACTTTCCACACAAAATATAAAAGGACGTTGTACTTTCCGTAGCAAATCACATGGACTGCATTTCACTGACTGGAGACAGACACTGTTAAGTCAGTAAACTGACACGGGGCATGTTAAGCACTAGGTAAACTAAGGACAGCTTAATCATTAGTCAGGCTAGTGTCAATAACAATTTTTTTGAACATGTAGTTTGGCCCTGCTTTAATGTAACAGATGGGTGTTATGATACCGTTAGTTTTGGCAAACAAGTGGACGAACCCCAACCCCAACCCCAACGCCACCCAATTCCAATGTTGCATCATCCCAAGAGGAGCTGATAGATCTACAGAGACATCAAGTAGAAGTGAAGAAAGCCTTCGATGGGGAAATTTGCCGATCCTCTTTGTTTCTTTCTGTTGTAGACAGAAAAACAGAGACAATTGAAGTACAGATTAAAAATGTATCAGTTTCTCAGTTTCAGTGACCTGGTATTGTGTATGCTGGCTCACTGTTTCAAATAGAACCAAGCCTTTTGCTTTTGCTTTTCCTACTGTGACCAGTCAAATTGTCTGTTCCCTGTTCTTATTGGTTTGGGAAGATTGGTGACCTAATTCAATGTATGTAAAGTACAACTATGACTTGATTAAATCTGAATAAACCTCACAATTATCACAATAGTTCAACACTTGTTGCGACAGATGCAATAAGACTAATAAGTATGATAAGACTAGGAAAGCATCAAACTCATAGAAGCTGGAGCCCTCAAACGCATTTTTGCTTGAGAAATGACTACTGACTAGATTGAAAAATAACAATTTATAATTTAGCAGTTAATTATTAAATCATTTAAGCAAAAATACCAAATATTTTCTTATTCCAGCTTCTCCAATGTTAGGAGTTGCTGCTTTGTGATGACCATTTTGTTATTTTCTGACATTTTCTAGATAAAACAATTCATTGAATTTTCAACAGAATAATTTTTAGATTAATCTATGATGAAATTAATCGATTAACCTGAACAGCTCGATTAATGGATTAGTTATTTGGTCTATATAGTATGAGGAAAGAGTGAAAATGGTGATCACAGCTTCCTTGAGCACAAAGGGGCATCATTAAATAGCAACATTCAATTTACTAAAATGATAAACCAAGAAAAGAAGCATTAAATTCTCATGTTTGAGAATATGGGACCATCAACTTTATGACATTTTTACTTGAAAATTGACTTAAATCATTCGACCACAACTCGATTATCAAAATAGTTGGCAATTAAGTTTCTTTCAGTTGACTAATCGATTAATGGATTTATCATTGCAGCTCTAGTCATGTGAAATATTAGACATTTTACACAAGTTCTTGTGTAGCACCTGCCGTAAATTAGCTGACGGATTCAGTCTAAACTGAATGTGAAGGTGTAATTAATTCCTCCCTGGTGTAATTAATTGTACAGCTTATTTCCCCAGCTGGTGTGTCATTGAAGGAGAAAGAGCAGGCCTACCTCAGAACAGGGAGCAGGACTTGGGAGGTCTGAAGGGATTATCACTGGAGGGGACCCCGACCAGGAGAGGGTCCTTGGAGGCATTTTGCAGACAGAAGTTTCTCAGCTCAGCAGCAGCCTGGGACACCTGCAGAGCCAGACATAAGATGATGGCCCGTGCGTGTGCGTGTGTATGTGTGTGCGTGTGTGTGTGTGTGTGTGTGTGTGTACACAAAAAGCCTATCACATGTACAGTATTTGTAATGCCCCAGCTGGCCTGCTGTCAAACTCTAATACTACCCATTCTCATTCTCTCGTTCTCGTACACTGACTAACTGGCAACTTTTTGCATATAATTTGCAAGCAACGGCGCAATACACGAATGGGTGCGTCCACTACGTTACTTGAATGAAATATTAAGCTGTTTCCTTCAGATAACTAACACTACGAAGTTTAACTTTTATAAACATATCACTTCTGTGGGTCCGCTGACACTTTAAAGTGGTTACGACTTCCCAAAACAGACAGTGGCAGCCGTTAAACACGGAAGAAGCTTTTTCGCTCATAGCTGTCGTTTAGTCAACCCCAAACCATTTTGTGTGTCACATGTGTAACTTGGTGGACCAATTCGTTGAACCTAAGATGCAGGGGTCCAGTCTGTGTCATTTCTGTAACCATTTGTCTCCGCCATTCAACAGTGGACTAGCTCAGTCTTCCGTGTTTGTGTGTCAGTGTTGAGGGGTTCGTACCTTGATCCTCCGGATACTGGCCTCTAACCGGAGCTGCTTCACGGCCCTCTGAGCGATAATTAAGTTGTTGCTGGCATTGTTGTTGGACATGACGACGGCTGTCGGCAGAGAGGAGTTGACGGCTATTATAGATGAACGGCCACTACCGAGCGGAAATTAACCCCAACTTCCCTAAACCCGAGTGGGAAACTTTGGTCACTCAGTGCCCCACCCCTTCTGTGCCAGCGAGCCATTCTATTGGGCTCTAGGTCTGTCAATCAAAAAGTGTAGCTAAAGCCGCGCCCCTGCACACACTGGCCATTATTTTGAGTTTCCTAGAGAGCAAAGCAGCAAAGTTTACTGTGACCTTCAGCCACAGCACAATGATTGTTCACCACCTCATTTAGCTTACACCCGTTTAAACAATTTTAAGTAAAAAAGTTAAATATGAGGGTAAATTTTGTGCTGTTAATCATTACATGCTAAAGTGGGCATGGTGTTAGAGAAACTCATACCACCAGACAGACAGGCAGGTAGGTAGGTAGGAGAGGGTGAGTAAAACCACAAAATTTGGATGCGAGCTGATGTCATGTTTTATCCAGAATCAGGAACAGCAATATCAGTAATACCCCTGTTGCAAATTACATTTATTATTGTTATGAACAGTGGGTGTAATACTGTGTGTGTTATTGCGAAAGGTAAATAAATATGTCATGATTTATGAGGTGAATCATTACCAGGCAACTTCAATATATCTTATGTACCACCATATTGTTAACCAAACAAGAGACAAAAGACAATTGTCAGTGGTAAATAACAAAAATTCTATGTAAATTCTCAGATCACTGCACACATGCACACAACAGCAGCAGAGTGGCAAATATAATCACATTATTTTAACATTGCCGTTCAGTGTGATAAGTATATCAGATAGTTAGCCAGGCATGGTTTCATGTCTGTGCAATAATGATAAATAAAATACATTTTCTTGCACAGAAGGACAGGATTTAAAAAGGTTTTCCTGTGAAAAATACATCTGACATACCGAGTTGTAAGGATAATGGTTTCAGCCCAACATTTTCCCTAGTTCATGTGAGTTCATGTCAGAAGTTGTTGAGACATTTCACTCTATAAACCTCACGGTGGCAGCAGAGGAAAACTCAGGGGATCATCAAAGTCATTAGTTGTCCCTTTGGAGGAAACATTTCATTGGCTTCACGGTGTTGTAGATCAGACCTAATTGTGTTGAATCTTATACTAGTACATATAAGATATACATTACATATACATTTCCATACCACCTTATATATACATTTCCATATCACCTTTTTTCTCTCATGAAATGGACGAGAGGAATTATGTTTTCTTTTTTACTTCTGTAATACCTTGTCATATTTTAAGAGTTTCTTGTACTGTGACATTTTTCTTTACTGCATGCTCTGTATTTACTTTTGTATGTTGCTGTCACTGTGAGGCATTTGGTGTGAATTGGGGACAAACTGACTGTCACAAACCTGTGAACATAACACTTCTTGTTTGTCAGACATCCTATTCTTTTGGCTGGGGAGGACATTTGACTTTACTGTTGGGTGCCTATACAAGAACTCTCCTTGAGGAATAAAATACAGAAATTGTATGGTACTCTGTGAATGAGGCATTTATTCGCCTTGAAACTGAAAAAATCCTTATGGTGGCAGAGATGTAGTGACTGATGGATTCATCTACTTTAAATGTGTTAAGTGTTTTTTAGTGAATTACATGTTAGTGTTGTGTGTCACCATATACTTGATAATTGCTGCTGTAACTCTTTCAAAGATGGTGCATCAGCAACTGTAGATGAACTCTAATGCGAACCTCTTCGCTTTAGGCCAAATGCCCACTAGATGCTTGTTTTGTTGGAGGACATCTCATGATATCATGATACACCACAGTGACCACTGTTCCACACGTTCCAACACTCAGACAATTAAACAAGGCTGTTCTGGGCTTTACACAGCACAATACTAAAAACTCTGGGACACCCAAATTGGCCCACACGTAGTTTGGTGCACACCTAATAAGCAATGCACCAAGGCCAGAGGAATAGAGAAATCTGCTCTGGATGTAAGAAACAGTGAATAAATGAAATCATGTATAACACACTGTACTTGTAAGGTACCTTTTGTGCAGATCTCTACATTCCTCTCTGACAGTTGCCTGTTGGTAGTTCCCAAGATTGGTTTTAAAGGGCCGGTTTTTGCCTCCCTCAAAGTGTTTATGTAGCTGTTCACAAAGGCGAGGCAAGCAGGTGTGGTGGGAAGGATGTTCTGAAGCTATAGGACCAACAAGCAGGCCTGATAAAGTGTACTGGCCCCTTTTCACCTCTGGAGAGTCACCCACAGTCACCCGAGGAGATGGTCCAGTTACAGACCAGTTACAACAATCTTTGTTATCATGTGCAGCATCAGTGACACATATTTCACGTAATGCATGCTTAATTAACATGTGTCATGTATCTTAATTTTTCTTTCAAATAGCAGGTAGTTATTAAATTCAACAAGAAGTTTGCATTGGGCTGACTGACCAAGATGAGGAGGGTGTCTGGAAATGGGTGGATGGGAAACCTCTGACCACAAGGTATCAAAAAAAGCTCTGAGGACAGTGACGTTAATGCAGGTGAAACACAAGGAGCATTAGACAGTTTCATAAGACAGTCCATTGTGCCGTTCTCTCCTGATTCTAATGTACCTAATGTAAATGCAACAAGCGTGCATGTGCACAAATACATGTGCTGCAGGCATGTTTGATGATTTTGACCAGGGAGTACTTACAATTCAATAGCCTAAATAATTTCCAGCACTGCTCTACATCCATTAACAATAAAGGCTGAAAAGCTTCTCACCCTCATCTCAACAAACCCCAATCTCCTGTAAGTATGACCACTAATTATAGGGACTGCCTACTCTTTTACAAAGTCTTAGTAACACTTTCTGTTTAGTATAGAAGGTTAAGCAGAAGGACCACACTGAGCCAGCAATACAACTGATCATGGATGAAGTGGATATTTACATTAACAAAAACAATGTGATTATACAGCACAATTTCATCTTTTAAAGAAAGTCTTATAATGTGTTCACATTGTGGCTGCACTGAAAATAAGCACAGAAGAGAAGTATTGGCACCTTCATTTTTATTATATCTTCTTGTAGTTTATTTTCTTCATTGTTGTTTAGTAAAAATCAGTACACAGGAAATAGAAATGAGGGATGAACAATGTATGGTAAGATTTAATCACAATGTAACAACAAACTTATGATTTTTTGTCTTATGAGTAAAAAAAGAACATGTTAATGATATCACAATATGTAATGTGTTTGTGTTACTACTGTATGTCACCAGCTCACTCAGGAGACTTGTCCCCTGAAGATAAAGAAGAAAGAGTAAAAAGATGATTATTAATTCTGTATTGATCATTGTGTTGAGACATTCGTCCTGAGACCAGATTGCAATTCATACTCACAAGTGATTGGTCCAATGGTGATGTCTTCCAGAGGAGCAGAGCTGGAAAATGAGCGATATGTTCTTCTTGCGCAAGGCTATGGGGTGGAAAAGAAACATTAAAACCAGTGTTAAAGCAGCACTGATTAATGATTGACAATGCTATTGATAAAGTGAAATGTGTGACTTACTTGAACACAGTTGTGGCTCCTCCGGTCACACAGGCTGAGGCTGCAGTGAAGATAGGTGTCTCGGTTTTCACCCTGGGGCGAAAAGAACAGGGCAGAGAAACGAACCTGGGAGGATGAGCCACTCTTTATCACTGACACCTGTCGGCGGGCAGTGGGACACCTGGCAGAGAGGATACAGCAGGTCATCAGGGCCATTACACATCATTATACATTTAACTTTTTTGCTATTTCCATTACACCACCAAGTATCTGCTGAGGACGAAGAGGGACGCTTACTTGTTCTCAATGAGAAAGTATCGTGTGGGATCTTTAGGGTTTGATGAGTGAGTGGCATAGCAGCGCTCCAGAACAACTGTAAAGCTTGGATCTCTCTCCTGCACAGATATGCCCACATATAGAGGAGAGCCCATTGGAAGGATGATCCGGCCTGCTGCATAAGGCTCAGTGAAGTTGGAGTTGCGGAACAGAGACATGGAGGCTCTGGCTTTGGTACCTGAGCCTGAAACGCCAGGTGTGTCAGGCCTGTCAAGAAAATATTTTTTTTTTAATTGTGATAACCAAGTCATTTTCCCTTCAGTTTTTCTTTTTCTTATAGTTACTGTTTTTTTTTATTGTTATATCCCTTTATCTATTTCTTGGAGATTGGGTTTTGAGGATATATGATCCTGCAACATCTGCAGCTAGACAAGAGAGTTCAAAATTAATAGTTCATTCATATACAAACAGTAGGTATCAACACAACAACACACGTGCTTTTCACTATGCATCAGCTAGATATCTCAGAGTCACTCAGGCGTCTTCTTCTTCAGGTGCATCCTTATAGAGGGGCCTGAGGTTTCTGTGAGTTCCTGTGATGTTTTGGTTCATCATGCTGTGTTTTTTAAAACATAATCAGGGGATAAACTGGAGGGATTGACTTCCCAAGTATTTGACTGTTATGAATACTTGAGAATTTGATTGGATACCAGATTGACTTTGCTCGAAAGCAAACCATTAAAATCCAATTCTTGTACTGAAACAGAGCTTGTTCCTCCTTTCTAAAACAGGAAAAACATTATACAGTGATGAACCATACAGAATGAATGGTTAAAAGCAACACAGAGACTAGACCAATTTTCACCAGGTTTGTCCTAATGTTTGTGGTATGATGTCATCAAAACAATTGGCAAAATGGCATAATCACATAACAATTTGACACATCGCCACTTCATCATTTTACAACTGTAAATACTGAGTGATGTCATAGTCATAATCAATAAAGTACTTACTGCAGGAATGGTCTGAGCGGCCCATTCAGGCCGGTGTCGATGTCGAGGGGATATGCGCAGGAGAAAGGAAGACTCACAGGACGAGTCAAGGACGAGTTTGTTGGGGAGAAAAATAAACTGTTGGAATAGATCGCATGTGTGCGGTTGGTCTGAAAGACAGAGGATGACCAAAGTATTAGTCAGGTGAAGGATCATGTCAGGTTGAGAGGATTTATCATTCAGGTGGAGAACCTGGGTTTAAGATACTGTAACTTCAAACTCCTTGGCATGATGGGACTGCACATGAAGAGAACCATCAGGAACATCATTGAGGCCACAGAACAGGGATCAAGATGTTGTGCAGATGTTACTTAGACACAAGCTGGGGCATTAAGCCAGCTAGCGATAGCTACATTTGCTGAACAAATTCATAATGTCGGTAACAACAAGCTAACGTTATCATGCCTACTCTAGCCTGTCACTAATGAGTCCATGTAGTAGTCTCTGTGGCCAGTTCAGCTACGCTCTGGTTTTATCTCTTTCTTTGTTGGTGGTCAGGGCCAATGGTTTAACAGGGAGGGACTCCTGTGCATGCACACGCACATGCACAAACTGTCCGGACCGGCTACCAAAACAAAGGACAGAGAAGCTTGGATTGCAATGTATACACAGGGGTTGTGACTTCATTCTCTGCACCATTACTCCTCTACATCTTTAAATAGACAATAGTTGTTTTCTGATCTCTTATTGTTTAAAATCTCATCTCATATATATATATATATATATATATATATATCCTGTAAGTTGGTGTAACTTCTTCATGTTGCTATGATTTTTTACAGTTCTTTAAAACTATCTTCAACTTATATAGAACCACAGTAGTAGCACCATGCTAGCTGTCTGGGTTTAACCCTGAACGGAAACATACATAAAACAACAGGTACTAGAGTGATGCATTGGAGGAGTGCAGATGTAAGGGAGCTGGAAGTAGATGAATATTCAAGGTGTCCATAGCTAAAGAAGTAGGGCACAAAGACACATTGTATAAGGTGGGCCAGAATTTTTAGCAATGTCCATCAATTGCATGCATAGGGTAGAATAGAAAAGAACAAGTCAATACATAATAATTTTTTATAGAGTTACTGCAAAAAAGGAAGAAAAAAGAACAGTAGTTAAGTCTTTACCGTCAGTGTGTTGCCACAAGCACCTGCCTCAGCCTCCACTTCGTACCAAACTTCATTATTACGCACTCTGACCCAGGAGCAGTTAAGGGCAGCCAGGTTTCCAGAGAATGGGTCCAAACCACTGGATGTTATGGCAGCCAAATCCAGCCCCACTTGGAGTTTATCACGGCCACAAATAAGATGAGTAAACTGGAGTGGAGGGACTAAAGTAAAAGAGATATAAAATCACCAAATTAAAGGTTGTGAGAAAGGAGATGAGATAGTAAATGCCAGACCAATTCAGTGTGTAATTATTTAAGAGTATAATGTCAAAACAGTGAAAAAAATCAAAAAAACATACATTCACAAACAACACTGGCATCTTCGACGTGACCACAGTTGTGGACCCCAAACCCTTGATGTCTGCAGTCAGTTATGGATGATTCACTTCCTGAACAGCTGACATCGTCCAACCAGATGGGTCCAGTGCCCTGTCCAAAAGCTGCACTTTGAAGTGCTGAACGAGCCCTGCCACAGTCCAGCTGTCTGCACACCACGCTGGCATCGTTCAGGTCCCAGGAATCGTCACACACCGTCCCCCACTGTCCATCATGGTAGACCTCCACTCTGCCAGAGCAGCGGTTGCCAGAGTTGACCAGCCTCACTGGTGAACCGGCTAATAGAAACACATGCAACAAATTATTGTTGATTAGAGCCAATGATTCCTTTAACAACTACACACAACAGCTTCCTGTTTAAAATGATGAATATAATTTGAGACCAAAGATCCTGGAGATGTAAAAGAATACTGTAAAGCACATATTTCCTATTTGTGTTATAGATGTTTATTAAAATCCTCTTGGCTAAATGTTACACGACAGAGACTCTGTGAGACAGTGACACTTCACTGGCTGTAGATGTACAAATCAGTGTTTACCTTCACAGACGACACCAGCATCCTCATTGTGACCACAGTTGTGTGATCCAACCCCTTGGTGGCGGCACTCACTGAGCTTTGATTCGTTGCCTGTGCACATGACATCGTCCAACCAGATGGGCCCTCTGCCCTGTCCAAAACGTGCATTTTGTGGTGCCGACAGGACTCTGCCACAGCCCAGCTGTCTGCACACCACCTGTGCATCAAACAGGTCCCAGGCATCATCACACACCGTCCCCCACTGTCCATGGTGGAAGATCTCTACTCTGCCGGAGCAGGAGCTGTTTCCATTGACCAGACGGATCTCTCCATCAGCTGCTGAACTGTTGCCCACCGCTGTTGTGGCAGAGACGTTGACCTGACTGGCAGATGTCTGTGGTGTTGGATCGGGTGGGGTCGGTGTAACTGTGCTGTTTGGTTCTGGTCGACCTGTTAGAAAAGTTTATGTGAACTCACAAGACAACAGCAGCCTGAACCTCCACCAGTGATGAGCATAAGATCCTTTATCACAGATAAAACTGATTATGTCAACATTAGACACAAGACATAAGAACTGGAGCATAACTGTACATTTGACTTATTGTGCTACAAAACAATATCTGTTGTGTGAGGTAAATACTGGAACTTATTGATGAGGCAATTTCCTAATTAAATGTGAGCATAAGATCTGGAGCGTACTTTAAATATGTATAAACATTTACCTTCACAGATGATACTGGCATCTTCGACGTGACCACAGTTGTGGACCCCAAACCCTTGATGTCTGCAGTCAGTTATGGATGATTCACTTCCTGAACAGCTGACATCGTCCAACCAGATGGGTCCAGTGCCCTGTCCAAAAGCTGCACTTTGAAGTGCTGAACGAGCCCTGCCACAGTCCAGCTGTCTGCACACCACGCTGGCATCGTTCAGGTCCCAGGAATCGTCACACACCGTCCCCCACTGTCCATCATGGTAGACCTCCACTCTGCCAGAGCAGCGGTTGCCAGAGTTGACCAGCCTCACTGGTGAACCGGCTAATAGAAACACATGCAACAAATTATTGTTGATTAGAGCCAATGATTCCTTTAACAACTACACACAACAGCTTCCTGTTTAAAATGATGAATATAATTTGAGACCAAAGATCCTGGAGATGTAAAAGAATACTGTAAAGCACATATTTCCTATTTGTGTTATAGATGTTTATTAAAATCCTCTTGGCTAAATGTTACACGACAGAGACTCTGTGAGACAGTGACACTTCACTGGCTGTAGATGTACAAATCAGTGTTTACCTTCACAGACGACACCAGCATCCTCATTGTGACCACAGTTGTGTGATCCAACCCCTTGGTGGCGGCACTCACTGAGCTTTGATTCGTTGCCTGTGCACATGACATCGTCCAACCAGATGGGCCCTCTGCCCTGTCCAAAACGTGCATTTTGTGGTGCCGACAGGACTCTGCCACAGCCCAGCTGTCTGCACACCACCTGTGCATCAAACAGGTCCCAGGCATCATCACACACCGTCCCCCACTGTCCATGGTGGAAGATCTCTACTCTGCCGGAGCAGGAGCTGTTTCCATTGACCAGACGGATCTCTCCATCAGCTGCTGAACTGTTGCCCACCGCTGTTGTGGCAGAGACGTTGACCTGACTGGCAGATGTCTGTGGTGTTGGATCGGGTGGGGTCGGTGTAACTGTGCTGTTTGGTTCTGGTCGACCTGTTAGAAAAGTTTATGTGAACTCACAAGACAACAGCAGCCTGAACCTCCACCAGTGATGAGCATAAGATCCTTTATCACAGATAAAACTGATTATGTCAACATTAGACACAAGACATAAGAACTGGAGCATAACTGTACATTTGACTTATTGTGCTACAAAACAATATCTGTTGTGTGAGGTAAATACTGGAACTTATTGATGAGGCAATTTCCTAATTAAATGTGAGCATAAGATCTGGAGCGTACTTTAAATATGTATAAACATTTACCTTCACAGATGATACTGGCATCTTCGACGTGACCACAGTTGTGGACCCCAAACCCTTGATGTCTGCAGTCAGTTATGGATGATTCACTTCCTGAACAGCTGACATCGTCCAACCAGATGGGTCCAGTGCCCTGTCCAAAAGCTGCACTTTGAAGTGCTGAACGAGCCCTGCCACAGTCCAGCTGTCTGCACACCACGCTGGCATCGTTCAGGTCCCAGGAATCGTCACACACCGTCCCCCACTGTCCATCATGGTAGACCTCCACTCTGCCAGAGCAGCGGTTGCCAGAGTTGACCAGCCTCACTGGTGAACCGGCTAATAGAAACACATGCAACAAATTATTGTTGATTAGAGCCAATGATTCCTTTAACAACTACACACAACAGCTTCCTGTTTAAAATGATGAATATAATTTGAGACCAAAGATCCTGGAGATGTAAAAGAATACTGTAAAGCACATATTTCCTATTTGTGTTATAGATGTTTATTAAAATCCTCTTGGCTAAATGTTACACGACAGAGACTCTGTGAGACAGTGACACTTCACTGGCTGTAGATGTACAAATCAGTGTTTACCTTCACAGACGACACCAGCATCCTCATTGTGACCACAGTTGTGTGATCCAACCCCTTGGTGGCGGCACTCACTGAGCTTTGATTCGTTGCCTGTGCACATGACATCGTCCAACCAGATGGGCCCTCTGCCCTGTCCAAAACGTGCATTTTGTGGTGCCGACAGGACTCTGCCACAGCCCAGCTGTCTGCACACCACCTGTGCATCAAACAGGTCCCAGGCATCATCACACACCGTCCCCCACTGTCCATGGTGGAAGATCTCTACTCTGCCGGAGCAGGAGCTGTTTCCATTGACCAGACGGATCTCTCCATCAGCTGCTGAACTGTTGCCCACCGCTGTTGTGGCAGAGACGTTGACCTGACTGGCAGATGTCTGTGGTGTTGGATCGGGTGGGGTCGGTGTAACTGTGCTGTTTGGTTCTGGTCGACCTGTTAGAAAAGTTTATGTGAACTCACAAGACAACAGCAGCCTGAACCTCCACCAGTGATGAGCATAAGATCCTTTATCACAGATAAAACTGATTATGTCAACATTAGACACAAGACATAAGAACTGGAGCATAACTGTACATTTGACTTATTGTGCTACAAAACAATATCTGTTGTGTGAGGTAAATACTGGAACTTATTGATGAGGCAATTTCCTAATTAAATGTGAGCATAAGATCTGGAGCGTACTTTAAATATGTATAAACATTTACCTTCACAGATGATACTGGCATCTTCGACGTGACCACAGTTGTGGACCCCAAACCCTTGATGTCTGCAGTCAGTTATGGATGATTCACTTCCTGAACAGCTGACATCGTCCAACCAGATGGGTCCAGTGCCCTGTCCAAAAGCTGCACTTTGAAGTGCTGAACGAGCCCTGCCACAGTCCAGCTGTCTGCACACCACGCTGGCATCGTTCAGGTCCCAGGAATCGTCACACACCGTCCCCCACTGTCCATCATGGTAGACCTCCACTCTGCCAGAGCAGCGGTTGCCAGAGTTGACCAGCCTCACTGGTGAACCGGCTAATAGAAACACATGCAACAAATTATTGTTGATTAGAGCCAATGATTCCTTTAACAACTACACACAACAGCTTCCTGTTTAAAATGATGAATACAATTTGAGACCAAAGATCCTGGAGATGTAAAAGAATACTGTAAAGCACATATTTCCTATTTGTGTTATAGATGTTTATTAAAATCCTCTTAGCTAAATGTTACACGACAGAGACTCTGTGAGACAGTGACACTTCACTGGCTCTAGATGTACAAATCAGTGTTTACCTTCACAGACGACACCAGCATCCTCATGGTGACCACAGTTGTGTGATCCAACCCCTTGGTGACGGCACTCACTGAGCTTTGATTCGCTGCCTGTGCACATGACATTATCCAACCAGATGGGCCCTCTGCCCTGTCCAAAACGTGCATTTTGTGGTGCCGACAGGACTCTGCCACAGCCCAGCTGTCTGCACACCACCTGTGCATCAAACAGGTCCCAGGCATCATCACACACCGTCCCCCACTGTCCATGGTGGAAGATCTCTACTCTGCCGGAGCAGGAGCTGTTTCCATTGACCAGACGGATCTCTCCATCAGCTGCTGAACTGTTGCCCACCGCTGTTGTGGCAGAGACGTTGACCTGACTGGCAGATGTCTGTGGTGTTGGATCGGGTGTGGTTGGTGGAACTTCAGTGTCTGTTATGTTCACATCTGTTTACAATGAAAAAAGTTACTGTCCTGATACAGAGCCAATGAGAGTTATTATTCATAAAGTTTTACTTGAAGTACTAGAACCATAATATCTTCATTAATACAAACAGTGAAACAGTTAAATGGATTGATTAGATGAAAAAATGTAATTTGTAATTTTTTTTTAAAATGGAACAATACCTGCACAGTATGCAAGGCTGCATGCGGATGGTGCCACAAGTTTGTAGACGTAGTAGTTTCCATAGCAGAGCTTGACATGGATGGTGTGTGACCTAAAAAGGCAGCAACTGTTGCTCCAGGCATTGCACACGGTGCGAGCTACAATTTCACCTGACTGTGTGGGATGAGATTGTGTTATAAATAGAGGAGCGTGGGTTCCACACCTGTTCTCCTCCACACACCTCTCTGGAATATGAGCACTAGTTTGCCCCAGAAACAGACGATACCAGCCTTGCCAGTTAATATTTCTGTCACAGTGTATTATGTTATTCATTGTGTTATTTACTGAACGCCAGTCATCGTTCAGTACAGTGTAGTGGTCACATGGGTCAGCACAGCGGGCGAGCCCATTATTATTGATGCAGTCCATGCCTAAAGGGCAAACAGTGTTTCCACAGCTGAACTGGATAGACTGGGGAGAGGGGCCAGATCTGGGGCTGGAGGAACGCTCCAGGCACTTGAAAGAGCCAGGTGTGTTCTGGCAAACCTGAGATGGCGCACAGGGCGAGTCTGGGAGGGAACACTCATCAGTGTCTACACAGCCGCTGTCTGGTGACCAGTGATAACCTTGGCTACAGCAAGAAGAGTCACTGCAGAGTTTTTTACTGTAGCAGGTGAGACCATCACCTGCGAAGCCATCTTTACAGACACAAGAGAGGCCCTGGCTGGCAAAGGTGTCTCCTCTTCCTCGTGACTCCAGGCAGTTGGCTTGATCATGACATGAATCGCAGCTGAAGACAAGTGTCCCTGTGAAAAGTACGAGGATAGTTTGACGCAGGCTCCTGCAAATTTTTGGTAGCTCTTCCACATGAAACACTGAAAATCAAGTTATGAAACTATAAATGAACTAAACCTTTCTAATTCGGGATGATCCATGTTTAGGTATTCTGTGTGTACAATTACACAGAAAACAAATCTTTTCAAATCTCACTACAGAGTGCCATTTCTTACATAAAATTTGGTTAAAAAAAAAAGGAGTGTTAAGTGGTCTCAAAATACTGCACCTCATGGTAGATCATAATTACAGCTTTGTTCAGGCCAACAAAACTTTATCTTAAATTATAATCCACTTTCCAAAATATTATTTAAGAAAATAATCAGTATTATGTAATAAAATAATAATAGTAGGCTATGTGTGAAATTATATGCAAGAGATCTAATTTTTTATTTTTTATTTTGATATTTAAATTGGTGTGAAATCCCTGGAATAAGCAGTTAAGAATATATGTAAATTGTTTTTACTTTAAAACTACTTTTAAATTTGATGGAATCACAGGGAAATGAGAAAATGTCATGCAAGCAAGGTCATATTTATGAGGGTGTAATCTGTCTGTACCATCCTGTTAACTTTGTTGGTGGCAGCTATGATTTGTGTGTATAAGTAAATTGAGGGCACCATTTAAATTAGTGATTTAATTGGAGTCCATCCATATGTGACACAAAAAGGAAAGAAAAAGAAAAAGTTTTTCAAAATGGAAGGTACAGTTAGACAGTAAATATGTGTCATAATGTCAAAGCCAGGATGACACAATGTCAGACGGCTTACCTGAAGTGCTTCCTGTAAAAATCTGCAAAATTAGGAGCAATAACAAACCCCCAGGCACCCCCATTATGGACCTCATCCACGACACAAACCTGCTGAAAAAGACAAAGGCGATGTCTTAAAATCCCATTTTCCAATGATTATTAGGTTCTCCTGTACATTGTCAGTCTCTGCACTTACCTTGGAGAAAGTATGTGGGAATCCAGCAGTAAGGGAGAAAGTTGAAAGTGATAAGCGCCCAGCGAGTGTGTGAATTTATGCGCCCGTCACTGTGTGCACAGGACACAAAAGAGCTCATTGGTGAAACACATAAAGGAATCATTGACAGCATTGATTCATATGACATCAAAGGTTATTTATTAATCATAATCAAAGTACGACAAAGTGAAAACAGATCTGGTAAAGAAACAAACACCTGAGCCCTGGGTCAATAAAATGTATGGTTCTACAGTCATCTCAGGTGAGTGTTGAGACATAATGGGGAACTCTCAAGTTTGCACATTGCAACACAAATGTCCATTTATAAACACCTTTTGTCAACAGTTGTGACTGAAATGGATTTTTAGCACAAAAATTTAACACTGACCCTGGAAAAAATAATCTTAACTCAAGGTACACTTACTTGCTTTTTTTCCAGAGCATTTGACAGCATCCCGCAGTTTTCATTCACAGTCTTACTCAGTTTGCCTGAACAAATGCCACTTGCATCCATCTCTGGAAATTGAAAGTGAACAATTGTCAAATAAATGTTTTTTAAACATCCAAGGAAAAATTAAAGACAGTTGTAGGTAGTTATAAGTAGATTTCAATAAATAACCATTTTGATGATTCCTTTGATGTCAGCGCCAACATCTGTCACCACGCATGATAAAACTGACACTGGATGCATGTTAGACCCCATTTTACTGTATGTTTCTATATTTACCTGTTCGAACAGGTTTCTTTGTAGTTAGGAGCAGACGGGTTCGAAAGTGCACTGCAGGGAACACACTGTGTTGTAGAGTGGACAACCTTTCTTCATTTTGCGATGTGATTTATAGTGTTTTTATCATCAGTGTCACTTCTTATCATTATTTACTGCACTCGCTGTGCTCCTTGTTGTGAATAATGATCATATTTCTGAAATCACTTCCTCTTATATGATTATTAACCCAAGGTTAATAGTTTACCCAGTTCTCGGTGCTCCACAATAAGAAGAATGTGCTAATAAGTTCTATAACACTGGGTTAGACCTACTTTTTGAGTTTGCTATCCACAAGAATAATCTGCTGATGTAAAGCAAGCCTCATAAAAGAGATCTCAGCAGACCTAGGATGAAGAATTTTTAATTTGTATAAAGCTGAAAGAAAGAAAAAGTATAAATCTATATATATATAGATAAGTATAAATCTAAGTATATATATATCTATAAATGGAGACGATTTCGTTCTGCAGCTACTCTCTCTGGAGGTTGGTGCCAAGCTAAGATGACTCCAAAGGCACAACGCAGAATGATCAGTAATGTATGAAAGAACCTCAGAGTAACAGCTTAATTAAATTTAAAATTAAAATGAATCATTGGAGCTGGTTGACATCTCTGTTCATGAGTCTACCATATCAAAATCATGGTGCATGGTTATGTGGAGCATGCACATGGCAGGACACTACGGTGGAAGCTCGCCAAAAAAACATTGCTGTGCCCCTGAAGTGAGCAGCTTGACACACTACAAGGCTACAGTTTTATGGAGTGATGAAACTAAGGTTGAATTGTTTGCACCAGCATGAAAACACCATCCCAAGGGTGAGGTACAATGGAGGGAGCATTATAATTTGGGGCTGATTTGCTGCCTCTGGACCTGGACAGCTTAACATAATCGAGGGAGAAATGATTTCCCAAGTTTATCAGGGTCTCTTACAGGATGATGTCAGGGTGGATGTCCATCTGCTGAAGCTCAGTGATGCGGCAGGACAATAACTCTGAACACTGAAGTAAATCTTACAACAAAATGGCTTCAAACAAAGAAATCCACCTGTTGGATGGGCCCAGTCAAAGCCCAGAGCTTAACCCAGCAGAGATGCTGTGGAATGAGCTGAAGAGAGCCACTGACATCAGACATCCTCACACTATGTCTGAGATGAAGCAGTTCTGTAGAAAGACTGGTCCAAAGTTCCTCCTGAAGGTTGTGCAGGTCTGATCTGCAGCTACAGGAAGTTCATGTTGGAGGTTATTGCAAAAGGTTCAACCAGTTATTAAATCCAAGGGTTCATATACTTCTTCAGTCCGCACTGCGAATGTCTAATGGGTGTGTTCAATAAAGACACAAACTATTATAAGTGTTTGTGTGTTATTGTTTACACTTGTGACTTCGATGAAGATCAGATCACATTTTTTTAACAATTAATGCTGAAAACCAGGTCGTCCCAAAGGGCTCACATACTTCCTCTTACCATTGTATCTTCTGTTCAAGTGTACAATTGTGCAACTTCACTGTAACACAAACATTTCTGCATGCATAGACGCATTCAAACACACGTGCATATACATGAAAGTGTAAACTTTTTATTCACTAAAAATCCTTTTATAAATGTGGTGATTTGGGTTTTTAATTTATTGAGTAAATCAATAAATTGATGACTAAATTGTTATTCTGTAAATTTGGATTTGGTCTCTGGCAGCTCAACTGTCACCTTCAGCCCTAACACATAACAGAGTGAATGCTCTGTTAGTAAAAATATATATTTCAGTATATTATTTCTCTCATTCCTTCATCATTCACACAAAATGCAAAATGTCCATCAAAAGCATATGAAACACAATATTAGACGTCTGGTCCCATGTTTTCATGTAGTGTTGTAATCTGGGAGATTGCACAGTAATTTCCAGTCTTCCAGGGAAGTCTGGCAGATACGAAGTTCAGTGCCATAATTTCTTAGGACAGGAAAAAAGGAGATATCACTTGGCCACTGCCAGTCGCCGTACACGTGACTGCTATTAATGGAGATAGTTTATCACCTTTTAACATCATAACAGCCCAATAATCCCAGTTCGGAAAGTTCACCGATCAGTGTTGTTGCTACGTTGCTTCTGTCCATCATCATCATCATCATCTTCTCGCCAGTCTGTGATTGGACAGTTTCTGTGTCGGTCATCGAGGCAGTTTCCTGACACCATCCGCAGCGCCGCCTCCACACTGTCTGCGTACCTGAGGCCCTCAAGATCGGCTGCCAGGAGAACCTCCAGAACAGAGGGCTGAAGGAGTGTGTGAGAAAAAAGAGAGAAGACAGAGAGAACATTGTATTTATTTTGATGCGCTGTTGTTAGAACTGAATTCTATAACAGATAATCGTACCTGCAATCTGCAAAAGACCAGTCGCACGTCTCGTAGTTCGAACTGCCTCAGCAAGTCCCTGAGCTCGCTGATCACTGTGTAATCTATGATGCTGACATGATGGCAGTCCAGTACCACTGACCGAGGAGGAGACGCTGAGGGGGAGAAGGGGGGAGATGGGTGAGTGAATAACAGGGAACACTGAAAGAGACGAGGTGGATGATTAGCAAACGAATCCTTACCCTGCAGAGCCTGGGTGTGTATGATGTGGCTGAGATACTCTGTGGCAGGAAAACTGAGTCCACTGCTCAACTCCATCACCAGCACACCGTGATCAGACACCTGCACTCGATAGGCACACATTGTTAGCACAGACACGTGGATTTCACTGTTGAAGTGCAAGGTGAAGTGAGACATTGTCCTGTGGAGTTAATGCAGAGCGGTGCCCCCATGTGGTCTGTAGAGGCTGTTGTTATTGCATTTAAACAGTCCCGCTCAGTAATTTGCAAAACACACTACCATACCATACTAAAAAGGGATACCTACAGTGGTATAAAACGTTCTAGAAAAATCTCAGTGGTTGAACAGTTGCTATTGTTTCAAATTTGGCAAATATCCTGATATTTCCCAACTCTTCCATCAATCAATGCAATGGGCGCATTGGCTTTTTTCCCCAACAACGTTCCAGCCTCAAAGAAGCAAGTTTAAACATTTACTGTTTTAATCACAGTCTACATGTAAAGCCAAACTAGGGACAAGAGTTGAAAATTAACAACAACTATAAACTCTCTGTGCAACATGTCAGTTTCATGCTTTGTTTAGAAACTATGTTAATTTGCATTTTCCCTATTAAATAAACTGACTGTACTTACATCCTGTGAAAATGCCTCAATAGCAAATGACTATTGTCTCTTTACAGACAACATCTTGTGCGCTGCCTGTGAAAAGGTTTAATATGTTTCACAGTTGAAGTGTCACACACTTGCTCACACACACTCCTGTATAGAATAACACAGTACCTTTATCTGGGGTCTGGCCATGTTGTAAAGCAGCAGGACTCCAGATACAGCTACACCTCCCATGATGCCATACTGCACCTGCCAGAAACTCATCAGGAACGTCACAGCAAACGGCAGCAGGTCCAGCTCTGTGGACGACACGAGCACCAGACTTCAATTAAACAGACTGATACAGGCGGGCAAACGCTGAAGTACAAAACTGAGCAAACACCTACTGCGTATCTTCCACATATTAGCCACGACACGGTAATCCACCATAGGAGCTACCGCACAGATGATAACAGCAGCCAGGGAAGCTTTGGGGATGTAGTAGAAGGCCGGCATGAGGAACGCCAGGGAAAGCAACACTATCACACCTGCAAAAACCCAGAGAGAGAGAGAGAGAGAGAGAGAGAGAGAAGAAACTAAGAAGCATGGACAAACTCAGCAGGAAGACAGAGAACGCAAAGTCACATAAATACGTACAATGTTACGATGATTTTAAATTGAAAAATAAATAAATGACTGCTGTCTTTGTGTTTTCATTGGTTAGAAGAGGCTGGTGACAGAAAACCCAGACACCATGAACTATGTGATGATTAACTGAACCAGAAAAGCAAGAAATTACAAATAAGAGACTACAGTGTAAGATGCCATCTAAAGGAATAGCACTTTATGTGATGATCACACAAAATCCTTCTGTGACTCCTCAATCATCGATGGGTGATGAGCCTACAGATGCAGTTTTATTATTTCTTCAGTTTCTTACATGAAGAGTACGTTGGTGGAGAGGGGGGTCGACAGTAAAGAAGATCAAATAAATATTAATCTTTTATTTTTTGTATGTATTCTCTATTTTTAATTTAAAAAAGTTATGTATAAATTGCCTAAGCTCACATGCTGGGCTGTCTCT